ATACCCGTGAACTAAACGTCGGTGAAACGAATCCTCGACCTTTAAAGAGCCAGATACCCTGACTTTTTTCTTTTCGTGTGTTATTGTTGAACAACATACACAAGGGTCAGTGCATATGAAACTGTGTACATGACAAGAAATAGCATTGGAGACTATTTGACAGAAATTTAAAAAAAAAAAAAAAAAGATGGCAATAGCAAAGCAAAGATTAAACAGAATTAAAGTCTATGGTTAAGCATCAGTAAGGAATTGAAAATTAAAATGTTCTCCCAGGCCTAAAGACAGAAAGTAACGGCATTTGAGCTGAAATGCTATAGAAGATTCTCAGAATGCCATGGAAAAAGAGGAAAATAAATGCATTTTAAAAGATCTGAACATCAAGAGAGTTTGGCTAATAAACAGCATCTTTTCTCGGAAGCTGACATATTCAATCATATCAAGTGCCACGGCGGACTGGACACAAACTAGCAGAAGGCATGGTACCGGAAAGGAGGGGCAGGGGCCGACCAACACGAAGATGGACACACGATATAAGTGACTACTAGAATATGAAAGTGGACGAGGCGGGAGAGCTAGAAATACACCAAGATTTTTTTTTTTAGGCAGACCGTGATGGAAGCGACGTTATGCAAAGGACCTGCTCCTTGATGATAATGATGATGTATATGACAAAAAGGGTTGTCTGAGAGGAACAGTGTGGCATGTCTACAACCAGTGTGTTACTGGAACAGTCAGCATCCCCACAGTCAGCACCCACACAGTCAGCATTCCCACAGTCAGCACCCACACAGTCAGCACCCACACAGTCAGCACCCACGCAGTCAGCATCCCCCACAGTCAGCACCCACACAGTCAGCATCCCCCACAGTCAGCACCCACACAGTCAGCACTCATACAATCAACACCCACACAGTCAGCACTCGTACAATCAATGCCCACACAGTCAGCACTCGTACAATCAATGCACACACAGTCAGCACTCATACAATCAATGCACACACAGTCAGCACTCATACAATCAATGCACACACAGTCAGCACTCATACAATCAATGCACACACAGTCAGCACTCATACAATCAATGCACACACAGTCAGCACTCATACAATCAATGCACACACAGTCAGCACTCATACAATCAATGCACACACAGTCAGCACTCATACAATCAACGCACACACAGTCAGCACCCATACAATCAGCACCCACACAGTCAGCACCCACACAGTCAGCACCCATACAGTCAGAACCCTTAGAGTCAGTACCCACACATTCAACACCCACACATTCAGTGCCAACACAGTAAGCACCCACATATTAAATAACAACACATTCAGCACCCACACAGTTAGCACTCACACATTCAACACCCACACAGTCAGCACCCACACAGCACCCAGACAATCAGCACTCACACATTCAGCACCCACACAGTCAGTACCCACACATTCAACACCCACACAGTCAGCAACCACAAATGCAACACGCACACTACAGAGATCTGCTGCGGAAATCAACGTTTGGGTTCCAGGACCTCATTTCTGAGATGAAGAAAATCTGACACACATAGTCAGAAGAGGGACATTGGAGAACATCGTGACAACTGCAAACATCAGTGGAAAAAGGGGTAGAGGCAGACCAAGAGAGATCGTGCTGGATGGGCTGAAAGGATGGCATGAAGGGATTTCCTTAACATAGCTGTTCCAGGCAACCGGAACTGGGATCAGTGGAAACGCATGAGCGCCTACGCCAGTTGGCAGGGCACATGATATATATATATATATATATATATATATATATATATATATATATATATATGAAAACCTGTTCATTACATGTAAAATATATGACGGCAAGGTCGACGGTGTCCATTGTTTGGCCTAGAAAAATGATGGGTTCCGATCTGTCCATTGTGTGGCATAGAATAATGATGGGTTCCGATCTGTCCATTGTGTGGCATAGAATAATGATGGGTTCCGATCTGTCCATTGTGTGGCATAGAATAATGATGGGTTCCGATCAGTCCATTGCATGCTAATAAAGCATGGTGAAGCACGTCTATGCCGCCTTCGAGGCTTACATAGGGAGAGTTTATAACCAACCTCTCATGGGAACAATTAGTAGAAGTACCTCGGAGTGGCTGCTGCATCGGAGGACTGAGCTCACATTGGAATGCCTAGAGTACAGTGACGTTGTCTGTGATAAGATAAGAGTAATCAGCAAAGGAAGAATTTCATTATTAATTAATTAACCATATTTCTCCCATATTGTTTGTTAGCAAAGGATGCCCAGAAAGGCGGGGTGATGTTTGCTAACTATGGAATGTGTTACATCAGTCTGGAGGTCACAGATGGTGAGAGTCACATGGATATTTGGCCCTGGATCATTCAGGTTTGATTTGGAAATGAGCAGACATATAAGCTGGATGGAATTGGCCTATTTGTGGGTGTCATTCAACTGCACAAGGCAGAGATGATCTCAAACCTGTGGGACAAGGTAACAGGTGAAATGGATGATACTGAAAACCCGCACCTGGAGAGAATGTTACAGCGAGCAGTGGCTGTGGGCTTTGGGAGGCCCTCGAGACTCAAGAGGGAAGGCAGGGCGAGTAGTTAACCAGATGACAACGGGTACCATCGGTATGGAAACACTTGGCTGTCTGGCGAGAAGAGAGACAGAGCTAAAATGGTCCTGTCCTGAACGTTGTGATGTCGAATCTTTATCTAGACGAACCAAGTTTGTCAGATTTCTTTGTAAATAGACAGGCCCGTATTGTCTCATATATTATTTGTTACATATGGAGAAAAAAAGAGATCTTTTGACTGCGCAAAAAAAAAAAAGCCAGTAGTCTCTTTAGACACATAAATGACAAACGGGCTCAGAGCTGGTATAATCAAAACAAGATTCGCTTACACAACCACGTATCCATGATAACTAACAGACCATGTCCTCTGTTTTAGACTACCGTAATCATCCTTGCAAACGCCCATGCAAGAAGGACTCCCCACCAATGACATGCCATTACTATTTCCTGGTGGAACACTACACAACCTTGTCTGAGGCCTGTCATGGCTGTCCCAAGAATCAGACCGAGTGTTTCCTGCCACTGTGTGTGGCTGCAGACGGGAGACCACGAGGTATCTTGACTGTCAACCGCATGCTGCCTGGCCCCATCATCAATGTGAGTTTATTAATTGCTTATTGTTACTGTGCTGATGTTGCTGGTAATAACATGTTGTTGTTACCTAGTTTATGTTACTGTAGCTACATAAGCTAAAGTTAATGTTGTCTTAGGTTACTGTTGTCTTAGGCTACTGTTGTCCAGCCCTTTTTTTTAATACACACATCTTCAAAGTTAATACACCTGAGCATTGTGCCACTGCTTTCAAGGTTTTCAGTCACGTGATACAGTTACTGGTGTGCTCTAGTTACTTTGCATTGTCTGCCATTTCTTCTAAGTTTTTCTTGTTTTAGTTGTATATCAAAGTTATTGTAACACTTGGACATTGTCTGCAACTACTTCCTAGTTTTTTGTTCTAGTTGTATATCACAGTTGTTGTAACACTTGGACATTGTCTGCCACTACTTTCCAGTTTCTTGTTCTAGTTGTATATCACATTTATTGTAACACATGGACATTGTCTGGTACTATTTTCCAGTTTCTTGTTTTAGATGTATATCACAGGTATTGTAATACAATTGACATTGTCTGCCACAACTTTCCAATTTCCTCTTCAAGTTGTATATCACAGTTGTTGTAACTCTTGGACTTTGCTACTACTTTCTAGTTTCTTGTTCTACTTGTATATCACAGTTGTTGTAACACTTGTGTGTCTGCCACTACTTTCCATTATCTTGTTCTAGTTGTATATCACAGTTGTTGTAGAATTAGGCCATTGCCTGCTATTGCTTAACTGTTTCCGTTTGTAAGGTACAGTTGTTGTACTTCAGTTATTTTGGTTCTCAGTCATTGTTTCTCAGTTTCCAGTCATTAGGCCCACTCTTCCGTCCACTGTAATAATTTCACGTTGCCATTATTTTCCAGGTGTGTAAAGGGGACACAATCGTGGTCTTGGTGGACAACCAACTGCAGCTTGGGGAAGGGACATCGATTCACTGGCATGGCGTCAGACAGATAGGAAGCCCACACATGGATGGTACCAATCTGGTCACCCAGTGTCCCATTAACCCACACACTACTATGACTTACAGGTATTGTAAACTAAGTAATTTGTTGACATTTCTATCTATCTATCTATCTATCTATCTATCTATCTATCTATCTATCTATCTATCTATCTATCTATCTATCTATCTATCTATCTATCTATCTATCTATCTATCTATCTATCTATCTATCTATCTATCTATCTATCTATCTATCTATCTATCTATCTATCTATCTATCTATCTATCTATCTATCTATCTATCTATCTATCTATCTATCTATCTATATCTATCTATCTATCTATCTATCTATCTATCTATCTATCTATCTATCTATCTATCTATCTATCTATCTATCTATCTATCTATCTATCTATCTATCTATCTATCTATCTATCTATCTATCTATCTATCTGTCTATCTCTATCTATCTATCTATCTTATCTATCTATCTATCTATCTATCTATCTATCTATCTATCTATCTATCTATCTATCTATCTGTCTGTCTGTCTATCTATCTATCTATCTATCTAATCTATCTATCTAATCTATCTGTATCTATCTATCTATCTATCTATCTATCTATCTATCTATCTATCTATCTATCTATCTATCTATCTATCTATCTATCTATCTATCTATCTATCTAACTGTCTGCCTGTCTGCCTGCCTGCCTGCCTGCCTGCCTATTATTCAGTCTATCTATGGAGTTATCTACCTACCCAAAAAAAAAGTTCCTATCCATCCGTCTGTCTATCCGTCTGTCTGTGTGTCCAACAATACTGCTGTTTGAAAGTAACTGTTCCCCTTAACACGTATATATTTTCTAGATTCAGAGCCTCAGATCCAGGGACCCACTTTTGGCACTCCCATTCTTCCCTTCAGAGATCAGACGGCTTCTTCGGGGGTCTAGTTATACGGCTGCCACCAGAACTAGACCCCCATAGACACCTGTATGACTATGATCTATCCGAGCACAGTATCCTTCTGATTGACTGGGGTGAGCGGACCTCAGCAGAAACCTTCGCCTTCGACTTCCATGGGGGATCGGCTTCTTCACCAACTACAGTATTAGTGAATGGTGGGTTCTGTTTGTATGTGCTGTACAAACATAATTATGAAAGTACTGATTCAACTTCACTGGAAAATAACTATATAATTGTTGACTTAACGTCTTCGCTTTGTCATTTCTAAAGGACTGACTCTTCATTATTATACAAGGCACGTTCGTTAAGTGAGTCCCGGTATAAAATTTCCTGCATAAAAATGATTTATTGCAGCCATTTTACATTATTTCTCAACATAGTCAACTGACGTCAACACATTTTTGGTATGCCAGACTGCAGTTCATCATCAGTTTCAAACCGCTGGGATGCCAGCCACTTCTTTAGGTGCATGAAAAAGTGAGAATCACTTGGCCCCAGATCGGGGCTGTTGGGCGGATGGTCAACAATGTTCCAGTGAAATGTTTGCAAGAATTGAACAGTGCCATCTGCGACGTGAGGTCGAGCATTATCCTGCAAAGGCACAATTCCAGAGGACAGCAACCCACGTGTTTTGTTTTGGATAATACGCCATTTTGTCTATCCATGGTTTTTTGTCACAATGTCGTAAATCAGTCAACATGAAACTTTCGAAAATTCGGTAGACAACGCAAAAATAATGAAACGACGATTTTCCTTAATTTTTTTTTTTTCACTTTTTCGACCTAATCATCTGTCATCACACTCGGCCGACAATTACGATCTCCATCATTCATATTTGTTTGCCCTTCTTTAAATCATTTCCTAAACCTACAATCAGTTACAACACAGGCCCATCAACCTCACTGAGTTGCCTGTGAATTTCTGCAACACTGTTGTTCTATGCTAATAAAAAACAGATCACAATAGGAACCTCGCAGCACTCATTAAAAATCACTCACACGCTGCCTCTAACAAGATTTCAAAAGTGAACAATAGCACACCGCTAGCTTATGAACCACATAGACATATGGACTGCATATGTACATTTTCCGTCGGTGTTTGTCGCTGCGGTCAAAACGGGACTTAGCTTTCTGAAAAAACGAACCTAATACAATCAGGTAATTGCAGTTAGATTACTTAAAAAAAAAAGGTCTGCCCATTGCTGCTTCGTTCCTGTGCCACCAACAACCACACGGGATGTGTGATAGAAAGGGAAGTGCATGGGCGCTCTCTGTGAGCCCAATGGGAAAAACCATTAAAGAGATAAGTGGTGCCTTTGCTGTTAGAACCAGCAGTTTCACAATGGAGACCATAGTTGCAACAAGAGCACTGACATGGCTGGGTACTCAAGATTTCAGACATGCTTGCATAGTGGGCACGGCAATTAAATGAATATGCTCAAGAAAATCCAGACCAACGTCACCAGACAGAAATGGATTCCCAGATGCATCACAAATAACTTGCCTAATCTGTATCTTTCTACCGGGGATGCAAGTGTGTAAGGTATCTGGTAGACGGCGCTAAATACGGTGGCCCCGGCAATGGGCAGGTGTGCTGTCAATAATGCCACACAAGTTGCATATCCCGAAGTAGATCAGGACAACAAGCAGGGCTTAGTGTTCTTGTCAAAGTTGGTGGACATAGAGGTGCGACCACGAGTAGCCAGATCTGAACACAGAAGGGCGTGATCAGTTCTTTTACTCTTGTGGAGCTACTGGAGAGGGGATCGAAGCACCTTACTAATCACCAACCAATAATCACACAGTGCTTTTCGCTGTCGCTTGTGGAGCTACTGGAGAGGGGATCGAAGCACCTCACTAATCACCAACCAATAATCACACAGTGCTTTTCGCTGTCCCTTGTGGAGCTACTGGGGAGGGGATCGGAGCACCTCACTAATCACCAACCAATAATCACACAGTGCTTATCGCTGTCGCTTGTGGAGCTACTGGGGAGGGAATCGAAGCACCTAGCTAATCACCAACCAATAATCACACAGTGCTTATCGCTGTCACTTGTGGAGCTACTGGGGAGGGAATCGAAGCACCTCACTAATCACCAACCAATAATCACACTGTGCCCTTCGCTGTCCCTTGTTGAGAAAAAAAAAAAAAGAACTGACACAGACTGCAATATTTGCAAATCCAACATCGTACACACACATTAAGCAGCAGTCAGAAATGGTAATACAGTCTGACACTAGAAATGCAGTTTATCGCTGATGGAAGCAGCAGTTACAACAAGATCAGTAGTTACACATGCAATTAATCGCATAACGCACACGTTATCTGGCAACAGGCCACCCGCCATTTTCTGATACCTGCATTTAACAACACCAACTACTTTGGGCACAGTCGAAAAGTATTCCAAATGAAATCCGTAATAGTAATAATGATTTTTAGTGTCCTCTGAACTTGATGACTGCATGATAGTAGTTTACAAGTGTGTACCGTCTACAAATCTTCGCTACATATTTAAACAATGGTGTACTGTTTTCTGTGCCTAATAACTTCATAAGTGATGACTTGACATCTTCGTGACGTTTTTTCTTTCTTTAAGTGCTGACCTAACTCCTTCTCCTAATGATTATATAAGCTCTCCTAATTTCTTGACTTCATAATTACAGTGTTTAAGTGTGTGCAGTCTAAAAATGGTTGCTATATAATTTCATAAGCGCTGACCTGGAAACTGAAATGAATGGCTAGCAATGAACTTCACTGACATTTGGGTTATTTTTTTACCCTTCAATGAAAACAAATGCTGGGTTGATCTGTGAAGTGATCTAAATGGTTTACGGCGTACTTTAAAAAAAATGTGTATATTTAACGCTACATTTTAATACAGAAACCTCGACAATATAAAGCGATCTGAAAATAAGTAGCGTTCACTGAGTCGTATCGATATAGATAACGAAAAAGCCCCAAGTTTCAGTGAAACAACAACAGTCAAATGTAAAGATTTTGAAGAGACTTAAAATAAACAGCGATTTTGCTGAGAAAACAAATTTAAAAAAAAAGATAAATGAAATATGTTGTTGTTTTAAGAATAAAAACGATATCGAAAAGAGAATTAATGCAGCCGAGCAAGTAGTAGTCAGCGAAAAGAGTGGGCAGAAACCATCAGGTGATAGATGGCCTAATCGCTGGTTACCATGTAGACTGAATTACTGTGTGGCGAAAATATTTTTCTAAAACGTAGGTCACCAATAAAAACAGCTTGGAAAGCTCCACTCGTTGTGTTTATTCAGACAAAGTAACAAAGTATTGGAGATTTATTTAACAAACGTCATTGAAAAAAATGGAACCTAATTGCTTGTGTAAGTTTTTCTCTTTTTCTGTTGGTTTAAAAAGATTATTATGTAATTCCTAAATCGACTTGTACTTTTGTTTAGGTCTAGGCACTAGCGAAAAGGGACCAGATATGCCCTTTCCTGTCTTTAAAGTGAAAGCTGGCAAACGTTATCGATTTCGGTTTGCCTATAATGGGATCTCTAACTGCCCATTGCATGTGAGTGTTGACGGACATTCCCTGATGATGATTGCCACCGATGGTCGCAACTTTGAACCCGTGGAAGTTGATGCCTTTTTTATCTTCTCTGGGGAAAGATACGACTTTGTTCTGAAAACCAAGCAGGGGGTGAAGGACAATTTTTGGATCCGGTTTAAAGGTCACGGACGGTGTACTGGTTATTTGATTCAGGTATTATGTTGTAATTAATTGTTTAAGTGTGTGTGTGTGAGTGGGTACGTGTGTGTGAAAGAGAGAGAGAGAGAGAGCGATAGTGTGTGTGTGTGTGTGTTTATGTGATATTTTAAAATGACAATGGAAAGAAAAACAACAACTCGAAAGATGTAAAATTATCAGTAAAATATTTCAACTCCCATTTCTCAGTTCTTCTTTTTCGCAGACACCGCTGTAAACTTCTGCTGGTTGTTTATCCATTTCTGGACTTTTAGTCTTGATCCAGACCTTCAGTTGTGCGTGCTTTTATTTGAATGCAGACATTTTGTTCCTTGCCTCTCGGGTAGATGCACCCCGACTTCTAACGAAACATCAATCAGACGACTCTTACGACATGCCTGTTAGGGAGACAGTGGGTGTCTTCACAGATTAAACCAAACATATGCAGTGAAAGGTTCTATATCCCCCCTCCCTCCATACTCTCTCTAATTTTACAGGTTACTTAATGTAGGTTTTCAAGTCTAAACCCCAGATTCTCTACGATTGCTGCTTGTCCAACAATGCCACATTAATTGAGTATTGTAGTTTAACATAAAGTTAGTTGCGTATCCTTACAGGACATTGCAGAACCAACCCCAGCAGCACCTTGCTGTTGTGTGGTTTCCATAGGCAAATTTACGTCCAGTAGTTTGCCATTTCTTTCTAGGCTGTCGGCCCCCTCTTCCCCAATACCACTGTCGAAACCAACGCAAGGCGCATGACCCGCAGCTGGGATCGAACCCGGCACCCCGGCATTACGAAGCGTTCGCATCGACTTAGCCACAGAGCCGACTTAGTTTAACATACCATAATTAATAATACAGGCACCTAGAAATGGTCGTAAGGTAAAGTCGGTCAGCTTGATTTGGACCTCTTTAGGCGTGAAGTGTCTGTTATTTTTCAGCATTCTGAACCCTTGAGATTCATTACTGCAGCTATAAGCATGGCATGAACGAAACTCCAGGGCTTACTTTAATCAAAACTATAATGAAGTACACAATGATGCCATTGCAGCAAACGTAAAGGGGAATAAAAAACACGACACTGACCGGCATTCACAGAATACAACAGACAGAAGTATAAACAAGAAAGCATGTTAAAATGGGTATAGGTTTAAACCAGTCACTTCTGACCCCCACCCCCATCCCTATTTTTTCTTCTCCCTCAGGATCTGCTAATCGGCTAGAACTTACTTTTCTTCCTGTTGTCTCGTGAGACTTGTATTTTCTACTTCTGTCTGTTATCTCTTTCAAACGATAATCAGCATGTGTTTTTACTTCTCAGTCTTGGAAATACTGGGAGCCATGGTAGAGCAGTGACTAGACACTAGCCAGCTACCCCGAAGTTGTTCCAGTCAGTATCAAAGTCAATTTTTAGAACATAATCTGGGGCTTCAAGTTCTATCCAGCCTATATCACAATCGTCATCATGTGCCCTGTCGACTAGCATCTCGACAGATCTCGGTCCCATGTGTTCCTGGATCAGTTCCATCAATGCTATCCCTTCGTGCCACCATGCCTCAATAGGTATTACAAATATGCAGGGACATAAAGGTGATAGACATGATGTCTACAACATCACATACATCGAGTTTTGATTGGTCTGTGACAATATGGTCTAGCAGCATATTCCTCATGTGCACATTTTATTGAAAACTGTCATACACTTCTTGTACTTGTTATAACTCAATGTTCAGTGTGTGGCCATATTTCATCTCCCAGGCAGCGATTCTAAGTTATGAGGGCACCAGTGACAGAAAGCCAGAGGGAAAAGTCACTTACAGTAACACAGTTGAGACTGACAGCCAGAGGGTATGTATAACACCAGTAATTGTATGATTCTTACCTTGTTATATTTGTCATGTGGACTGTTGAAAGCACATCTTTACCGCCTCACCTCATACTGATCCCCTGGCCCCTATCGGTGTCAAGGTGAAGTATAATTGACAGGAAAGTGCCCCTTCGCGTGCTTTGTGAATTCCCATGCACTAAGCTATGTTGTTATCTATCTGTCCATTGTTTGCATGTTCGGCCTCTGTTTCACTTCTCGCCTGGTTTGTACATCAGTGCTTGCTGTTGTATGCTGTTTGGTAGCATCCGCATTATGTGGCCAAACCATTTAACTTGTTTTCTAATGTTTAATGTTGTATTAGAATAAAACATCACAGCACACAGGTCATTCTCATAAGCGCCCTTCCCTATCTTCAGCAGCAAACGAAAAGCTCCAATTCCGATGGTACCAATAGCGGTCTGATTGTATATACATCCCACCCTTCTCTTGAGTGCTGATCATCGACCAGATCCCCTGGTCACTACTCGCAGTGCAGTTTTTTTTTTTTCAGACCATGATGATCCATCTGAGCCTCTGCACTGTCCACTCGTGCTCAAAAAGCTTCACAACACCTAACTTGTAATGCATCAGTTCACCACCTAATTGTGCAGAACCATCCAATCTATCTGCCTGTTTATTTCCAAAAAGTGCTAACTACCCGAGATCTCTAAAGTGATGCTTGCCATTCTTCATGGAGCATACTGGTCTCCACCTTTCTCAACATGCTCTGTGAGTTGGTTACAATTAAAGCATGTGCGTGTACAGCTGATTCTCCATCCAGTGAAAGGCTGCAGTTACTGCCTACACTTACATTCTCAAACTAGATGTTGTCCTGTCATATGTCAGGTTTTGTTGCACTCAGTGACGTCCATTCACTTTTGCTAAGAACCCCCATGAGCTTAATCTGCCTCTTAAAACAGAGCTATGTGTTTAGATTATCACATCAGCTGGGTGGGAATTGTATGAATCAATTGCTAAACTTCTGATTCTGCAAAACCATCTGGCTAGTTCCTGCACTCACGCCCCAGTGTGATCAGACCATACACACGTCTGACTCTTGCTGGGACATTCTGACCCACTCCTCCTTCCCCCCATTCCCCCCCCCCTCATCCTACCCCTTCCAATGTTATCAAGGCTGCCTTTTTGTGGGTTGAACTACCTTTTCACAGGAGTCACCAAATACCATCATAAAACACGTGTTCACTGAAGTTATGAAGTAGCAACGAAAAATTGTGTATTGTTGGGGAGTTGCCACAACATGAGGAATTGTATTAAAGGGTCACCGCATTAGCAAGGTTGAGAGCCGCTGGTCTAGGGACTCATGCAGGAGGTGTTTCTTATCTGTGGTTTCCTAATAAACTCATAGCTGCCGCTACCCTAATTTTCCTGTACATTTTTTCATTTCTGATATTTTTTCTGATAATCTTTTATTTTTTTTATTTTTCTGTCTTTGTCCAGGTCTGGCATTGATAGCAAAGGGTTGGCAAGAAGATAGTGTCATAGAATGCCACGTTACTATTGGCTGATTGACTTTCAACCCCACTAGGACATCACACTGAGTGATAAACACTCAGTGACACAAAGTGTGACCATTTGAATGAGGATCCCCCGGGGACAGGTCCCAGAAACCCCCTTCAATCCATATGTTAGGTTATATTAGGGAGATCGCAACAGCCAGTGTGGAGCTTTGAAACAAACAACAACAACAAAAACAAAAATTGCGTCCGACATCGGAACGCTCAATTGTTCTTACTTTACTATCATAAGCTCAAGAATTTGTAGAGGCACCAAGCCAACCATGTACAGTAGTTTTATTTCGAGTATTTGTTTATCCTCATTACCATCATGTCAGCAATGTACTTCTTAAGAGTGGTCAAAAAACACCGCAGAGGCTTGGAACAGCAACAGTGGTAAATTATAAGCACAAGTCGTCAATAGACTAGCTGAAACACTAAGCTTGACATACACTAGGTTTCATTTCTGTTCCAGGCTGCATCTTCTGTCCTCTGTCGCTAATTGGTTGTCCAGGATTACGAGTGAAGAACACTCAGCTCAGATTTGTCACACCCAAGTTACTACTAGTGATAAACCATTCTGCATGCACACTAATTTCGCAGACAGTCGCTGGCATACTGAATTTTCTGTCGAAACAGCTGGCAGTCATCACGCCCTCATATGTTTTCTTTGTGTCAACGCCCGAAAATAATTGGGACAAATAGTACAAGAGAATTAGAGAACGGTGGGATGGCAGTTGTTAGACTGGCTAGAAGATCTTGGGTTTGAATCTGCCTCGTGACTTTTTAAAAAAAATTGACGTTGGTTCCCAGATCCACCTAGCCTGAAGTGGATAGCAGGTAATGTCATGGGTAATACAAGTGTGTGTCATTATGTCATGGGTAATACAAGTGTGTCATGTCAAGTGTATATGTCATGGGTAATACAAGTGTATAATGTCATGGGTAGTACCATATGTCATGGGTAATACAAGTGTATAATGTCATACAAGTGTATATCATAATGTCATGGGTAATACAAGTGTGTCATAATGTCATGGGTAATACAAGTGTCATGTCATAATGTCATGTCATGGGTATACAAGTGTGTGTCAGTGGGTAATACAAGTGTGTGTCATAATGTCATGGGTAGTACAAGTGTATGTAATATAATGTCATGGGTGTACATCATAATGTCATGGGTAATACAAGTGTATGTCATAATGTCATGGGTAATACAAGTGTATGTCATGGGTAATTCAAGTGTGTGTGTCATTATGTCATGGGTAATACAAGTGTGTGTCATAATGTCATGGGTAATACAAGTGTATGTCATAATGTCATGGGTAATACAAGTGTATGTCATAATGTCATGGGTAATACAATTGTATGTCATAATGTCATGGGTAATACAAGTGTGTGTCATTATGTCATGGGTAATACAAGTGTGTGTCATAATGTCATGGGTAATACAAGTGTATGTCATAATGTCATGGGTAATACAAGTGTGTGTCATAATGTCATGGGTAATACAAGTGTGTGTCATAATGTCATGGGTAATACAAGTGTGTGTCATAATGTCATGGGTAATACAAGTGTGTGTCATAATGTCATGGGTAATACAAGTGTATGTCATAATGTCATGGGTAATACAAGTGTGTGTCATAATGTCATGGGTAATACAAGTGTATAATGTCATGGGTAGTACAAGTGTATAGTGTCATGGGTAGTACAAGTGTATGCCATAATGTCATGGGTAATACAAGTGTATGTCATAATGTCATGGGTAATACAAGTGTATGTCATAATGTCATGGGTAATAAATACAAGTGTATGTCATAATGTCATGGGTAATACAAGTGTGTGTCATCATTATGGGTCAGTGTATGGTAATACAAGTGTCATAATGTCATGGGTAATACAATGTCATGGGTAATACAAGTGTATGTCATAATGTCATGGGTAATACAAGTGTATGTCATAATGTCATGGGTAATACAAGTGTATGTCATAATGTCATGGGTAATACAAGTGTGTGTCATAATGTATGTCATATGTCATGGGTAATACAAGTGTGTGTCATAATGTCATGGGTAATACAAGTGTGTCATAATGTCATAATGTCATGTGTATGTAATACAAGTGTGTAATGTCATAATGTCATGGGTAATACAAGTGTATGGGTCATAATGTCATGGGTAATACAAGTGTGTCATGTCATGGGTCATAAGTGTGTGTCATAATGTCATGGGTAATACAAGTGTATGTCATAATGTCATGGGTAATACAAGTGTGTGTCATAATGTCATGGGTAATACAAGTGTATGTCATAATGTCATGGGTAATACAAGTGTATGTCATAATGTCATGGGTAATACAAGTGTATGTCATAATGTCATGGGTAATACAAGTGTTTGTGTCATGATGTTGACCACTTCCACACTGAGAGTCCTTTGGTCTATACAAATATAAATTAAACATTGTATGTTTGATGTACCATTGATCTAAAAAAATGTATTCCTCACTTAATTTTCTTCAAAGAGAAGGAGGCCTGTAGAGGGAAATTGTCCTCTTTAAGTTTTGTGAATAATATTACAATATACTTGGGTATTTCCGTTCTCAGGAAATGCTATTTCTGTCTTTTTCTTGCAAGAGGCATGACCTTTTAGCAATGTGCTTCAGTATATTAATAGATTTGATCATGACTGATTAAATTTTACAAATACTACTCTCTGAGAGTGAGGTAGCCAGCCACAGGCCAGCCCTTCTTGGGTAACTCCTACAAAAAGCCTGACAAATTACAGTGCTGATATGCTTGCTTTCTGATTAAAGGACGTACATTATATAAACAAGGCAAATGATACTGATTATTTTCAGGTTCTCAATGGACTCAACGGAGACTCAACAAAGACATCAATCCCTATAGTCGACCTCCAGCTACTGGGTGCAGATGATGACGAGGATGTCATTAAAAGAAAACCAGACAAGCAATTTTATATTTCACTTGGTAAGAGGATCCATCAACAGTATATTAAAGTCTATCCACCCTCTAATGTAGCATTATCTGCAAGCCTACCAGATTGTTCATTTCTCATTTGTTTTCATTATACTTAGGTTATGTATAACAAGACATCACTACACTAACAGATGATGAATACAACGTGAAAAGACTAATAAATGTTCTTCCAAAATGTTACTATCAAACATGTAGAAACAATTAAATACACTGTTTATAGTGTAAAGACTTGACCTTGTTAGGTCCCTTCTCTCCATAGAGGTGTACAGCCTGTCAAGAATGTTGCACGAAGTACGCATTCCTCACTTCCAGCAATGACCTTAACGTATTAAAAAAAGGACACACTAAAATGACCCCACTACATTCAGAGAGGAACAAATGGCCTGCCCACTGCTGTGTGTTCCCCGGATGTCATACGGTTATAACAGAAGAAATATACCACTGCCCCAAGCCACAAGATCCCAAGATATCATCTGATAAAAGAGAAGAAAAATATATATATATATCCACATTCCTTTATCTTACACAGTTAGATGTGATGAACCCGTTTTGTAATTTTGATATACCAGATTCAGTTCTGTTGCAGGTCATTCGGCAGCAAATCACTTTGCCTTGATTTTGACTACATTATGAGAATCAGTTCAATAAGCAATGAACAATTTTTTAATGTAAAATTTCCGGACTACCACCCCCCCCCCCCCCTCCCCCCCCCCCCCCCCCCTCCCTCAGAAAACAGGGAGAATATGCATGGGCTGCCTTGTGATGTCCTGTCAACAACAAAAAATTACACACTCAACTAACACACATAGATTGTGGTCATAGGTGTGATCAATAGGTGATTTTGCCTCATTACTTGGGCACACCACTACAACATTTAAAGACGGAAAAAAATGTTGCCGATCATTGCACCAGGATATAAACTGTATTTCGCCATCCCAAGCAAGTTCTGAACTAGCATAGGAAACAGTACAGGTCGATTATTATGACAGTGGACAGAAAAAACTCAAGACAGGATTTCTGGGTAAAAAAAGGTCAAACTTATCACATTAGAGAACAGTATCCAGTAAACATAGATTGGGATGCTTGGTGTGCGATGAGTTATATTTATAATTACCGGCATCAACAAGAGTTAGATATGATCCTCTCTATCCTTGAAGCCAAAAGCTACCTGATTTTTCATGACCATCTCTGTCGCTTCCAGCTGCAAGCAAGCTTCCTGATGAAAGATTCAACCCTCCTGTGCAAAACCTGTCTACAGAGAAACCAAGAACTGTCCGCCCCAACAACCACCAGCTGAACTACATATCATCTTACCTGCCACCGTCTCCACCCTTGAGTCAGTTGGAGGATATTCCACAGGTTTTTAGATTGTTATAGGTTAATGTTCACATCATCATCATGGTCCATATCACCTTCCTGTCTTTATCATTCTTCCCATATCATTGTTCTCCATATATGGCTGTCTTAGTTTTCTTCTTCGTTGTTTCTTATGTTCCTCCTCCTTTCTTTCTCTCTCTCTCTCTCTCTCTCTCTCTCTCTCTCTCTCTCTCTCTCTCTCTCTCTCTCTCTCTCTCTCTCTCTCTCTCTCTCTCTCTCTCTCTCTCTCTCTCTCTCTTTGCCCCTAGTATTATTTTCTTACTGTTTTTCCTTTTTGTGCTACTATCCTGGTTATATATTTTTTATTTCATTTTTTTATTTTGTATCCTCTTGTCATATTCTCCTTTTCAATAATTATAATAATAATTAACTTTTCAGTTTTATTGGATTTTGGTGTATTTACTTCAGCTCTGTAGTCAAACTCTTAAAATGGTGCTAGAAATGTTGCTGAGAAGGAAATAATTGAGTGAAAGATATTATACACTTTACAGGTTTACACCATCGCATAATGCCCAGACTCAATTGAAAGGCGGAAAGAGGGCTAATCGTATTGCATTGTGGTGCTCTACAAGGAACCCTAATGTTATGCATGTCCCAAAGACTGTTTCCTACATATATCACATGATTATACCTTACTACTAAATTGTACCCTCTGATACAAGTATGCTTCAATTTCCATCTTTAGGAGCTTTTTGCAACAACAAAACAGTTGCTGAAGACTGCAGTCAGGTTCTATGTCAGTGTGTCCACCTGCTGAACTTTGACCTGGGCGACATTGTAGAGTTTGTCCTTGTGTCCTTCACCAACACAGTTGTCCACCCAATGCACATGCATGGCCACTCCTTCCGAGTTGTAGCCATGCGCAGTGTAAGTTGCCAAGTTTACTATTTGTATATTTCTTCTGCTCAAGGGAATTATTTCACATTATGTTATATATTGTTGATAGCTGACTCAGTCAATACCGCTCAAGCCAGTCTGACATCCCATAAATATTTTCTGCAACCCAATCAGCCTGATCAACATGGCGGCCCATATCTTGTTTAAAGATCCAGTCTCAGTGAAGATCCCAGCCAAAGACCACCTGACTGGGAAGTAAAGACTCCAAGTAGTCCTGAGATATGTGGTGGTGACAAGCATGTCCTTAGGGTCGAACCCAGTCTCACAAACTGCATGCTAGGCTTATGGACAAGCAAAGATGCCTGTCATGATCTTAAGTACAATGACCCATGACCGGCTGAGGGACTGAATGACTGACACTGCCACATCAGGACTGCTGCCTGAATGTCTGACACTCCAACAACACACATAACTGTAGCAATGATGCTAGTCCAGCAGGAAAGTCTCATATATCCCATTGAACTTGTAAAGTTGTTTTAATTAGGCCATCTGTGATGGCTTCACCAAGTATCACCACGGTGTACACAGATTTGAGTAGTTAAAACTTCAAGACAAACCATATTGCCCCATATGTATCATTCACTTACTAAAATAAGTATCATCAGTGGCGCTTTGGCCTGCAGGTTGAAGTTATCTTTGTAATTTTTTTCTGTCATGAAGAACTCGTACATATTTACCAGTAACATTGTGAAATTCTCTTTTGTCTAGTTTTATCATGACCTCACAGTAGAATCAGTGAAGTCCATGGATAGGAAAGGAAAGATCCACAGAAGAACATCTAAAGCTCCATATAAGGACACTCTTGCTGTGCATGCTCAAGCCGTGACCATAATTCGATTCCGAGCCAACAACCCAGGTGCGTATCTAGATCTGAAAGAGTATGTACAAATAAATATCACTCATTACCAGAATACACTCATAATAAAAGTATGTTTCTTCGACCACAATATCAACGGATCAGGTCAACAATATCATTTCTCAGAATCTGAAATACTTCAGCAGTACTAAACGTTATAGTGACTTTACTGGGGGGTAAGTATCATCAGGGCGCTTTGGCCTGAAAAAAATTTATTCTAATTTTTTTATGCATGAAGAACTCGTTAATATTTAAGTAACATTGTGAAATTCTCTAAAAACAACGTTTCAAATGACGTTTGGGGGGTATTTAGAATCAGTGAAGTCAGATAGGAAGGGATCCACAGAAGAAATCTAAAAAATCCATATAAGAAATATGCATGCCTCAAGAAAAATGAACATAATTCGATTCCTGAGCCAACAACCCAGGTGCGTAAAGATCATAATAATAAAAATCAATGTTTGTTCACCCCTATAAAAAAACTACTGAACCGATTTAGCTGAAATTTTCATGGATATGTTTGTGGTGATACAGGATTTTGAAATAAAGGTTTGAAATTCAATGTCGACTGGTTAGAGATAGGTGACCACAATTTATGCCAAAATATACGCAACTAATATTTAGAACTTTAGTGATTTTTTAAGCCACTGTTAGTAATTAATCGCCGGCGAGTTACGTGCAAACAGCCTTCTCTAATAATAATACCCATAGAGTAGGTCGTTGGTACAGCAAACAAGACTATTTTTATTTGCTGGTTTGCCCACAATAATCAAATTAAACCCGATTTCTATTTTCTGTTTTTTTTTAAAACACACCTTCGATGGAAGGGAGGGGGGGGGGGGGGGGGGGGGACTATCTCGAGTCGGGCAGACAGTGACTGCGACATTAACTTCATTAACCGTGTTAGACACGTGCGATTTTCTATTTCATTAATATATCTGGGGAGTATCTGTCTACGAAAAAACAATTTGCCTGCGGTTTGAATTGTGTTTTAATCGTGAACACAGTAGTAGGGAATCACATGTCTAATAGTCGAGTTCTCTTTTGTTGTTCCGATTAATGCTATGTCGAATGGTTAGAACATGAGTTTATGTGCGGTTAGACCTGGGTTACAGTCGTAAATTTTTTTTTTTTACCCCGGACTAAAATAATATCCTTCATTCTGCTCTGTCGTGGTGACAGCATAGACATGTCTGCCTTAAATTTTTAAAAAAAAAAAAAAAAACAAGTAAAATGGGGAAACCATTTGATAATAAAATTTGACCATTTTGCATTTCATACTTATGATTGCATTGTTAAAACTATCCGATGCCATTTTATAGATTTCATTAATTAATTAGATTTAGTTATATTAAACTGGGTTGGAATTTTAAGCTGTGCTGTTTACAATGGCGTTCATTTCCTAAATTATGGTGTTTTTTTCCTGTGTTCGTTTGCTTTTCAAGTGTTTTTTTTTTTTCCCAACTACTTCAATGAGGGAAAGAGTTTGTAGTGAATTTTGGGGGGAGGGGGGGGGGGGGGCAAAAAATTAACTGAGAGAGCTTTAAGTCACAGTAACTGCTTTACCCACTTAAAGTAACAGCCAGCAGTAATAGTTGTTACACCAGGCTATTACACCAAAGTGCTCTCATGTGAAGACCGACAGGTAAGGTTATGGCGTTATTCTTGTCGGCAAGTGCCAAAATTAACAATGGTAACTGACCAGTCTGTGGCGAACAGCACTAGACATGCGGGAACCAGATCACGACTCTCTGTCTACTCCGATGGTAAAACAGATGAGTGACATTATTTTAGTTGTAAATACTGGTACTTGAAGGATGATGTGGGTAAATATTACACTAGGCCCTATTCACTACCTTTTACAATTCCTGCTCCCTATTTTAGTCCAGATGGACAAGGGATGTCAAAGTCAGTTAACAGCAACAACAAAATATCGCCATGTATAATCAAATATTCGGAAGAGGGAGAGAGCAGTAGTGGTGGAAGAGGGGAGGTGGGTAATGACTTAAATTAAGAGAAAATTAAAGAGCTTTTACATTTGATTTTAAGTTCTCATTGCCTTAATTTGTTTATATTTTACTAACGCTACCTCCGCTTTTCTATTTTTACGACTTACTTAGTTACTTCACAAGTAGTTGTAGCTTTACTTCCGTCCCCTATAAAAATACAAAACAGCTTAAGCATGTGATAAACAAATAACCATTTTGTTACTGTCTAAACGACCACTAATATAAAGACACAAAAAGGTGCGTGTTCATAAAGTTGGAAAGAAACCAACTATCGCTAATCCGTGCAAAAAAATGATTGGTCTGTATTAGACACGCGCATTTCCATTGTCCTTCTTTTAGAAAAAATCGTTGATGAGGGATAGTAGTAGGTCGGGATTTTAGTGTGGTGGTTGGGCGGGTAAATAAAAGACTATCTCTATATCTGAGCACAATGATTGTAAAGAGGCTACGTTGTTTTCTATTTTTTCTTCCATTTAGCCAAACTATGTAAAGACTAATGTACAAATAAATGTCATTCATTACCAGAATACACTCATAATAAAAGTATGTTTCTTCGACCTCAATATCAACGGATCAGGTCAACAATATCATTTCTCAGAATCTGAAATACTTCAGCAGTACTGAACGTTAAGTGGTGATTTTTTTGGGGGGGGGGGAAAAAAAATGTTGGTTTGGGGGGCTTTTTTTTTTGTTGCTGTTGTTTTAAAACCCTCAGGGGGGACAAGGCCCCACCCTCCCCCCCTCTCATTGGGGGGGGGATTTTTAAAAACTGTTGGCCTTCTTCTTTTTTTTCTTTTGGGGGACTGTTAAAAAAAAAAAAAAAAAAAACACCCCAGGGGGGGAAAATTTTGTTTTAATAGTTGAGCAATGGTTTTAGAAACAGAAACAGGCGTTGACGTGATAATGAACAAAGGATTTAAAGGACACCCTGTGTAAGAAAGCTCGTGAGCTGGGAAATCTGGCATTTCCATAATCCAATGATGTACACAACATTTTACACGGGATCTGTTTTATGATGATAATGATGATGATGTGTTTACAGCCACTGACACAAATACGCACGCAATAAATATGCATGCAAGTTGGTGGAAAATGACTCATCTTTTGATGCTAATCTAATGAGGTGACTCAGCAGTGAAGCCTGGTCAACCATGTCTATGTCGTCTTCAAGGGAAGCTTCAGATATTATTAGCAACTTCTCGTTAAAAACAGTAGAGGTACTTTGAAATATTGTCTGCACCACAAAAATAAACACACATGGGAGAGTTCAGCGTGCAGTGATGTTGGCAGTGATTAGAAAAAATAAATATATAATAATATCACTTTGAGAAGAGGCTTGGACTTGGTGCAAAACCAAACAACAGCAATATATATCAAGAATACAAAAATAATCATCATTTAGTGCTCTGTTTAAGGTGAAATTCAACAGTGAAAGATCTCCTGAAGTATATCCATTTCCCTTTTAATGTCTTTTTTTTTTTTATTATTAACGTCTTTGACTTTGTCTAGTTCTTTAGACTTGAAATTGTTTTGACTTGAACAAGATGAGTGGTGCTTTTGCTGTTACCTCAGACAGCCCCACCATTGATACTTTGACTGTAACAGGAATTGGCATGGTTGAGAACTCCAAAATTCATACATACGTGCATACTTAGTGTCTCAATGTGTGTGCTCAAGAAAATCAAGACTGGCTTCACTAGACAAGAATGAATTCTCTCCTTAAATGTATCACTAACGACAAATCTGACCTTTATTTTTGTGCGGCTATGCAGATGTTGGGGTAACAAGCGTACAGATTGACAAGACCTGTCATTATTACATGTCAGGCAGTGGACTGGAGCAGTGTCATTTATGCCATGTGACATGCACATCTTGAACATGACTGTTGCAACAAGCAACATTTTATTCATGTCCAGGTTGACGGATATGGGAATGCAAAAAAGTTGCCAGACATGAATATTTCACCAAGGGTACAAGATGTCTGATAACAAATACAGAATGTGTGCCATAATTTTTGTGTGTGAGATTATGAAGCTACTTAGGAGGAGATCAGAGCACCTATGGATCTGTCAGGACCGCTCTGATTATAGTATCAGCAATTGCTAAATATTACACATTAAGGATCCATCGCCCAGCTCTCAATTAATAGTCTGGTGCATCACTGTGTGCTGTAGATGTCACATGGAATGTTTTTTAATTTTTCTGTTGTACCTGCAGGGGTTTTGTGTTGTAGGGTGCACTAAAATGACAGCCAGACGATTACGTTAGGAATGTTGTGTAATTATGCAAGTGTACAAGCGCTGACTTTCATGGTTGATGTCTTGCATCAACACTGAGCTGTAAATTCCAGTAGGAGACTGTTAGTCTTGGCACAGGTGATGGCTGCCTCATGCATTTCTTTGCGTGTGCAAGTTTCATGATTTTGCTGGGTGTCATAGAACTGTAACTCATAACAAATCTGTCAGGGCATATACAGCAACATGGATGCCGTTAGAGTGATCAAACTGGCCATATGCCTATTTATTACACCTATTTATTACAACCACTGTGAAACAGAAGACCACCTGAAAGACTGCTCGCGTTGATACAACCTTGCCACAACCTCTCCAGGTGCTTTAAAATTGCCACTATCACCTTGGTAAGAAGAACAGGGTTCTTTTGTTTATTCTAATTAACCCTTAGGAACCTAACATAGTTATACACATGCAATACAACAATGTTATCAGTGATCAAGAGAATATTTCAGTAGTGTAATGCTGTTAGTATTTAAGAGACTTATTAGTGTTTAAGAGACTATTTTGATAGCACCATCAGTAATTGAGAGAAAAATCCTTAATCTCGCTAGCTGTTTTTAACAGGATAACTGACATACAGTCATGAACCACTGGTGTTGGCACTCTCCGTGTGGTATCCAGGTCTCATTTTGGGGAAAAAAGAATAGACCCACTGCCTCCCCAAATAGCATGTCGTAGGAGCAGACTAGCTGGGGGGGGGGGGGGGGGGTGGGGGGGGGGGGGTCTTTGAAGCTGGAGTATATCTGCATGAGAGGTGACGAACAACCAACTGCAAACAAACAACAACAAAAACCTAGTAAAACAGATGTACACCCAAAGCTAAGGCACAGTACCAAGCAGAGTCCAAATGTACGAACAACCAGGACTTCCGCTGGAGCTTACAGCCAGTGAACAAAGAAGAAGAAGCGTATTGGTACGGCACTAGCAAATGATCACAAACTAGCAAACGTAATTACTACTTTCTATGAAATAATCAACTTTGTATATTTCTGTTATAGGCTACTTGCACATCTGTTGTACTACCTATCAGTCAGTCACAAGTCATGTGATTACACACACTCAATTTAACAACATACTACTGCTGGTTTTAAGAATTCCCGTTACTAACTCCTAAACTTGTTGTAAACATTAATCTGTCAGTCAACAGCAATCACATCTCTGTGTTCGAGTCCCTGGGTCAATTCCCAGACAGAACAGCTACCTGTATTTCTGTCTCATCTCATCACTTCAACCATCGGCCAGCAAATCTCTTATGTTTACGGGACTGATATGTTTTCAATAGTTTGTTGAAATTTGACTGTGAAGGACTTATATGTTTTTCACAGTTTGTTGAAATCTGACTTTGGAGGACTAATATGTTTCTTACAGTTTGTTGAAATCTGACTGCGAAGGGCTGAAATGTTTTTTACAGCTTGTTTAAATCTGACTGTGAAGGACTGATATGTTTTTTATAGTTTGTTGAAATCTGACTATGAAGGACTGATGTGTCTTTATAGTTTGTTGAAATCTGACTGTGAAGAATATTTTGTTGGATTTCCACTGGCATAGGAACGGAGCAATTATGGGGTGACTTGTCTGTGATAAAGTTGGAACACTGACCCGCAACTGATTATCACCTACACGTGATAATAAATGGTTGCTATTCTTGAAACACATAGTTGTGTTTCTTCTGTGCCACACTTACTAAACCTCTGCTGTAAGCAAAACTCACAATTATGTTTTTTCAGTTCTTTATGAGCTCTCACCCCCACATTGACTGCAAGTTACTTTGCCCTAATTTAACTCTTATGCAGTTGAATGGGTTTTCTGGGATTTGATCACTACTCTGTTTGAAACACAGAATGTATTTTTTCCCACTATCCCCTTCATAGCTATATCTGAAACATTGAATGCAATTTCCCTGGTATCATCGTCTCAATCATTTCTATATTTGGTACAAGAAATGATGATTCTTCACTACCACACTTACTAAATCACTATTGTTTTATTCTTTAACAAAAAACAACACAGGATTCTGGTTCTTCCACTGTCACATAGAATTCCATGCAGAGCTTGGGATGGCTATGATTCTACAAGAAGGCCAGGGTCGTGAGATACCCAGACCTCCTAAAGGATTTCCAACTTGTGGATCTTGGACACCTCACCATGTTAAAACGGTACTCGTAAAAGAACAGCAAGGAGCAGCAGATGCTGAAACTTCGACAGGGAGTTATGGAACCATCCTGGGTGTTCTGATCGGAGTGATTGGTTCAGCTGTTATTATCATTGTAGTATTGTTTCTTGTCTTTCGTGGAAGATGTGGAGACAAGCAAAGTGTGCTATTCTCGCCTATCAAGGGTGGGAATAGTATCAGGTACAACAGTTTGTCATGATCAGTGGGCAATAAATATTCCCAAAGACAACAGTGCATGAACATAATCAATTGCAACCTTCCTCCACTGTGGAGGCAGCACAGAATGTAGCTAGCATGCAGTAGTAGTAATATCATCATAGAGATCATGTTCAATCTTTCAGGGTCAAAAGGAAGATATTTAGAGCTCTTGTCTTTTAGGACAGTTAAGAGAATTTCTGTTTTTATGTCTGTCTAATATTTTTGGCTATTTAATATTACATAAATTATAAAAGTTAATTTTAACACAACATGTGAATATATATTATCAGTGGTGAGTATAATAGATTTTAAGCGTATTTTCAAAAAATTGTGGAAATGAGATTGTGTTATCCCCCTATAGATTATTATAAGAGATCTTAAATATTATTTTTGTTATTATTTTTGCATTATTAAATCCTCCCCACGTGGGATGACATTTTTTGTTATTTGAAGCCCCACCCTGGCTTTTGCTGGGGGCCCTGAAAATAGCCTAAATATATGGCCTCACGGCTAAAATGGGTTTCTGGGACCTCTCAACGGGTGATCCTCAGCCACATGGTGGCACCTTGTGTCACCGGGTGTTTATCACTTGTATGATATCCTAGTGGGGTAAAACTACCTACCTACCTACCTATCTATTATTGTTATTATTACAGTTAATATTATTATTACTATTATTATTGATTCGAACATAAATATACTTTATGTAAATGTTTTTGTTTTATTGGGCAATGTATTTTTTTATCTTTCCCTGTAGTTGTTTAGAGCTATCAATTTTTACCCTGCTTTTACAGTGCCATAGGCTTATTGTCATGATAAATGCTATACATGAAGCTTGTTTGTTTTCAAATACTGTTGTTTTCTGTATTCTTCTAGATATATTGCACAGTGGTTTTCAAGCATTTTTCTTGACTCCACATTTTCAGTTATAGGAGCCACCATATTGTAGCCTGATGCTCACCTGTAGGTCATAAGGTCCTGGGTTCAAATCCGCAGGTTTCTCTTTCCAAATTGTCCTTGGCTACCAGATGGAGCCAGCTAGAAATGAATACTGGACAAAGTGCTGGAAAGTAAGGATAGCTGGCTGGATGTTGACTACATTATTCACGAGAACCAATTGGTCCGTAAAGTAAAGGTCTCTTTTGACACCAGAGGCACATTGGGCTTATCAGTCTAGACATATATTTTTACCGATGGGACTTAACTTCCGGAGGGCTTTACCTGGTAGCCATGTAAGGTTTGGTCAACATTGGAGCCAAGGTCATGTATGCAAAAATCTGGCTCCAGGCAGATTTGAGCACATGATCATGAAGCAAATAAGGATTTTTGCTACACCCTTTAGGAGTGTGTATTTTTAAAAACATTATTTACTTTCAAATCTTAACAATATACATGCCAGCCTCTTGTGCAGCACCATTTGGAAATCACTAAAATTTATGAGCTTCAAATGAAAACTTTCTTGTTATATTTGTTGTCTAGATGTTTGTACTCTTTGATCATAAGGTCACAGCTCATTGACAATAATGACAACGTGAAAATCAGATTAAAACCATATCAGTGGTCAAATGTGTTGTACTGAATAAGATTTCTTTAAATATTCGTACCAAATGTAAGACATACAATTATAAATGCTACACATGTTGAAAAAAGCAATTGCACACTAATATATGCTTGAGATAGGCTATAGAAAAAGGTCATATTTATCAGAACTTTACAATGCTAGTTCTTAACACATGACTCATGGTGGGGACAACACACACATTTTGAGACATTTTGAAGACTAAACATACAGCCTCTAATATTAGTAGGATTATGTTTTATGACCAGTCTCATTAGCACTAAGGGTAATCCAACCACACAAAATAAGTACGATTTCATTTTAAGAATGTTTTGGAAAAAGTGGGAAAAAGAAAGTAAGAATGCTATCACACCTCATTATGTATATTCACTGGCAATATGTAAAGAAAAAGGCAAGCACTCCACACAAAAATGTCAGTATCTTTTTAAGTCAGGATACATATTATTGTGTACTTGTTATAAACATATTACTGTGTATTTGTTATAAACCTTTTCTGTTATCAAAAATTTTCCTTGTCTCATCTCTGACAGAGATAATCCTCTATTCCATCTAGCTGAACTGTCTAGGATCTTCTCTCTTGACCTCTATTCCGTTTTCCTCCCCCCTCCGACTTCCCCACTGTCATGGCGAACTCCGTTTTCTCTTTCTAACGTAGTGACCCAAAAAATGTGAATGTTTTCCTGGTGCGGAAATTTTTCAAACCACCATGGACTCCCACATCTATAGTTTAAAATATGTACCAGGAAAATGCCTGGGGAACAAAGGCAGGTATCGTGATATTTATCACATCTCTCAGTGAGCGCCAGTTGGGTCTAAAACTTTGGGGGTTCACCATAAACTCAATTATTGGGTTCAAATCTGCATTGAGTGGATTTTTTTCTTCAAAATTGGCTTTGGCTCCCAGGTCAACCCAGCCTAAAATGAGTACCAGCTACTGCCCTGGGAAGTAAAGGTGGCAGACATACTGTTGAACATATAACTGGCCAAATGCTGACTGGTCTGTTAAATATAAATCTAGCATCACATTCGCACACGACAACATGAAAAGGGCCCTAAACACTTCACTGTTACCATATACTGCTTTACCTTGCTGAATTTGCCATCATAATGCTAAGCAATCCTGTCCGAAAGGTTTTAAGTGATGCTGCTACATAATTATGTTTACACTGACATCATCATAATGTTAAGCCATCCTACCCGAAAGGTTTTAAGTGATGCTGCTACATAATTATGTTTACACTGACATCATCATAATGCTAAGCAATCCTGCCCGAAAGGTTTTAAGTGATGCTGCTACATAATTATGTTTACACTGACATCATCATAATGTTAAGCCATCCTGCCCGAAATGTTTTAAGTGATGCTGCTACATAATTATGTTTACACTGACATCATTCTAATGTTAAGCCATCCTGCCCGAAAGGTTTTAAGTGATGCTGCTACATAATTATGTTTACACTGACATCATCATCATTCTTTGTGCTGTGCATGTGTAACATAAAGCTTACAACCCTCCACTTTGTTCTGCCATGCATATTCCTTTTCATACCTTGGATAAAATACAGTCAAGTGTTTTGTCTGTTAAAAAATACTCTTTTAGAGTTTCTACACTGATAACTAGAATGCAAATAATTATGTATCATTTTTGCTTATTGAATACATTTAAAATTAAACAGATGATACAATTATTTTTTTTTTTCTTGTGTGTGTGTGTGTGCGTGCACTTTTTAAGCTTGGTCAACCTGGGTTGGCAGGCCCAGTATTTACCCACTGTGCTACCACAGCTCACTAACATCATATATACAGTTGTGGCCAAAAGTATAAGACCAGCTAGTCAGAAATTTATATTTCCATACTTCTAGTCCATTAACTCTGCCAGTTTGTCAAAGTTTGTCTGACTGGTATCTGATGATTAGTCTGTAAACTGGCATCTTTGGTGGCAAACAGTAACAATTGTCTGTATTTTATTCATGTTTTTGCAAATGTAATTTCCATGGATGATACCACTGAAACAATTAAACGGTCCAAATATAGCTACAGTCTGTGTTGTCACAGTTTATAGTATAAGGATGATGCAATAGATTACAATTATTGCATTTATTATTTCTTCTTTTCTGCCTTTATTCCCCAAGTATAGGTCCTCAAAAACAAATTCAAAGTCATCCCATCCTTCTATTATTACATGCTGCTCACCCCCAAATCCTCCCAATATTTTTAAAGTCACTCTTTGGCTCTCATCGCCATGTGTTTTGTGGTCTGCATTTATATATATGCTCCTGTGGGTTCCAGTGCAAAGATGCAATACTCTGTTATAGTATGGAAATACCAGTTTTTGTTGGTCCATCACTGTAGAGAGACCAACGCCTATAGACACAAGACAGCAACATTCAAAACACTTAATACAAAAGCAACAAAACTATTGAATATCTGTCAAAAGAATTTTTATTGAACCAGAATTTCAATGAATCAAATTTGACTGCTGAATAAGTAAAAATCCCTATATTTATTTGTCTGAATCCAAATGAATTATTCATAAAGCTTTATAAAGTCAATTTAAATCTGAACTAAGGCAGAAATCTGTCTTGTAACTGAAGCGGCTATCAGTTTAGTTGGCGTTTTTTGTCAGCTTGAACACTGAAGACAAGATGTATAGTACATACGGCAAAGCACTTCAATAATTTGGTTACATGGAGAGACACTATTACTTTATCAAAAACATCAAGTTACAAACAGAAACCAAAAGGAACTAAGTAAAACACATCAGTCACACACAAGCATGTGCAAAATCTCATGTACAACTTTCAAACAAGAAGGACACTGACATTTTTTTAGGCTATGATATTCATGAAAATATTTTACAATGCTGCTAATTAAACATGCCATGTACTGAAAATAAAACTCATAAAGATACATAATTTTGTTTTTAATCAGCCTGCATTTAAAACATCTACATTTATTCTTTTAGCCAGTCTGTTGGTTCGTTTATTCTGCACCTCATTAATAACAAGTATCAAAATCTGGCCAAATCATTTAGAGAAGAATAAAAGTAATTTCTTAAATATTTTCTACATTTCTATTTCTTTACAGAGATAATTAAAATTACACTCCTACATTCATTATAACCAATCAAGCTGACTTTGTGGCTTGTTAATGAACTAGTAATTTTAAAATCTAAGCCTTACTAATTTATCCAACTTGGCAAATGAACAAACAATATTTTTAAACTACATCATGCTTTCAGCATGCAGATGTTTCAAACACAGAATGACAAAAAAATTAAATTTTGAAGGGATACATTAATCTGATGGTTTTATACAGCATCAGAACAAGGAGTGTTATTTGGATGGGTAATTTTTGTAGATGAAAAATGAGTTTAGTAACTGCCATCTTACTATTTTCATACACAATCTGCAACCAGTGTACACAATGAGAATTTTCTCAAATCGGTTCTGTTTCTGCCTCGAGATCTTGCACAAGAACAATAACTGAGGTCAAATGAAAGCAGTGCACCCTCCCCCCCAAAAAGAAAGCCCTGAAAGTACATACTGTAAGTAAAACAGTGAATAACTTTCACTGCACCTTCTTCAGAGCAGGAATTCAGACTGTTTGCCACACGGTAATCTAATACTTACTCTACTTAGTGTGTTATGCTGTTTGTTCCAAAAGTACTGTAAATCCTTAGAACAAAGCCGATTTAGTTATCATTAGAACCTTTTTGGATATATTTCTAGACTTTCTATTTTCCATGCCATATAGCACAGAACTGTCTAGTGGAAGTGTCTTCGGAATGGCACTGGTATTGGTCAATTTACCACAGATACTTATCTTATGAAACTAGATTGACCAGAGAGCTGAAACTTTATGAAACTAGATTGACCTGAGAGCTGAAACTTGCCAAGAAAACCTCTTACTAAAACTTGGAAATGAATCCCAGACCACAGCGCTAGTGAACTAATGCCTTAACTATTATGTCTGTCTTTTGTGCTTTCAACTGCAGTTTAAACACAATGAATAGCATTTAACTGGTACATTTCTATTTAGTTCAGTATGTTAATATCTAGGTTTTCTAAACACAAGCTGTTGTGTTTTTCCCGCAGCCAAAAGCTTTCTAGTAGTACTGTAGAAGCGATCACCTGAAGCATGGAGTCTCAGTGTAGTTTAATAGAGATATACCAACCATGACAGGACTCAGCTGTACTTTTGTCTCGAAACACTCACGAAACTGACAGAAACACAACATGAACAGCCATCAAATATCTGGGGTTTTGATGTGCACTGTCCAATCTGATGTGCACACTGATGCTTGAGAGGACAAAACTTTAATATATGAAGTCCCCATTTTTAAAACCAAACTACATTACTTCAACAACTCCTTTTTTTCATCTCATATAGTGTATATAAAATAAGGAACTCCAGAGAAAACAGCAAAAATAAATTGAAAACCTAACAGTAAAGTAGAATAATTAAACCAAAGATTTAGATTAGGCATTTTTCTTTTTTAATTAATTGCTTTACAAAATACTATTTCTTTCTAATCGTCTTTCTTGTGTTGAAATTTCACATTTTGTTTTTACTGATCGAAAGCTGATCAACTGCAAGCTGATTGCAGGCTGATTTAATTCAACCTGTACATTTACATAGCTCTGTGTGATCTGATAAGTTTCTACTCTCACAGACTTCTTTGTTAATTATTCAAGTCAAGTGTAGACATGCTATGCCTTGTTTAGTTTAGAGGCCCTCACCTCGTATATTTTTTAATCCCATTCTGCTACACACCATTTGTTAATGAAGTCCTACTCATTGCTATATTTCTGTATTACTTTTCCGACCCGCTACTTATTATTTTGTGCATTCTGTATTTTTCCAAATTGCTACTCATCATTATATGCCTGCATTACTTTCCCAACTTTCTATAGCTTTCCTAGAAAGAAAAAAAAAACACATTAACTGGAATTTCTCTTAACATTATCATAAAAGATAATCATAAAGAAAATAATATAAGGGCAAAATTGAGCAGCATCACACAATTAATTGCACCACTAAATGAAAGTTAAAAAAAAAAAAAAACTGATTGTGGACAATGATACAAGCTAAGATATTATTTGTCTTGCCCTTCAAAGATAACTTAATGAATAATAAAAGTTTTTAAACAAACAAAAAAACTTACATGTCAGTGAGTAGGTATAGATATTCACATCTGTCGTTTGTACAAGCTTTTGTGTTATAAAGCACATTCAGATGCACATACGTCACATATACGTTACTCAAACATATAACAGGGTTAATGAATATGTATATTATGTATATATATTTATTTATAACTGTATATTTATATGTGCAAACCATAGCTTGTATTCTGTGATAATACACGAATCTGAAAACACTAACAGCCCATACAACTTAATATACAAGTATAACTGAAAAAGACAAAAGACGTTTAACTCATTCATAATGCAAAATCTTAGAAAGATGTTTATCTGCTGATGTGGTTTAACTCATTCATAATGTAATGTCTTAGGAAAGATGTTTAGTTTGCTCTGTCTGTATGTAAAATCTTTCCAATGTCTTCTGAACTGTTTGTTACTTGCCTTATTATAGCATGTTTAGCTTGAGGATTTATAGCTGCTTGGCTAGTACAGTCACCACAAACTGTGCAGTTCTGGAATTTATTTTGCTTTTGATATTTAAACATTTTGCCACCCAGCTGAGGATTTGAACCTCAGTCTCTAAAATGAGGGCCCAGTATTTTAACCACTAGACAAGACAACATTCTGAAGAAAATTTGCAAAAGTCAATTCTAAATAAAAACAGTAACAATCTAAACCACAAAACAAATAATGTATAAGAGTACAAGTTCTGATCGCTCACAAAATAATTTATTTCATATCAGTAATTACTTGCATAGTGAATGAGTTAAAACAATTGCATAGATTCATCTAGCACCATTTTGGGCTAACAGAAATACTGAGACAATGGCAGAATTGATTGGTCATTTCTGAGAAAAAAGCAGAAATGAGTTGTCATTGCTACCAGAGACAAAGGCAGGAGTGAGTAGAGTAATCTCTAACTTAAACAAAGGAGGGGTAAATAGTCATTTCTAACTTAGACAAAAGCAGGAGCGAGTAGTCATTTCTAACTGAGACAAAGGTAAGAGTGAGAGGTCATGACTAACTCACTTTCTAAGGTGATAATGATACTCATGACAACCATATTTTTCCACAAAAATCCTTGGAAACAAAGCATTTGATTGTAACAACTAGATTGTCTTATCTGCAGAGACCTCCTTTCACACATTTTTAGTACAAACAATACATCTACTGACACGGTTTCGCAAGTTGCCTGCCTTCAATGTTTGACTTATTGGTGTAGAAAACTGCGCATTTTGTTCTATTGTTGCTAGCCAGAAGCTGAGTTTATTTGCGAAATAGTGGCAGGTGCCGCGAGCACCGTTACACTCAATGAATGGAGTCGGACGGAAGTCCTCCAGGCAGCTTCCAGGACTGGACAGGGACTGACCTCCACCTCCAGGTCCTGCTGCTGTGTGCTGCAATGAGATCAAATTAGATGTATTAACTGTATGTTGTATGTGAAAAAAACATTACAGCTGTCTTCTTCTTCTTCTCTTCCAATCTTTACCTCAGTGAAGTATTGGGGGAAGTGTAATATTCACTGATGAGCTCTGTCAAGAGCACTATTAAGACTGATGTTCATTTCTTTAAGGCTGTTCTTTATGCCATCACACCATATTTTACAAGGTCTTCCCCTCACTGTATACCCCTTGTAACGTTTCAGTGTGACTTGCTCTGGTAGATAGTACTAGGGCATTTTTTTTTTTATATTCAAACCTCTTCATTTGTTGTTCTTTGATGACCTGTAAGACTGGTTTTATTCCTTACATTTGTCTGATTTTGTGATTTTGTTTTCTGTCTTTCCTTAAAACTCCTGCAGATCTTCTAAAGCATTTCTTTTCTGTTGCCACAATTTTACACTCATTGGAGGATGTAAGTGTCAACTTTTGACACTGATAGCATAGTGTTGGCCAACAAATAGTTCTAATAAGATTCACTTTAGTACTCCGGAGTATCTGCTTGTGTGTCAACAGGGGAAATAGTTGCCCTAGTAGTTTATTAGCTTTGGTACATCTTGAGCTAATGTCTCTGTCCAATTCTCAAACAAGACATATATTAAACAATGAGAGGCCCAGCTCTCTAGCGTAGTTGGCTAAACCGGATTGCGCAGAGACTGGGTGACGAACTCCTTGTGGTCCGGGTTCAATCCCGGGGGTAGGCAGGAAAGCCACATTTCTCCCAGATTTACGGTATCTACAATGGAATCAAGGCCGAAAGGTTGTGATATCCATAATACTGAGCCTAAGGGTTAACATAAACTCATGGCTTCTGGATACTAAAACAAACAAACAACAAACAATGAGAGAGGTGCAGAACATGAGATAGAGCAAGACCAAGATGGAAAAATAATATTAGAGAACCTCTACAAAAGTACAATGTGTCCATGGTCAAGATGGCTTGAAAAGCAAGAAAAAGAAGCTTATATTAGATAGACAGAGGGAAGTGAAGATAAAGAAAGAAAGAAGCTAGTTCAATTAAACAAATGTTACAAATAAATAGAACAGTTTTTAATATGAAAGACATTATGGCCATTTCAGTACTTATTCAGGTGAGTAAACAGTTTAAAAATACAGATGTTTCTGCTGTTCTTTGTATTGAACAAAATACTTTGGTTGTTTACTAGAGCATCATGTTTTATATATATGTTGTTGAGTTGAGTCAAGAATTGATATCAAAGCACTTGGGGTATTCCCATGTGTTCTCTGTCCTCATCTTCAGCAGCCAGCGAAAAAGTTCCAATACTGATGGTACCAGTCAGTCTAGTTAAATGTCCATCTTGCCTTTCCTCTGTGTGTAATGAGCCGGCCAGACCCTCTGGTTACACCCAGGTGCCTCATTCTCTCCAGGCCATAATAATCTGGTTTCTCTACTGATTCATTTGCTTGTTCCCAAAAGGCCTATGCATGTATCAATTCACCACCCAGTGGTGCAGATCCAGCCAATCTATCTGCCTGTTCATTACCCACCACGCCAGCATAGCCTGGAGAAAAGATCCGAAGTATGCTACCTACCCGTGACCTTTCCAGTGAAGCTTGCCACTCTTATATATATATATATATATATATATATATATATTATATATATATATATATATATATATATATATATATATATATATATATATATATATATATATATATATATATATATATATATATGTGTGTGTGTGTGTATACATATATATGTGTGTGTGCACGTATATGTTTAAAATAAAAAACCAGTTTTCTACAATAGATACTTCAAATGTTTTATGGACTATTATAATGCCAGTTATTTACAGTTAGCTGACAGATCATTCTCACTATACATTAAACCATACATCCTTTGATCCAGTGTGCAGCAGCTGAAAACAAAAGTTGGCTTACTATTGTCTCTTTACACAAACAGCAATTTGCATGTTAGTCCGTATGTTTTTTCTTCAACTTATATGGAACAGTAAATTTATTTTTTGCAAAAACACTGTTACAATTTTATGGGAATTTAGTCAGAATTAAACTGTATTTAATTGTTTTTTGGCACCAAGGAATGTATCACACATTAATTACAACTAATTTAACAGTCAGCTGGTACCCTAAAAGTTGAAATGAACAGAAGAAGAATGTCACATTTATTATGACTATACCAGAAACTACCACTACAGTGCTCAGCCCCAACAGACTGAACATCTGTGCCTGGCCACAGTAAATGGCTGGCAACCAGGTAATGGCACTCTTGAAGGTAATGTGACCAGCAGCCTACCAGCCATGCTATCTGTAGAAGGAAAATTATGCCTGTCTTTAAGGTTGAGTTCTTCCAGCAACCTGGTTCTCAGAACAGACTCAACTCTCTCGTTGTCTGTAAATTAGGCACTTGCATTTGCGCTGTATCCAAGACAGACAGTGATCACTACAAGAACTGGTGACTAAACTTCACAATGATATCTTTAATATCTGCGATATCTCAAATTATCAAAACTCATAATGAATTATCTTCTATAAATGGAAAAGAGTGCAATAAAATAAGGAAGTTTTTTGTTGTTGTTGCTGTCATTAACTATAGACATGAATTTGTACAAGGAAATGTCATAAGATGTAAATGGACCAGCATTCAAAGCACAAGGCAACTGGCATGGCTACTTAACCACCAAGATCCACATCTTTCAATATTCAATGCTAGCATATCAGCTCTCTCATTTAATGACAATCTACTACTGTAATAATTTTACATTCATCTTCTGCTTTTTTTGTCTGCCAGAACGAAGCATAGATTTCCAACCAACTCATACCTAATAGCCATTTTTGTTGGCACTACAAGCAGCAGCTCACCCATGTCCTCTCTGTCTTATTCACTGAAGTCTGTAATTCTTGTCTCCATGCTTGGTCTCAAATTAAGACTAGTAGGCAGTAATATTGAGTCTATTTTTATTTATTTGGTCATGTGGGTTCCAGTGCATGGACTTCTAGTTATTATCAAGCTATCTCAATGTTATGTACTGTTATACATCAACATCTTCTCTTGATTCACTGAAATTTATTTAGGTCTCTCTAAAAGTTTTACATTAGTGATTACATTATTTATCATTTAATTCCCTCTGTTTAGTGCAGGTAACTTTTACCTGACTGCAACTATCTCTGAGGTGAAAAAAAAAGTACTGACAACCTTTTAATAAATAACAAAGTAGAACAACAATTGTACCATTGCAAATGAATATCCAATCCAAAGACTGTTCCAGCCTCTAGGACACTCAGGTATTGTCACAGTTTGGCTGTGTATGGCAACAACATTGCTGGGCACATCACACACAACACAACGACTGATGTATGGCTGGATCTCATTCTCCACCACAGGCATCATGGGAACTGGTGCACTGGTTGACAACCAATAGGAGCGATCATTTCGTGATGCGTAGTTGCAGACGTTGTTTATGTTACAGAACAGGAACGGCATGGTGCTGAATCTTTGCAGACACGAGCCCGCCCAGCCTTTAAGGGATAAAAATATCAGCATTTTGGTAAAAATGGTCACATATTATTTAAAACTTCAAATACATTTTCTACCTAAATTCAAAGAAAAGAAAATTAATGCTTTCACAGTCAATAAAAATATTTCAATTGCACATTTAACAAAAAAAAAAAAAAAATATAAAATACATGACTGTTTCTCTACAACCTTTGATAGAAAGTTAAAATAAATCACCATAAGGTTTTATTTATCTTTACACTCTAGAGCAAACTGTTCAACCAAAAATAGAACTATAAAGTTTCATGTTCCTATACACCCTGGGGTAGAATGTTAACACAAAAGACCACAATGTTCTATGTTTCTCTTCTCCTGGGGGTAGAAAGTTGAATCTAAAACAAGACTATAGGAATTTAATTTCCATTGCACCCTAGAGTTGAGTTTCTCTCAAATGCATTATTCTGTACAAGATTATAAAAGCAAGGCAGGAAAACAGACAGTAAAAGAGAGATAAAGAAAAGACTTACCCAAATCTTGATTGTGTGACTTTTCATTGCCCTCTATATACAGCAAGCTGTAGCCATCCCACAGTTTGATCTGGTTTGGGGCACACTGTGGCACATCTCGGGACTGACTGTGGCGCACCAACAGGAATCCTGTAGGTGGAGATGCTCCTGGGACACCTGGTGGGCCTGGGGGACCTGTAGGACCTTCAAGTCCTAGACACCAAATGAAACAAAGAAAGCACCTGTCACAGGCCTTGCAGAGAAATAAATTGTTCAAGCGGGTCAAACTTTTTTTTTTGTTAGTCATTTGCATTATACATCATAAAGGCTAAAAGTTCAGTCCTCCTTTCCATTCAATCCTGTGCAATATTTTCAGTATTACGGATGGAATTCAGTTCTTTGGCCCCTCTCAACAACACTCATCTGAAGGTTTTCTCATCATCATCATCATCAGGTGCCTTGCCGACTGGCGTGGGCGATCATGCCTCTCCATAATCCGCGATCTCCTGCAGCATGTATCAGTTCGTGAGCCGACACACCTCCATGCCATGCAACAAGACTGTCAAGCATCTTCTCTCGTTGTCTTCCTCTATCCCTCCTTCCACAGATCTTTCCAGTGGTCACAACATGGTTTTCTCATGGATATCCTAATTTCCTCATTTCATTTATTTGCCTTTTCAGTAGCTGTTTAACTCTTTCAGTCTCATAAAGCATCATATATCATAGGTTACTTCCAAGAAGCGATGCGCCAATTTTATGTCTCTCTTGACTACCTCTTGGGTTTTTGAAGCTAAACCTCCTGGGACTAAAGGAGTTAATGTTTCTCTGAAAAAAAACACAGAAATGACATAATAAACAAAAAGCTGACACTGTGCCAAAGTCATCGAAGTGCTAAATCCTCATTTTGAGACACTCACAACTGAACAAGGAGATCAGATAAAAATTATCTAGTTGTGTGAAAAGTAATATTTAATTTTAACGTTTTAAAGGCTTTTGCTTTATGGTAATGCAATAAATAACAGCCCTTGAAAACGCACTTAAGTGAAGACAACCAAAATTACACTGAGATAGCTTTAGCATCATACCAACAATACTGTAGTTAAGAATTTGTGTAATGGGTGAAATGCATAGAGTTACTGTCACATAACATTTAGTGACTATCACATTTGCCTATGCAAGATCTGCGTGTTGTGAATGAGTAATTGCTGTAAGTGTATATTATTCTTATCTGTATCCATGCATTAATGAGCCAGTCGTCCTCGAGACAAATGAAAACTGTAAACTGGTCAGAGAAATTAGACATAGACAGCCAGTGTTCTTTCTGGATAGTGTTGAGAAGGAATGGGGTTGAGAATTAGGATGGAACTTGCAAGATTCAGATGGCAAAACATGATCATCTATAGTTATTGAAGGGAACATGATGATGATGACGACATATGGATTTGGAGAAATTTTCTTCTTGATCTATGACCTTTTTGACTTACAACAATCTGTACTTACAACACACACAAAAAATAAATAAAAGCAGTAAATAAATAAAAACAGTAAATAAAGAAAGATTACATTCGTGGGGTCAAAAAGTTCACGGAACTGATGCCTAGAGTGTCCATAGGTGCCTCTGTGTACAATAATTATAATACGAGGGAAAGTCAATAAGTAAATCACAAATGGCTCTTTCCCTAAAGATGATGACAATATGAAAAACCATTATTTTTCAACAAAATGTCCACCAACATTGATGCACTTGTCTCATCGGTTTATCAGTCCTCTAAAACCAGCTGAATAGAAATGCGTGCTCTGTTTTCTAAACCCCATTTTCACTTCACATTCAGCTTCTGTGTCATTCACGAAATTTCTCCCACCAAAGTGGCATTTCATTGGAGCAAAAAGGTAGAAACTGCTAGGGGCTTAAGTTGGAGCAGTAAGGTGGATGTTCCGGAAGCTCCCACCAGTAGTCTGCATGAAGGAGCAGTACTCCTTTAGTCAGCAGACCCGGATGTTTTCTTTAAATTGCAGCATGAAGCATGGATACACCTTTACAGTGTGAATCAAAATTCCCATTGTTAACATTTTTTTTGAGTTGTTTTTTTCCTAAATTGGTTAAAAACACCCATGACAGTCTCAGAACACTGTCAGCTTATCCTTCCCTGCTGATGGCATAAACTTGAATTTTTGAACACAAGGTGAAGAAGGATGTTTCCATTGCATTGAAGTATGCTTTGACTCAGGCTTGTAGTGATGCACCCATGATTCGGGCTTTTAGTGATGCACCCATGATACAGGCTTGTAGTGATGCACCCATGATACAGGCTTGTAGTGATGCACCCATGATACAGGCTTGTAGTGATGCACCCATGATTCAGGCTGGTAGTGATGCACCCATGATTCAGGCTTGTAATAATGCACCCATGATTCAGGCTTGTAGTGATGCACCCATGATTCAGGCTGGTAGTGATGCACCCATGATTCAGGCTGGTAGTGATGCACCCATGATTCAGGCTGGTAGTGATGCACCCATGATTTGAGCTTGTAGTGATGCACCCATGATTGGGGCTTGTAGTGATGCACCCATGATTCAGGCTGGTAGTGATGCACCCATGATTTGGGCTGGTAGTGATGCACCGATGATTCAGGCTGGTAGTGATGCACCCATGATTCAGGCTGGTAGTGATGCACCTATGATTCAGGCTTGTAGTGATGCACCCATGATTCAGGCTGGTAGTGATGCACCCATGATTCAGACTGGTAGTGATGCACCTATGATTCAGGCTTGTAGTGATGCACCCATGATACAGGTTTGTAGTGATGCACCCATGATTCAGGCTGGTAGTGATGCACCCATGATTCAGGCTTGTAGTGATGCACCCATGATTCAGGCTTGTAGTGATGCCCCCATGATTCGGGCTTGTAGTGATGCACTCATGATTGTGGCTGGTAGTAATGCATCCCCAGTAAAAATACCCTTCAGTATATAAATTTGACTTATGACCTGTTGGTTAAGTTAAGGACACCATGTAGTAATATATATATATTTAAAGATACAGTGAAAACTTGATAACCCATGGAGAAGTAGGACATGGTTCTGACAGTTTATTTTGCCGTGATTCCCCTCCCCTAGTAGGAGGCAGCACTCTTTATGGTTTAGGCATGATACTTACTTGGATCATGGGGCAGGCCCTCCTAAACTGTCCTGTGGTGGAAAATAACTAAAGATTCCAATGGACAAGTAAAATGTCTGCCTCTAATTCAAGCACACCTGGTTTATTTATGTGTGAAAGGAATAGATTTTCTCTCTCACTCTCTATCTCTCACATACACACCCCTACACATCTAGAGACACACTCACACACGCATGCACACACATCCACAAAAAGGCAACTGTAAAATGAATAGCCGAGGTGGCTCTCACCTGGACCTCCAGGAACCCCTGGAAGACCATCACGACCCCTGTCACCAATAGGACCAATTTCACCTTTGAAGCCTGGAAGGCCACTTTCACCTTTAGGTCCAAATTGTCCTTGTAAACCTAGAAAAGATACAACATAATCTTTACTTCCAGCAGATTTTGTGTTCAAATCACAATTACATATGCTTATGTCTCAGCACTCCTACCTCGCCATGTGGGTTCCAGGTTTAACAACAAAATACAAAACATCTATGCCCCCTAACTAGCATGTTAAACAACAATAAAAAAAACATCTATGCCCCCTAACTAGCATGTTAAACAACAATAAAAAACATCTATGCCCCCTAACTAGCATGTTAAAAAAAAATTGATTATAGGATTGTGCTGAAATCAGATGTTTCTGGTGGAAAGGCACAGATACAGCGGTCAAACAGTACACCACAATACATCATGCCAACTGCCCTTTCAAGGATGAAAGCTAAAAAAGGAAAGCACAGTTACTTTTACCAGCAAGGCTTCTTCTTCCTCGCGTTCTCCATCTGCAAACTTTGGCGATAGCTCTGGGTGTTCGTCCACCTCTGGATTTTAGTCTTGTTCCAGAACCTTGGCGTTATGTGCACACCTCGCTTATTTGTATGCAGACTCTTGGTTTCTTGCCTCTCAGGCAGATGTACTCAGACTTCAAAGGATGCCCCCAGTTAGTTAGCTCCTAGGACATGTTTGCTGAGAGGCAGTGGGTCTATTTTTGTTTTTCCCAGAACAAAGCCCAGGTCCACACATGGGGAGAAACCAGCAAGTAAAGTAAATGACCTAGTTCATGTTACTGGCCCATTCTGGCATGCACTGCAGGTTCGACCCATTTTTTACAGACCAAACAGGATTTGATCGGTGATGCAGTCATCATAATGTTGGCTGTTTTTAACTTTCTAGGATATTTCCTGGTAGCATTTTTAGGCTAGATCAACCTGGGAGTGCATATCAATTATGAAAATATGTGTCTTGATAAAGAATCAAACACAAGACCTAGTAACAGGTAAGCCAGCTTCTTGCTATATGCTGCTACAGCAGCTCCCTTTCTTACCAGTGCATCAATAGAAAATTACCTTTTGCAAAGTTTATGCATTCACCAGCCAACAGATACCAACGGTTTTATTTTATCTAACAAATCTTCTCAATTACTGTTTCATGATTATGTATGTATAGACTAGGCAGTGAGATTGCCTGTCACAGATGAAATAAGGAACCTCCCTTACACTGCTAGTCTACAGGTCATCAGAGGACAAAGTGTTTAGCTTCACTCTGAGGGTAACATGAAACCATGAGAACAGGTGGATTATGCTGGAGAACAGCAGACAAAAATCAGCTGGTCATGATCTCAAGATCCCCAATGGATGACACAGAGACACATGATACTTACAAAAGCTACAGTAACCTGAACAGTATGGTCATTGCTCAAAAGGAAAACAATAGCAAATGTGTTTCTTCAAAGATACCAAGGTAAATCAAGATTCAGCTTGCACAACAGAAGGACAGATGGCTTCAGTGGACCAGACCACTAACCTGATCCATGATTCCAGTGATTATCTGAGATGGCAAACCATGAAAGCCTGCATGGACATGGTTTCAATGTATCAATCAATCAAACCTCATTGCACTCAGAGGCACATAAGGTAGAGACTAACTGTCAACACTTAATTTAATCCTGAGCAATCCTCTCTATCTCCAGTTTTGTCCTTTGCCTTGAGTTCAGCCTCAAAGGTTTGCCTCCAAGTGCCTCTGGCATTTTTTGTAATCTAGAACTGCTGATTTTATCTTCCCATGAGAACCACAACAATTGTCTGAGGTCTTCCCTCAAAACCGCTGAGCATGCTCTCTATCTTTTTGTCTGTTTCCAAGTTTCTGCTAAATAGAGGAGAACTGTCCTAATGCATTTTCATGTACAGATGGAGATAAACAAGTATGCAAAACAATAACCATTTCCTTTTTAATCTTTTACATTTAGTCCTTTAACATTCTTCCTCTTTTCAATAAAATTGAAGTAATTTGTGGCAACAAGAAAGTTAGAGGGGAAGGGAGGCAAATGGAGCCCAAGAAAGTGAATTTTGGACAGTCTGGCAACATGGTAAGAAAGAACATCCCTATTAAAAATGATTGTCTCTCATCACGAGAAAGAAAGCAGTGCACAGACATGATGGTCAATACCATTCGGTAAAGGCTATGAAAAAAACAAAATAAAGATTATGAGTAATATCTTTTTTTCGTCATATGATCCCTGACTGACACACAAAAATGATGTTTTTTCTTACCTGGCAAGCCATCCAGACCACGGTCTCCTTTAAGACCTGGCAAACCAGGCTCTCCTTTATCTCCTGGGGGACCTGGGGTTCCAGGGGGCAGCTGGGTATAGTCACAGGTTCCTGGGTCTCCAGGTGTTCCAGCATCTCCAGGTAAACCTTGTGGGCCTGGCACACAATTTTTATTTTGTTAGTTAAACATGACAAAAAAAATATATTGTACTTTGGGGAAGACTGGGGATGGAATGGAGAGCACATATATTTTACTAGATGAAAAAAAAAAAAGTTAAATATAAAAAAGATAATATATATTGCTTTGGAAGTAGAACAGATAACAAAGATACCACTAGGAAAGAATAAATAAAATTTGCCACAGATAACACAGCTGACAGCAAATAATAGTTCACTTGCTGGTGCAGAATTAAGCAAGATAAAGAGATATTCTTTAAGAATGAAATAGCAAAAATGCATTACTAGAAATTATAGAATCCTGATCAGCTATAGCTTTGTGCTAATAGCTGAAGCCTTGGCTATTAAGCTAGATGGAAGCACACAATAATCAAATGGACAGTTTTTATCAAGGGTATACTATATCAAATCAAACAACTCTTGAACTTGCAAAGTTAATGCTAAAATATTTTAAAATATGTAACAAGCCGCTTTTGTCAACAGTAGGAGAAATAATTCAAGCCTGTATACTGCACTGTGGAAGAGACAGGTGTCAATTTTTTGAGGTTATGTTTTGAGAAGAAGGAAACTAGAGCAAGCGACCTGGAAAGATCTGTGAAAAAAGAGACAGAGAAATATAGTTGCTAAATAAACAACAAATGTCAGAATTATCCTTTTTAAAAACAGGAAACATTTGTGATATTAAAACACTTTTGATCAGGTTAATGAAAGTGAAATTTTCAAAGAACAACTAACCTATTGGGCCTTTATCTCCTGGCAAGCCTGGAAAGCCTCTTTCACCTTTGGGACCTTGTGGTCCTTCTCGACCAGACAAACCTGGCAGCCCTTTAATGCCAGGCATTCCAGGTGGCCCAGGAAGACCATCAAATCCTATATACAAAATTAAAATACAAACATGTTACATTCATTCTTCTTTAGGTTAACCCTGTGGCCACATAAGCTGATTTTACAACATTTATGGATTTTGATGACACCAAATTTTTGGCCAGTGGCTGCTAGGCCTATATAACAGCTTTGGTACTGTTTGCAACTGCATAGTATGTAGATGTGATAGTTAGGATTATATACTATTTTTAAAAAAAATGTATAGCTACTGAAAACAACATAGATGGTCATCATTTTTACATTCAAAATCTCTGCAATTTAGTGAGTGAAACTGTTTACATTGCATACCATCTGGTTCACCCCATGTGATGTTACCTCTCCATTATCTCCCTTGTCTACCTCATGTTCTAATACCATTCAACTTTCTTGTGTACTCAGTTTTTAAATCTCTGTCATCTGACATTCTCTCAATATGCCCCAGCCATTTCAGTATATTAGCCCTCGTGATGCCAGTGAGGCAGGTTACATCTGCAGCAATGAACCTCAAGGGCTCAGAATGATGAAGAAGAAGATGATGCCAGTGATCAATGGTGATTTAAACAGTTTCTGAATTTCACTGTTGCATCTCACTCTACACTCCCCATTGTTTGTATCTTTCATGGGTCCAATGATGCATTGTAAGACCCTACTTTCACAAATTTGTAATAAGGCTTTTTTTTAAAGCTGTGCAAGTTTCAGAGCTATATTCTTTTAATTTGTTTTTAAATATACATTTGATCTTGGTGTTATGAGACAGAGAATTTGATTTTAACAGAAATTTTAGGTCAAAGTATATTTTATTTCTATACTGCATTCTAAATTGGATTTATTCTCTCGGCATATTGGAACAATTTAAGTTTGCACCCAAGTACTTATACATTTACATTCTTTTGATTTTCAGTTATAAATTTGTATCTGGCAGGAGCTATTATCCTTTCCCTGTATTTTTATTACCATTTGTCACATGACAGCAAAGCACCTCTCTAGTCTTGGACCTGCCCACATCTTGTATACCTCTATGTAAATTAGCTATTTTCAAATCTTGGACTTTCCTCCATAAGTATATAGTCTTTAGTTGATAAGTATGGGTCAAGATGTCAGGATAAGTACTCAGTTCGTTCCTAAATCTATTGAGAGTGAGTTAAGTTACGAATTCACTCAAAGGTAAGTTGAACGTTGAATTAAAAATTGACATCACAGCCCTCAGGACACTTCATAAGTGATCCGTCCCCATTTTCAGCAGCAAGCAAAGAGTTCCAATTCTGACGGCACCAGTAGCTATCTGATTGTATATCCATCTCATCCTTTCCCTAAGTGTAAAGCATCGGCCACATTCCTTGCTAACTCCTCGCAGCACAATTTTCCTCAGACCCTAATGATCTTTTTGTTTACAAAGAGCCTTCACAATATCTAGCTTGTCATACATCAATTCACCATCAAGTGGTGCAGAACCAGCTAGTCTATCGGCCTGCTCATTTCCTAACACACCGGCATCACCTGAAGAAAATATCCAAAGGATGTTGACTACCAGGGACCTCTGAAGTGATACTTGCCACTCTGCACGAAGCATGCCTGTCTTCACCTTTCTCAACATGCTCTGTGAGTCAGTTACCATTACGGCATGTGTGAACAGCTGATTTTCAAGCTAGCGGAAGGCAGCAGAGACTGCCTCCACCTCCATTCTCAAACTAGACATTGTGATATCATATGCAAGTCTTTGCTGCACTAAGTGTCATCCATTTGACTTTGCTATGAACCAACAAGCACTTCGTCTGCTCTCAACAGAGAGCCATCTGTACAGACAATCACATCACCTGGGCGGGAATTGTCACGAATCATTTGTTGAACTTCTGATTCTGATTCAAGGATAAGTGATTTCTAAGAGTAGCGAAGCCTTTTTCCATAGACTGAACTACCGCCAGCGGAAGGCGGCAATGACTGCCTCCACCTCCATTCTCAAACTAGACGTGATATCAAATGCAAGGCTTTGCTGCACTAAGCGACGTTCATTCGCCTTTGCTATTAAAAATTTCTCCTACTTTTGACTTGGGCAAGTCTCAAATTCAAATCATCATTCTTGACACGGTTTCCAGAGCTAGCAGACAGCTTGATGCCTTGCTTGTATATCTGCTATACCTCTTTTTTAAAGTCACTGATTCATCTAGGAACTTTCCTGGAGCATGGGAGATATTGTGTAATTTACTTAAATAAAGTTATTTTGTCCTGCTACTACCAAAGAGGAGTATGCGGTCATGTGACAGCAACAGAAATAAGCAGGCTATGACTTAAATATAGGACTATGTATATATATATATATATCTTTATATAAATATATATGACAGGTCTATAAAAGCCTAGCACTATCAGTCCGCTGATAGCCCACGCACGAGCAAGACGTTGAACCCCAAGCCCGCCTCGCCAGGTCGCCCGCTAACTATCCATTCGTTGCCTGATTCTCGATAGCTAGCTACTGGACGCTGATTCGCTTGACATTCGGCTGAGTCTGTCTCGACTAAGCTATCGGTCGGCTCGCAGCTGCGTTTGGGTCAATTGTCAGCAACACAATCTTCACAGGTGACCAGTGTAGCCAAGAATCACCAGAGGAAGGAACAACGCCTAGTAATTATAATCTACCTTATAAACACTTTACAACTGTGACTTAAGGCGTGCGTTCAACCTCTAACCACACAATCCCAAACTTTAACAATCACCACAGCGCATCAAGGAAGCAAAGAAACGTAATATCAGAAGTGTGACTACACACCACAAATAAAAGGAAATCAAATAAGACAGCAAAGGAATCTTCCTTCATATAGCAGGCCTCCGGGGGGCTGAAAAAGGATCAAATTTGGAATTTTTGTTGGACCGATTTGAATTGGAACACCTAGCACAGACATCTGAGCTTATAAATTGAATGAATGTGGATTGGTGGTGAACATGGTACAGTGTCTGGTGGTTTTGCTAACTCTGATTTCCTTTTTGTCCACAGGATGGCACTGACCTTTCTGGAGACCAAGTCAACAATCATTGTCACCAAATTCATCAAGTGTAACCAGTATACAGCATGCACTGAGAAGAATTAAAAAAAGTGAGCACCTCACTCATGCCTATGCTTCAGTATTTGGGTCTACATGAGACCGACCACCTGTCAGTTGTTACTTGATGATCACCATCAGCTAGTGTCCTCAACCCAGGAACTTTGTGTACACTACCAACCAACTGTCACTACCAAGAGGGTAGAAGAATGTACTGCATTGAACTTTATTGTGTAAAAGGGAACCTTCTTCCTCATGTTAATTATCAACATTAAGTGCTGTCAGTTCCAGTAATCTATTGACTGTAATAGGTTTGTTCAACCGATTGAATTGGAACAGTACACAGACATCTATTGACTATGAATAAGTTCTTCAAGATTGGTTTAGCACTCCATTTAATCTATCCACACTATAATACCTTTCTCAAGATTGTTAGCACTCCAGTAATCTAATGACTTTAATAAGTTCTTCAAGATTGTTAAAACTCCAGTAATCTATTGACTATAATAAGTATTTCTTCAAGATTGTTAGCACACCAGTAATCTGTTGACTATAATGATCACCTTCAGCTATTGTTCCTCAACCCAGTAATTATTGACTATAATAAGTTCTTCAAGTTGTTAACACTCCAGTAATCTATTGACTATAATAAATGTTCTTCAAGATTGTTAGCACTCCAGTAATCTATTGACTATAATAAGCTCTTAAGTGCTGTTAGCACTCCAGTAATCTATTGACTATAATAAGTTCTTCAAGATTGTTAGCACTCCAGTAATCTATTGACTATAATAAGTTCTTCAAGATTGTTAGCACTCCAGTAATCTATTGACTATAATAAGTTCTTCAAGATTGTTAGCACTACAGTAATCTATTGACTATAATAAGTTCTTCAAGATTGTTAGCACTCCAGTAATCTATTGACTATAATAAGTTCTTCAAGATTGTTAGCACTCCAGTAATCTATTGACTATAATAAGTTCTTCAAGATTGTTAGCACTCCAGTAATCTATTGACTATAATAAGTTCTTCAAGACTGTCAGAGCCCCAACTATCCTCAATGTCAACCTCAGGAAGATGCTGCCCTCCAGATGAGCAGGACCTCTTTAACGGAGTGGTAGTTGTACCGGGAGATTGTGGCCACCCATAATACTGTGTACCTGTCACCTAGGTCTGGAGTCTATTCACTTGTGTGGTGATGATATTTTCTGTTGCCATTGGCAAACCAGGAGTCAGTCTGAATTAGTAGTTCTTCTGTCAATAGAGATATTACTTTAGTCTTTCTGAATTCATTTCTTTGTGTCTGTACCTGCATTGTACTCATTACATCATGTATTGTTATTTCAAATTCAATGGTTAGTGTCTAATCTTTCACAGTTCTTTAGGTTAGCTGGAGTGAATGTGGTATTGTTATGTTATATTCTGTACTGTGTTATTTTGACAAGCATAGGATTCCTGTCTAATCTGGGGGCTTATGAGTAGTGGGGAAATCAGACCAAGTTGTGCCTAAGAATAAGTATTGATTTAAGTCACCTCACCCCTGAGGTAGGTTAGATGTTCACTGGAGCTGAGGGATACCACTTAGTCCATTGCAAGCCAACATTTCAACACATAAACTACTTTAGAGTGTCTTCTTGGTTCATTGGGGAAAACCCTAATAAAGACACATCAAGTGACAACCATGTATTCTATCATATCTTGATTGGTAACTAGTCCCAGTTTTTGAGCTGCTTCCTTTAAGAGAGTCAGTGTTGTTACTGCCTCTTTTCATTTTCTCCAACAATTTGAGTGTCATCTGCATAACCAAGTTTTCTTGTGGTTTCTCCAATACTACAATATACTTTCAATTTCTCTATAACTTTCTCTAAGGCCAAGTTGAACAGAAGTGGGAAGAGAGCATCACCTTGCTTTTAACTAGATGTTATTTGAAAAGGGTCTGACTTTCTGTTTTATATGTTTATTATAAGTGTCTTCCATGTACAGTGTGGACATGGTAATTAATTTCTTAAATATTCCTAAGTACTTTATAGCATTCCATAAACTGTTTCCCTGTACACTATCATATGCAGTTTTAAAATCCACAAAAACATTCTGTGTCTCTCTTCTATATTCCCGGTTTTGCTCTGCTGTTTGCCGTAAAATAAATATCTGTTCTATTGTTGATCTGTTCTGTCGGAAACCCGCTTGGTAATCTCCCAATATGTCTTTGACATAAGGTTTTAGCCTGTTTAGCAGTAACGCCGATAGTATCTTATAGCTTGTTGACAGTAGTGATATTCCTCTTTAATTTTTACATTTATACTTGTCTCCTTTCTTAAAAATGGGTATCAATAAAGACTCTTTCCACTCATGGGGTAATTTTTCCGTCTTCCAAATTAGTTTATTAATTTATACCACCTTCAGCAGCAATTCTATCAATATATATATACATATGTGTGTGTGTGTGTGTGTGTGTGTGAGTGTGAGCATGTGCATGTGTATGTACACACACACCAGATACTGAAAAAAAAAAGGTTATGCTGTTATGTCATTATCCAGTACTGCTGTCTATACCTTGATTTTGTATCTGAAATGACTTCCCTCACCTTTAGGTCCTTCAGGTCCAGGTTGCCCTGCAGGGCCAGGCTGCCCAGCTGCTCCATCAAGACCTCTGTCTCCTTTTGGACCAGGTAGTCCTGGCAGCCCAGAATCACCAGGTTCACCCTTGGGGCCATCACGTCCTGCAGAAACAGATCAGTGAAACATGACAGTAATCACATGTGTGTGGTTATTATCTTCATCCTCATCATCATTATTCTTTATTGCCTGTATCTATCACGTGCTAATCCTCAGATCAGGAGCACACCATTTTTTTTTTCTGTCCAGATATTCAGGTGTGTGAGGTAACGAGCTACTGCCACTCCTCTGGGTGGTCAGCTCCTTTATGATAAAGTGGATGTGGTGAAGGTTCTCTGGGATCAAATAGACAGTGTCATAGAACACAAAGAGAAATCATACACTGAAAGACTAATTCAGTGGGGAAAGGGGGAAAAGGAGGGGGGGGGGTGATCCTGGAAGAGATTCAACACTAGAAGGAAACGGGCAGACTAATAATCAACTTGCAACTGGCACTGGTTTACTTACTGTGCAGGTTCAGGGTTTTATGTCTGACAAATAACTCTCATCACCTTGCTGATTATTACAGATCAGATCTTCTGAATGAGTATCAAACAATAATTCCAGCAGCCACTTTTGAATGCAGAAAAACAAATCTATTACTATAATCAGATCCTTTTAAGAAAATTGTGGTATGGGTTAAGAAGAAGCACAAACCCTATGTGTAAAAAGATCTTTGTTAGATCCCATTAGAAAACAGTGGGGCGGGTTTGCTGGAAACACCCACTCTAATGGTAAACAAATCCCATAAAGAAAGCGATGGAGTGGGCTAGGTGCAAACCCCCCCCCCCCCCTTTTTTTTTATGTAAACAACAGATCTCATTAAGAAAGCCTTTAATGATTAAAGTGGAAATGTCTTTAACTGTTAACAGAGGCCAGTAACAATGTGAGGTATTGTGGGTAAACAGGAAACACACAGATGGAACTAATCAGACTCCTGTAATCAGAGTCTGCTGACACTTTCTTGTCAGCTGTTAGGGAACATGGAGGAAAATGTTGGCACTTGAAGTGATCATAGAGAATGTGTTACAGCTTGATGAAAGTGTGTATATATACTCAATGTTTAGTGAGCAATGAGACAACATAAAGCTGACAGTCAGTGTTTAATTAGAAATGGGACAGTGCTAAAGCCAATGTACATATTATTTACCTAGAAATAAAACTGTGATGAAGTTGATATACTGTGTTTAGATTTGTGAAACAGTGACATTTCCCAAATGCAGTGTATAGTTGTAAATAAGACAGTGTTATAGGAAAGAAAAATACAAATCTACTGTAAAATCAACTCAGTTTACTGCTAGTCACTTACCATCTCGACCAGGAAGTCCAGGATCACCTTTCAGACCCCTAGCTCCGGGCTGAGCTACATCTCCAGGGTCACCTTTCTCACCTGGCATTGCATCTAAGCCATCCATACCTAAAATATAAATGTAATAAATTTGTTACAAGCACACATTTTCATCCAAGCAGCATGGCTTTTTTCCCCTCTTGTACCTCAAACACCCATATCTAGAATGTAAGTGCATTCACTCTGTTACAAGCTCTTTATTCTTGCAGACATATCTGTATGGCTCTTTACTGTCTTTTGTGCACTTTACACTTTCTGATACATCTGTATGGCTCTTCACTGTCTTTGTGCCTCATTCATTTGTATCCTCTTCTTCTCCTTCTATCCTTATAGGTATCCAAGCCTAATATTGAGATACGAGAGGAGCAGATGTGGCCGTCTTATGTGTACTTTTTTTTATATATTCTGTTGGTCTTCATTTCTCTAGGGTTGTTTTTGATCAAGGCTTAGCTGCTGCGAATGCATTGAACATGTAGCTGTGAACAAACATAGAAGGTGAGTTTACTGAACTGGGGTAGCTTATCGTATAAAAAACCTCAAAACTGTGAGGCACAGCCATTGGTGGATCAGAGGCGCCTAAAATAACAAACATTTTAAAAAAAAACATACAAAACACAAATAATATAATTAATAAAGGGGCAATATACATAGAGAAGCTATGGTTGAGACATAAGTAAATAAACAAATAAACAGTTTCTACAAACTACATTTTTCTGTAAACTTTACTATTTTCCTTTAAAAAAAATGTTGAAATAGAACCAATTTCTGCAGCACTCAGGACACAACCAAATGTGCTTAGCTGCTCTTATCTAGCTGTACAAACAGTACACTGACTAGGAGTTCCCCTGTGTTGTCTGTGCCTGTGTTCTTGTTGCTGCTCTTATCTAGCTGTACAAACAGTACACTGACTGTGAGTTCCCCTGTGTTGTCTGTGCCTGTGTTTAGTTGTTGCCGCTACCACTGAGTCATTGCAAGTGACACATTTCTTAGACTTGACGATTCAATTATCTATGTGCCAGCAAATCAGAGCTTTCTTAAACAAGTCCAAGTCCAAGCTACAACAGTCTTCACTTTTATACTGCCCTGACCTTCGACGGCTTACCAGTTTCTGTGTAAATAAGTGTGTGTGTGTGGCAAATGTGTACACACACGCATGCACACACATGTACACAAGTATGGTTCTTGTGTGAAACTAACTAGCTTGCAACAGGGACAATCAGCAACTTTATCATTCACTGTCTGCTAGGAGAGACTGAACAATTACAGACATGTCCTTAGTGCTTTCATGTCAGTTAAGCATCACAATTAAAATCATGAGCATTATATGGTCTTTTTTTCTTCAATCAGTTATTCAATTATAATTAACTAGCTAGTGAATATTACAACTCATTCTCAATGCAGTAACTCTAAAGATAATTATAATAAATTATTCTCACTGAAATGATCTACAGAAAATTAAAACATAATTTCCCTCATAGAGTCAGTTGCAGTAGACATTTATAACAATATTAAAAGCTTTATTGTTAGGCTGGAAAAATAATAAAGCACTGTCAATGCAATAAATCCAGTTTGTGCATGCTTTTCTGATTACAATAAATCTACTAACAATTATACCATGTTATTCTTACAGATGATATACAAAGAATATAAATACAGTTTGACACTTTATAGTTGGATGCCATAGGCATTTATACAAACATTACATAATTAATTTTCTTACCAGCTTCACCCTTTAATCCAGGTAATCCATTCCTGCCAGGTTCTCCATCACGACCTGGTTCACCTTTCAACCCCTGAGTCGACAGTCCAGGCAGTCCTGAAGATCCTTGTGGTCCATCCAGACCTTTAGAAATCACAGATAAGGGCCATGTTTTAACAAACTAAATGCACTACAGCACTTCCTCAATTATCACAATGGCTACTATTTAGCACTGTCAAAATATCTGCAGAATAGATCATGACACAAAGGCTGTACATATTCACATATCTGAAAAGTAAATAACATTCACTATTATGGTGCCTTTCTTTCGTAGCAGCATTAGTAGTAATTTGTTTAATATGTCTTGTTCAACCCTCAGGGTTATAATTTGGATGTAAAGTGTTAATTTAATTCTCAGAGTATATTTATTTATTTTAAATTTATATATTATCTAATTATTTTATGACCTATTCTCCTTCAGCACAGGTATCTTTTTTCATAGTTGAAAAAAAAAAAAAGCCATTCCAAGTTGCAGTTGGCGAAAGATTAGTTATAACTGTAAACATCCCCCTTCCCCTTTTTCCCATTCCACAGCTCATTACATATTTAGTTTTATACCTCTGTTTTTTTTTTTCCAACTTTCCAGCATCTGCTAAACCAAAGCTTATTGTTATAAAACACTTCAATAACTAATTGGATTTTTTTTTCTTTTGTCTCACTAATGCCAGGTTGTAGCCCAGTGTTGTGGTTTATAGTATTTGTCTTGCACTTCTTGAATGGCTTGGTTGTTTTATCTTTTTTTGCAGGTTTTAGCTACACCATTTATCTATTCATCTCTTTCTTGGTCTTTCCCTCGTCCTCTTCCCAGATGTTTTGTTGTATGAGATCTCATTTGCAGTGTGGACTGGCTGCATTTTCACAAGATGGCCAAACCATTTCATTCTTTGTCTGTCAGTTTCATTCAGACATGGCTTTATTCCAACTTCCTCTAAAGCAAGCATTCATAACTCTGTTCCTTGTTGTGTAATTAGTGACCTTACAATGACAGTCAATTAAGAAAGTTATTTTATATTCTACTACCCTATTCATTGTCCATGTTTGGCATTCATAGCCAAATGTAGGGATGAAGATACTTTTAATCATTTGCTGTTTTTTTCTTAGAAGGGAGACATGTGGTTGTCTAAGTAGTAGGTCTAGTAAGTGACATAATTTGCCATTCTAAATGGACTAACACCTTGAAACTAAATCAGCATCTAAGTCTTCAATTAAACATTTTGATTTGGTTTGGACTGAACTGATTTGTGAGGAGTCATTTTCGCTGGATATGATTAGCTCTTCATTCCTAAGTATTTTTCCTATTTCTCTAAATAGTGTGCTACTATTTCAAAGATGTTCAAAACATGCTGCACACAATATGCCTAAAACACTGCACAATATCTGTCAAAAATACAGTACAAATTCTGCCTGAAAAACAAACAAAAATCAAATATATTTCAATCAAATTCTATTTAAATTGGTGAGGAAATGACCCGTGTGCTTTGCTATTTTTTCAGGTCATATTTATATAACATTTTTTTAAAGGCGGCTTACTATTTATTGTGATACAAGTTCATTAAGCCTAGTACTTAGTTAGTTTGTCTTTCTTCTTGGGTCTAGGGCAGCGCATAGGGCAGAGGTCATAGCTGTCCATGTCTAGCAGTTCCTGCCACCTGCTTTGAGTCTTGGATATTTGCTAGTTCATGGTTGAGCCTTCCTTAATGATGGTTGTATGTAGAGTCTCTCTTGATCTTCCTCGTTTTATTTTCCCTTCCGGTGTCCATGTGAGGGTTTCATGGGGAAGTCTTGTCTAAATTCGTTCAGAGTGCAAGGCCGATGTAGTCCCAGCGGCGCTTAGGAATACTAACATTTAGATACTAGCACTAGCATTAGAAGACCAAATTAATGCAAATTGGGTATGACCTGATGATAGGGAAAAAAGGTAAAAACCTGTATTTAGAAAAAAAATTATATTCCTATGCTTTTAGTCCCAGGAAACACATCATGCACTAATTTTTAACAACCGCCGGGCCCAATCGATGAGTGACAAGTAAAGGTTTTTAATTTACCGCTGACCTGTCATAAAACGCGAACCGCTTAATTTCAACTTCCTTTCAAATTTGTTGTGTCTGATATCAGGTGTGCTCATTTAAAAAACATGGTCTGAGGGCCGAAAATATTGTATATTTGCTAGATTTACCGTATACTAAGCGTTTGAAAATAATATGGCCACCAAGCAGTATTCTACAGGCATGACAACATGATTTAAGGCTTTAGAAGCCTCAAATTTAAATAAAGTACGTGTTCATTTGATTCATCCGAAGTTAGATAGATAACAATGCGAATTAGATGTATTTCAGTCATTTATAGAGTCAAACTTTGATGAGGGATATGTCTAATGTGTACCTCACGCGAAGGTAAAATGATAGCAAAGTCAGCTGGCACAAATAGAATAAACATTAGTGAAAATATGATTTTCTTCAGTGTCAGTTAGTTCTAGTGCTATTCCCCCTATTATTTAGAAACATAGCTACAAAATTACAGGCAAATTGAGTGTTATATAAACTTCATTTTGTGTGAAGATACTTATTGTTTTGGGCGTCAAGTTTTCTTTACCTCATAATGGTGCTCTGTTATGATGCTTCAAAAGATTCTTTGGAACATATTCTAACGTAAAGATTGAGTTTATTATTTACTTATACATTACTAAGTGGTTCAAATTTATTTGTGATTCATTTTGGATAATTTAAACCAGTTTTCATTGAGTGCCATGGTGGTAAGTGTAATTATTTTTATATTTCATTTTACTAATTTTTTGTAAACATATTGTCTGTTTATGTACTAATATTTAATTACTAACACAATTACTTGTTGTAGCTGTATTCTATCATTATTCCTCAACAATCCCTGGTGGCTTTGATGTATAATATGTGTATGTTGCACAGCAATTGAATTAGTATGGTCTGTTTTAATGTGTTTACTTGTGAAATTGAAAAACTGCATTACCACCCATTGGGCCTCAGATGCTAAACCCCCTGGGACTCAAAGAGTTAAATAGCTGTTAATCTCTTAATTTACTGGAGCCCACAGAAACAAAGAAAAATGAAAAGCAGACCAAAAATCAAATGAAGAAGAGAAGAATTAGAGAATGGGGTGGGAAAGGAGTTGCAAGAGTATTGGGGAAAATGGGGAGAGCTGCATGAGATAGCAAAGAACTTGAAAACTTGAAATGAGTTGGTTTGAGGATCTATGTTTCTTTGGGAGATGCCTGGTTTGCATGAAGGCAACACAGATTTTAATCTTTGCTTTCCAGGACACTTCCTGGTAAAGTTTTGAGGTTAGGTGGACCTGGTAGTCCTGTGTGAATGATCAAAGTCTGCTGGTCAAAACAAATATGTCACAATGAAGCATATGGTATACAAGCAGTCAAACTGAAATAAAACAACTAATGTGCTGACCTCTCTCTCCTTTGAACCCAGGAAGGCCTGGCAGTCCATCTGACCCTCTTTCACCTGGGAGACCATCGTCGCCTGTGAAATATCACACAGTAATGCAGTCATTAGACACTTCTGATTTCCATGCAAAAGAAACAGCAACAAAAGCTACACATATTTCTAACTACAAAAGGAAAATATTAACATCTAGAGAAATGAACAAAACACATTATTAATAGAATCTGAATAAAGAAGATATAAACAATACAATTTAATGCCTGGCATATTTCAACATATCTCGTCAGGTGCATACTGCAGTAACAATTACATAAATGAAGCAGGTAAGTGAATCCTTTATAATTAAAGTACAAATTCAACAACAATCAAACACAACTGCCTGTTTTACCAGGGCAGCCGTTGTGTCAGAATCATGTCTTTTTATTTACAAAGTTCAGGGTGAAGGTAAAAAATTGTGGTGGCTTCAAGAAATCGTAGTGTTCTGCCATTGTCTGGTATGAAAAGGATTTGCAATGTGTTGTTCTTGGATACAGTGTATCCAGATTTAAAAGATGGCGTGCTATTACAGAGGGCTAGTCTTTATGACAAGTATTCTCATTCTGATTTTTACTTTGTATTGCTTTTTCCACCCATACTGGAATATGCTAAGGGAATAGAAGCGTAAAATTGTAGGTACTGAGTTGGGTTGTGCTAAGATCTGAAATCCCAGCTCTCAAGACATTCACATAAGAGGTCTGGCATCTTCAGCAGCCAGGATGGAGTTTCTAAAAAGTGATGCTATCAATGCCAAAGCTGGAAAATGATTTTATCGTTTGCGTTGTTATTTTGTTATGACATGCGGCTTTTCCATGCTTTATGTTTTTAATAACCTTCTTAATTTCAGATTTTAAAACGGTTGGTCCATCCTGAAAATTAAACAATTCTTGGCTATCCTCCAAATAACGGGCACAAAAGATGGCGGCATAAAATATCTTGATGAGCTTCAGTCATGTGTCAATTGCGCACTTGCGGTCATGAGCACATCGCGGGAGAACTAGGATTAGTGTCTGTTGACAGTTTTGAGAAACGGAACAAACCACCGAGTTAAACTCGCCGCCTAGAGTCTCCCCCGCGCTGCTACATGCGGCGTGGATGGGGCTAAACTAGATGGCTGGGACCCACGAGCAGCAGCTTCTGCATCTCCTGCAGCTTTGCTCGTGATGTGTAAAATAGTTGCTGTGTCTCTTTAATGTATATTATTTATATTGATAAATAGGTAATGTGTAAAATAGTTGCTGTGTATCTTTAATGTATATTATTTATATTGATAAATAGTTTATGTGTAAAATAGTTGCTGTGTCTCTTTAATGTATATTATTTATATTGATAAATAGGTAATGTGTAAAATAGTTGCTGTGTATCTTTAATGTATATTATTTATATTGATAAATAGGTAATGTGTAAAATAGTTGCTGTGTCTCTTTAATGTATATTATTTATATTGATAAATAGGTAATGTGTAAAATAGTTGCTGTGTATCTTTAATGTATATTATTTATATTGATAAATAGGTAATGTGTAAAATAGTTGCTGTGTCTCTTTCCACTCTGCTGGTTGTTGTTATTCATTGTCAACTAATTATGCTTTATAAACTCGGATCACAGCCCGTTGTTATATAAAAAAGACTAATAGATTTTGGTCAAAAAAGCATCACGGGAATCTCAGGAAGACTTATCAGCATTGAAGCAACTAGGTATAAGTCTGCAGCATCTGGTGGAAGTTAAAAATACATATTACAAGCTAAAGGTTGAAAGCATAGAACAATATCAGCATGAAAATCCATAGGAGAAAATCAGTACAAAATAGGAAAGTTTTAAAATTAGTATACAAACAGCAAATGCCAACTTAACACTGTATGCATGACCGAAGACATTATGAATAAAATGATGCAAAAATAAACAAAGAAATAAGTAATGTGTGCAGAGTTGCTGAAGATATATATATATATATATATATATATATATATTCTTATGCTGTCATGCACTTCTTTCGTGATGTGTTTACTTTCCAGTTCCACTATTTTTTTACATTTCTCCCATATATATATATGGGAGAAATGTAAAAAAAAATAGTGGAACTGGAAAGTAAACACATCACGAAAGAAGTGCATGACAGCATAAGAAAGCTTAAAAACAGGAGAGAAAATTTAACAGGAAATGGTTGCATCAGAGGAAAAGGTAGAGGAGTTTTAGTTTTGATAAGAATGACATAAACATAATGTAGACTGAATATACAGAGGACCTATTTTGGGATAACAGAGGCGTCAGACCAGAATTGGGCTATCCTCTGAATAACGGGCACGAAAGATGGCGGCCGCAAAATATCCTGACGAGCCTCAGTCACGTGTCATGTAAACATTCAAAAATTGAAGTCAAAACTAATAAGGAACCAAAAAAATGTTATATCAAATCGACTACTTACAGATAATTTCATGCCTTTATATCTGGAAATTATGGTACAGAAGTTGTAAATAGTGCCCGAAGATCTGCTGTTTGTGGCTGTTTCGCCATTGAAACTCGGCTAAGTACGATCGGAAACAGGCGCGGCTTGTACCACATTGGTAACGCAGCCTTCATTTTAGTTGCATCCACATACCGGCTATCCTCCGAATAACAGGCACAAAAGACGGCGGCCAAAAAGAGGGCCTCAGTTACGTGTCAGTTGTGCACTTCCGGCGACCTAATTTGCGGTTTTCAGGCGACTACTGCCACCGCCGAGAGTAGCCCCCACGCAGCTCATACGGCGTGGATTGGGGCTAAACTAGATGGCTAGGACTCCCGAGCAAAGCTGCAGGAGATGCAGAAGCTGCTGCTCGTGGGTCCCAGCCATCTAGTATAGCCCCATCCACGCCGCATGTAGCAGCGCGAGGGAGACACTAGGCGGCAAGTTTAACTGTTTAAATGTTTCTGTGTTAATGTTCCATTGGTCTTGTCACTTTAGTGTATATTTATGAAGAGCAGTCAGTGATGATTGTCAGAAGTGAGTATCATGAACTGCATCCATTTTGTCTTTTATCTCCAGCATGCTATGTCTTTCACCCTACATGTGAACTCTCTGAAACTGCTGTTTTTTAATATTTTGATATTATCCTCCATTTATGTCACTGTCTGCCTCAAGCTCACATGCCTTTAACTTTTCCTCCTGTATGTTTTATTATTATAGTGTTATATCTTTTCATTTCCTTCAGCAACTCTTTTTTTAATTCTGAGTGTCAGAAGAATCTCTATATTTAACAATTTTTATTTCCATGAAAAATTGCTTTTTCTTGTGTATACTCACATCTCCAGAGGAGTTAAGGGACCAAAATTATGTACATGATCGAAACAAGCACTAGCACACTTACCAGGGACACCTGGTTCTCCAGGAAAACCCGGACGGCCTTTAACTCCATCTAACCCTGGCAGACCAGGCATTCCAGGTATTCCGGAATCTCCCTTGGCACCAGGTGAGCCTGAAACATTCAAAAGCAATGGTGTAATTAAAAAAACCTTAGCCAAACCTTTCAGCTCTTGGCATGCGCTTTTTTTCTCTCTAAATTATTACTTACTATTGTCTCTCTTTAAACAGTATGATAACTAAGAGAAGATGGAAATGGCTTGGCCACGTTATGAGAATGAATCCTGATATACCCACCAAAACAGCTCTCACATGGACACCAGAGGGAAAGAGAAAACAGGGGCGCCCAAAAACAACATGGAGACGAACAATGGAAAGTGACCTGAGTGCGGCATCTTTGACATGAAAACTGCACTGAAGATTGCGCAGGACAGGAAATCATGGAAAGTCCTCTCTGAAGCCTCGTGTGCCACTAGGCATAACGAGAACTGATGACTGATGATTGTCTCTCTTCTACTTGAGGTGTAGAAGAAAAGGAACTTTTTAACTCTTTTAGTTTAAAACTATGCATCATATGTTATCAGCTGCTGTCCACATTGCATTATTTGACCTATTGTGTAGCAACCTAGCTGATTGTTGTAAGACTTAACTCCAGATATGTTTAGTGCACAAGTTTTTTCTCTTTTAATGCATTCATCATTAAAAGAGTGGTGATGGAGATGTTGTGCTGTGGTTTACCATGAAGATCTGATATCTGCACTTTTTGGCCCACTACATCAAATTTTAGCAAGGCAATTTTTGAAATGCTTTGAAAAGGGCAGTGAGTCTATCCTCCCCCACCCACCCCCCCCCCCCCACTCCTACAAACATGGGGCCTGATAATCCACAATAGGAAACCAGAAAGGGGTTCACATTTTTGTTTGTATATAAAATACTTGGTGCTTTATTAACTCTTTGAGTCCCAGGAAATGCATCACGGGCTAATTTGTTACAACCGGGCGGCCCAATCGATGCGTGACAAGTGAAGGTTTTTAATCTACCACTGACCGGTAATAAAACGTGGACCGCTCAATTTCAACTTTTCTTCAAGTTCTTTGTGTCTGATATCAGGCGTACTCATTTAGAAACGTGGTTTGAAGCCGAAAATATTGTATATTTGCGAGGTTTGCCGAGTTATTTAGTGTTTAAAAAGAATATGGCCGCCAAGCAATATTCTATATGCATGCCAACATGATTTAAGGCTTAAATGCCTCAAATTTAAATAAAGTAAGTGTTTATTAGATTTATCCCAAGTTAGATAGATAACGTTGCAAATTAGACGTATTTCAGTCATTTATAGTCAAACTTTAATGAAAGATATATCTAATGTGTCCCTCACATGAAGGTTACAATGACAGCAAAGTCAGCTGGCACAAATAGAATAAACATTAGTGAAAATACAATTTTTTTCAGTGTCAGTTAGTTCTTGTACTATTACGCTTATTATTTAGGAACAAAGCTACAAAATTAATTACAGACAAATTAAGTGTTATATATACTTCATTTTGTTTGAAGATACTTATTGTTTTGGGAGTCAATTTTCTTTACCAAAAAATGGTGCTCTGTTATGATGCTTTAAAAGATTCTCTAGAACAGAATCTAATGTACAGATTGTGTTTATATTTTACTTATACATTACTAAGTGGTTCATATTCATTTGTGATTCATTTGGGAAATATTTTAACTAGTTTTCTATGAGTGCCATGGTGGTAAGTGGAATTTTGAAAATTTTATTTTACTAATTTTTGTTAACATACTGTCTGTTTATTAACTAATATTTAATTACTAACGCAATTATTTGTTGCAGCTGTATTCTATAATTATTGCTAAACAATCCCTGGTCACTTTGATGTATAATAAGTGTATGTTGTGCGGCAATTGAATTAGTATGGTCTGTTTTAATGTGTTACACTTGCGAAATTAAACAACTGCATTACCATCCCTTGGTCCTCCGATGCTAAACCCCCTGGGACAAAGAGTTAATATCCTGCCCCAGATGACGTTACAGGATAGTCCAACATTTAGGAGGGTGATAAGACTGGTTTCACACTTTCTGATGCTTTTAACAACCCCAAAACATCTATAACTGGCCCTAACCCCAACCCACCTATATCCCACAAGAGAGTGCAGCCTAGGTCCCACGACTGCATGCAGCCTATCTACCACCCCCTTTAATATTAGACTGTCCCGTGACCTGTGGATTTCCCCTCTTTGGGCTAAGATATTAATTAAGCACCAAATACTTTTTTTCCTTTACCAGTATAATTTCATATAAAAAGGACTGCACAGAACAAACCAAAATAGAGGACTAACTGCAAGCCTTATCTGACGTCTAAAGGTGTGGCAGGATAATAATGAGGATGATGATAATTTCACTGCTTAAAAAAATTAGGAAATTTTATAGGCAATATGTATTTTCTTCTTTTTCCTCAAAATGTAACATACATGCAAACACCCCATATGTGTCAGTTATGCATTCACATTTTGTTTATAATCATAGTTAAAGGTTAAGGAGGATTTGATCCTGCATGGATAGGTCTTGTTTTGCAGAATGGCTAGCCCCCTGCCAAGAGCATCACACAAAGCATGAACTTCATAGCTCCAGAAATGATCCCTAGTGATCTCTGTAAAATCTGCCCTCCTGCACTGAACAACTCAGCTTTGAAATAAACTGACAACCTTCAGAGCACAAGGAAAATGGCTTGACCACTTCACCCCAGAAATCTCCTTTTATAGTCATAGTGATTACTGTCTTCCATTTGTTCCTCCTGTTTTTATTGTTGTAGTTGTTTTGTTACACAATACCTGTGATTGCTGCAAACCCCTTTGGGACTAAAAGAGTTAAAGGCTGTTTCCCTTAATTTTGTGTTTTGTTTAGTGTCCATGAGTCATTGCATTATCATCATTATGTGGCAGGTCTCTCTGAGAATGTTGTTTTCATCTCAGCTGTCAAGGAAGGCTCTCATCCTTTGCTAATTTCTTTTCCTCAGGTTTGTGTCCAACTTTGTCTACCAGGACTTCTGTACAGATCCTAAAATCTGGGAAGTTGCTGCATATGACCTCTCATTCTGGCACTCCTCTCTTCATCAAGCAGCTGTAGCCCATGAAGCTGCTAGAACTGCAGTAGCAATTCAGAAAAGACAAGCCAGGGCAGACACTGAAGTAAATCACCAGAGAGATGCGGCCTCAATTCCCTGTCCACATTGCTCAAAAACTTCAAGTGCTAGTATTGGCCTTATCAGCCATCTGTGCACTCATAAAACCTAATCCAGTCACTAATGGTTGAAAGAACTGGTCATTATCACCTGTGATAAATGAACACTTATCCTAATTTGAAGTTACTTTTCATGCTCAATCACACATTGCACATTAAATTATAATTCTCACTCACCTGGTGCCCCTTCAAGCCCTGGAAGACCTCTCTCTCCTTTAAAACCTGGCAACCCTGGCAACCCAGCATCACCCTTTTGACCTTTGGGGCCAGGTTGTCCAGTAGCTCCGTCTATTCCATTAAGTCCCCGCGGGCCTTTAGGACCAGGATAACCATCCAGTCCAGGAAGACCAGGTAAGCCTAAGGGTAGATAAAATACAAGTAAGAAAATTCTAAACTATTCTCTCTCTCTCTCTCTCTCTCTCTCTCTCTCTCTCTCTCTCTCTCTCTCTCTCTCTCTCTCTTCCTCTTTCTCCTGTCAACAGATGTGTACAGATAAAACCTACTCGTGTTAACAGAGAGTGAATGTTGAATGATGAATTAAGAATCAACAGTAACTTCTGATTGTACATCCATCTCGCCTTACTCTTGAGTGTTGAAAGTCAGACGCCTTTCCACAATCTGTGATCAGCAACTGCGTGTTCAGTTTAACTGTTGACACCCCTCCATGCCATGATAGAAGGCTCTCAAGAATCTTTTTGCACTGTTTTTCTCTGTTTCTCTATCTTTCCAGTGGTCACAAAATGTTCCAATTTTTCTTTTCTCATAACATGACCCAAAAAAATGAATCACTGTCTCTTTCTGATGTTTGTCGCAAGCTGTCTTCAAGCCTTCACTTCTTTCAAAACATCTGGGTTGTTATTTTTTAACTGTCCAAGAAATTTTAAGGGTCTTCTGTAAAACCATATCTCCAAGGTATCAAAAAATTATTTGGCTTGTTTATTAATGTCTAGAATTTACAGCTGTATGAGCTGTATGTTGAAGCTGGTTCTATATAGCATGCAGGATTTCTTTTCATAACCTCCAGTGGCATGGATTTATTGCATTAAATGTTTTTCATTTGATAAAAAGCCATTTTGACCTGTCCTTTTTAGTTCTTTATCAAACTATGAACATATAGGACCGACTCCTTTGTGACTCTTGTTAACAGACTGTGTACATAAAACTAACTAACAATCTTTCAACTCATGTTTTTAACTGAATACTTATCATAAACTGAATGGGCTATAGTTTGTTAAAGATGCAGAAAACAAGGATATGAATCAAACATACCAACTGGACCAGGAATTCCGTCAAGACCTGGAGCTCCAGGTCGGCCAGGCTCTCCAGGTTGTCCCTGAAGAGGAAATTACACCACAGTTACACAAGTAAGTTGTGCACCCTTTACAGGACATTGCAAAATCAACCCTAACATTTGTTTGGCAATTGGGTGGTTTTCTAGGCAAATTTTACCTATTGTAGTTTGCCATTGCTTTTTGAATGGTCATCTCCTGGTAGCACTGTCAAAACCAATGCAAGACAAATTGTCCACAGCTGGGTTTGAACCAAGCATCGCACAAGACAAATTGTCCACAGCTGGGTTTGAACCAAGCATCGCACAAGACAAATTGTCCACAGCTGGGTTTGAACCTAGCATCGCACAAGACAAATTGTCCACAGCTGGGTTTGAACCTAGCATCCCAGTAATACCTAAGCCACAGATGCCGACTCAGTTACATAACTGACATGATTTTATTATATACAAAGGAAAAACTAACTTGTTAAACCTAGTCGTACTTCAATTTATGTACAGCTTGACCATTTTTAAGAATGAGAACACAGTACTATTGTCAAGTTATTCTAGAGTAAAGGGTAGTCTTTATGCAGATATAACCACAGGATATGAAATGTTAGCATGCACACATTCTAAGCCACAATATATCTTTTTTTCTCATTCTGAGTGATGTAAATACATTGGTGCACAGTAGCAGTACTTTTTTTTAAAAGGCATAATTATTTCAGCTTTGCTGTAATAGACTCTTTATGGTGAGTAACAGCATTTTTTTATTTGAGACACCTAATGGTGAGTATCAGTATTTGTTTTCTAGATAAAAGCCCTGCCAATATACCAGTCCCAAAAACGGTCATTTACTTTACTAACCTGGATATGTTAAGTTGGGTTTCACTAAGAGAAACAGTTTTATCATTTTCAAAAAATTTACTCTCATTATCTCTGTCTCTACACATGATTTTTATGACTCCATTTCCAGACCTGCCATCAGGTATGTTGAATTTATCTTGCATCTGACTTCATGTGTAGGACTAGATCAATGTCAGTGATATCCAGAGTCTCAAGCGATTCTGTAAAAGCATATTTAATTTTTTTTTTAGTGATATCTATTGTTGTCTTCATTATCCAATTTATAATTAGTAAAATAATAGAGGTGATCAAAACAACAGGAAAGGTTGAGGGGAAGAGCGGCAGAGAGAGATCAAGGAAGAATCTATTAGGCAGTTTGTCATCAGGCATGGAGAAACTATGTCCACAGTTACTGGCAGACAAAAGGCTGGGAACAGAATGATGACCAGTGCCACACAGCATGGACTATAGGCAGAACAAATGTGTAGACAGCAGCTGATCTGATCAGAGAAAGAGGAATCCCCATATAGGTTCCAGGACACTGTTGTGAGGGGTGGGAGAGACTCACTGCATCCCTCACAAGCATATCACAAGAAAATCAGAGTGTGTCTGCCTGAGAGGCAAGCAACCAAAATTCTGCATACAAATAAGCCAATTCTGTAAAATGGATGTGTAGGCAAAACTCAAGTTACGGAACAAGACTAAAACCATAACTTTACGTCTGTGTATGCAAAGAAGAAAAAGAAGATAAAAACAGTGGGAAAAATGATTTCTTTAATGCTGACTAAGAACAATTACTTACCTTGTCACCTGGTATTCCTGGAAAACCTGCCAAACCTTTCTCTCCAGGCAGGCCACCTAAGCCAGGTCTTCCAGGATCACCATCTTTTCCCTTTTCTCCATCTCTGCCTGGTGGTCCAGGTATACCTACTCCAGGATCTCCAGTTTCTCCCTTTAGTCCATTCACACCTTCTCGTCCTGAAAAATGTCAAAAGTGTCTCTTTAAAAAATGCATTTAAATATCATTTTAACTCCTTCTACCCAAAGCCACCTCCATGCATGGTTGAAAACTAAAACTAAAACTAGTCTATAGGTATTTACACAGCAACCTGATGAAATCTGATGAGAATGCTTTGGAACCATCTGCCACAGTAAGCCAAACTGAAGAAATATAATGAACACATAGCACAAGGAAGACCATGCAAAAGATGTAAAAGTGACATCATGAAAACCTTAATGGCAAAAATTAGTCACTGGTCAGGATTCCAACTTCACTGCAGATTGGTTGCTTATAACTGCTCTTGTTATTTTTTCAGCTTATTCAATTTTATTTTATTTTGTATTAGCCTAATTCTTTCTGTCTCACTGTATTATTGAAACATCTTTGGACACTAACATGGGTGAATTTCAGCTAGAACTTCTTAACGAAATTTAGTCCAGTAAATACAGGCTGGTACTGGAACAGCTAAAAACTACTTATGATCAAGTGTTATAATTACTCTATATTAATACACAGTGCAGAAGCATGGACAATTAACAACAATAACAGCGCAAAATAGCTGCTGAAATATAGTTACACAGATAAACAGAAGAAATCACATAGCAGAAGAAAGAAACATAGGTATTAGAAAAACTGGGATTAAAACAAAAGTTATTGGGTTAGATACACTTTAGTCAATGAAAGAAGCGCATGGGCATTCACAGCATGCTCAGCGGGCAGAACAGTCAAAGAAGCCAACGGCTCCTTCTCCATGGCAACCAGCAGCATGACGATGGAGGTGATGGCAGTGATGCAAGCGTTCGGCAAGCGTATGTATACTCAGTGATTCGATAGGTATAATCCAGAGAGTTCATGTAGGTTCAGTGCAAAGACAATGGCTCGAATCATTACAGAAGTCTGCTGTGCATGGAGTCACCTTAATTTTTGTTCCGGGATATGCAGGTGTCAATGGAAATAAAAGAGCTGATAGGTTGGCTGGATCTGCTATCACTACAGACGGTAAGTCTAGGGATCATGCTGATATTTTTAATGCCCTCAGAGAAATGGGAAGGAAAGAGGACTTTGGGGGCAGTGAATCCACATCACTCGCCAGAATGGCAGACTTGGGAGTTAGATCTGCATACCAAAAAACGCGACGTACACCAGACACACCAGAAGATTTGTTAATCAACATAGAGCTGGTAATATTAGCCATCGAACGTTGGGGTTCATACTGAGGGGAGGATCTGAGCACCTATGGACATGTTCAGAGTGCAATGATGATAACCCAACTAACTTACTAACTAAGTCAATGAATAAGGCACCGTAACTAAAACAAAACTACCTGACAAATTCACTGTCCTGGTGAGGTTATTAACAACACAAGAAAGGACAGGGTTACCGATACGAGCATTTGAGAGAAAGCTGGAATAAGACCATGTCAGAATTATTTTGACAGACAAAAAATAAAATGGTAGCCATCTAGCGAGAATGCAGCTAGACCAAAGTGCATATATTTTTTTTTACAGCAGAACATTTGGGAAGAAGGTAAAGGGGAGACCAAGAAAGATGTGGATAAATGGTGTAGCTGAAACCTTAACAAGATGAACAAATTCATCACCCAAGCCACCCGAAAAGCACAAGACAACAACGGAAAACCACAGCATTTGGTTACAACCAGGTAACAGTGAAATGACAGAAGAAGATGAAGAATGAAGGTATTTCAGCCGGTCAATTCATTCAGTAAATGAGTCAGAGAACTGTCTAAAAGAAGAAGGAAAAAGGGGAAAGTGCAGATTCACATGTGACTGAACACAGGAAGAGATGAGAAGAAGTAAGAAGCCTGCATGAATGCATTGGTCTGATGCACACCCGTACAGGGAATGTAGCCTAGCCAAGAAATACGAGGATTACAGAAAGCTGAATACAAACAGAAAGTGTGTGAACTGCTTCGACAACCATAGAGCAAAATACCTCGGCTGCCCCTACATCAAGGAAAGCAAGAAAATGATAAAAATAGTGACAGTCAACAACACACCTAAGCCCAAAATAAAAGTGAGGCAAAACAAGGAATGTCATCCAATGAAATAAGACTTGCAACAAAGATCAAGCAGATGAAAAAGTATGTGAGCAGAAAGTGAGAATGGCAGATAAGAGCACATAAACTGAGCCCAGGGAGCTGCAACACATGCCACTGAGTATGCGATGGTGGAAAAAGCAGAGAAAAGCACAAGGATGCGGAAATCTAAGAAGCAGCACAAGAATGCAGAAATCAAAGAAGCAGCACAAGAATGCAGAAACCAAAGAAGCAGCACAAGAATGCTAAAACCAAAGAAGCAGCACAAGAATGCAGAAATCAAAGAAGCAGCACAAGAATGCAGAAACCAAAGAAGCAGCACAAGAATGCAGAAATCAAAGAAGCAGCACAAGAATGCAGAAACCAAAGAAGCAGCACAAGAATGCAGAAATCAAAGAAGCAGCACAAGAATGCAGAAATCAAAGAAGCAGCACAAGAATGCAGAAATCAAAGAAACAGCACAAGAATGTAGAAATGAAAGAAGCAGCACAAGAATGCAGAAATGAAAGAAGCAGCACAAGAATGCAGAAATTAAAGAAGCAACACACAAGAAATGCAGAAATCAAACCAATATACAGGTTGAACAGAGTCACTTGAAGGAAAAAAGGGGGGGGGGGGGGGGGTATAAGGTATTAAAAAACTCATTAAACAGAACACTTCTTTCAACAATAAATTCCTCTTTCAACGATTTCTTCCATCAATGTATTTTTCCAAAAAATATATTTTTCATCAATGTATTCTTCCATCAAAACATTCTTCTGTCAGAATATTCTTCCATCAACATTTCTGCCAACAAAATATTCTTTAACCAATATATAACTGTTAAGAAGAAGTGAACAATCTGAACATAATATGAAATACGGAAAATCAGTCAATAATTACCTGGAGGTCCAGCTAGACCTGGTAATCCTGGGAAGCCTGATTCACCTTTAGGACCAACCAACTCCTGGAAAGCCAGGCTCACCTGGAGCTCCATTTAAGCCGTCTGGTCCAGGCAAACCTGGATCACCCTTAGGACCTGATTTTAAAAAAAATGCTCACATTCTGTGTAGCTAAAGACTTGTTATTTAATCCAACTATAAATGATGTCATGGTTTGGATAATTTTGAAAGCAGTTTAACTACTGAACAAAGGGTATATGGTAAATAAGATGATATTTAAACAATAACTCAACTATTGGTCAGTACAGGATCTGTTTGACCCAAAACCTGCCTGCTCATCTCATCAACTTTTTATCAATAGCATCTTTTAATCTTTCCAAAATAATTATACTTAATATTTTTCCCGGAACTGACAGCAACGTAATTCATCTATAGTTTTCACACTCCTGTAGATCACCTTTTTTGGGCAGTTTCACAAGATATCCTTCTCTCCAGTCTGCTGGTATTTCTTCGGTCTCCCTGACTTTACTGAATAATTTATGTAGCAATTCTGTTGATGTGTTTATGTTGGCCCTGATGGCTTCAGCTGGTATACATTCTGGGCCTGTCGCCTTTCCTTCCTTTAGAAGATTGATAGCTTTTCTAATTTCCTCTTTAGATGGTATCTCAAAGTTGATATCCAGTTCCATTTCTAAAGGCTGGATATCTGGGGGAACCTCTGGGCCTGGTCTATTTAGAAGCATTTCAAAATATTCCACCCATCTGTTCATTTGATCTTTGGTGTTAGTAGGTACTTTTCCTTGACCATTTTTGATCCAGTTGGCTGACTATATTTACCTACTAATTTCCTTGTGTTACTGTAAAGTTCTCTGAGGTTTCCTTTTGCTGCTGCTGTTTCTGCTTCTTGTGCTAGATCATTTAGATATTACACTTTATCTGCCCTTATACGCCTCCTAACTGCCTTATTGGCTTCTGTGTATTTCTCCTGAGCTCTAGCTTTAGCAGCTCTAGTTTTGCTATTATCTAAGTCTGCCTTTTTACTTTTCCTATCTTCAATCAGTTTAATGGTTTCTGGTGTTATCCACGCTTTATGTTTCCTTCCTTTCTTGCCAAGAACTTCTACGCAAGATTCATTCCAGATTCCTTTGATCTGATCCCAGCAGACTTCTGTGCTGACATCTTCAGCTAACTGCTGCAACACCTGGTATTTGTTAGAGACTTTTTTTTCACACAGTACTTGAGTTTATTTATTGCACAAATCCCCACTTACCAATAGGTCCAGGTGTGCCCGCTATGCCTGGTTTTCCTGCACTGCCTTTGGCACCCTTCATACCAGGCAAACCTTGCATTCCTTGATCACCAATGCGACCTGGCTCACCATTGGGACCAGCATCACCAGTCTCACCCTTGGGTCCTGTAATGGTAATGGAAAATGGTAAAGATCCTTTTTCACACCTTTAAGCGCATCAGGCGTAAGGGAAGAGCAACCCTATTTTTACAGACCATTCACTAGGTGAGTAATGTGGTCAGCATTACGCCGGCCATCTTTACTTCCTCAGGACATACATAATGGTCCCCATTTCTTAAGCTGGGTCGACCTGCGACGCCCCATACCATGATAACAATCCATGCAGCCAGCAGAGTCGGACTTGCAACACTGAAGCCATGGACACCGCTTGGGTCCTATAAACACCAGAATAATGGAAAGGGGGGGGGGGTGGACAAAAGTGTCACAATAATTTTGCAATTTTACCCAAGGAAATAAGAAATGCTGTAAAAATAACAGTAGAAATGCACATAAATAGTGATATAAAAGTTAAACTTTCTGGCTGTCAAGGAGTTGAGGAATAATTTTGTAACTATGAAAGTATGAAAAATAAATGGAAGATCAAGACAGAGAACAAAGATGACAAATCACAGACAGAAACTGCTGTAGCATCATTAACATTTTGGTAATGAATAAGAAAGTTCTGTCTTGTCATAAGTCATGGATCTTCAAATATGAAGGCTGAGCAAACTTATCCCCTCCATACACAATACATTGAAAAACTGCTGGCCACTAATTAACTCCTTACGGACGTTCAGCCAGTATACTCGTGATTAAGTCTATCCCTTACAGACGAATCGCCAGTATACTGGATCATGACAGAGACACTCTAATTTTGTTCTGTTTGTGGGGAAAATAAAGTTTTATAAACCAGTTTTTGAACAATTAGGATTAACAACAGGAAGTCCTTTCGTGTGTAAAGTTCATCGTGGTCGGTGGACTATTTCTGATTTGTTTTAGATTTTTCTGTGCGATATAATTTTGTATTATAACTTAGATTCAGAATTATCTGACAATGATGTAGATGATGACGATCGAGAATACCAGCCATCTGCAAAACATGCCAGACTAAATGGTAAAGATAAGGGAAAGCAGAACGATAACAAAGCCTACAGAACTGCTCATACGGCTGCTGTCGTTGATGAATCTGAGCCAGATAGTGACAAAAATAGTGTTGACCTTATGAATAGTAATAATGCATGTGCAGTATCTGTTGCTGAGGTTATGGCTTGAGATGAAGCTGAAGAAAATGTTTTGATCAGATTATCCCTGTTTCGATCAGCTGAGTGTGGAATTCAGGCACCACTGGATGAAAATTCAATACCACTGGATTGCTTATTGACACTGCTGACAGCTGATATCATTGACAGCCTTGTTCAAAACATAAATCTTTATGCAGTGGAAAAAATAACGAAAAATATGCCATTGAGAAAAAGATCTACATTGTCTGAGTGGCAGCCACTGACTAGAGACATTTTTGTTTCAGTTTCTCAGTGTAGTAATAGCAAGGGAATTGCACTGAAACATGATATCAAAGATGATTGGTCTACAGCGAACCACAAATTCACACCATGGTTCAAAGTAATGTTTCCAAGAACTAAGTTCTTGCTTGTTAACAAGTCAATGCTGCATGCATCAGAACCCAACGCACAAGGCCAAGCAAAGATTGAGCCATTTGTGAATAATCTAGTAGCAAAGTTTCAGTCAGCATTTTACCCATATGAAAAGCTTTCTGTTGATGAGATGATGACTGGTTTCAACGGCCGGTTTTATGCTAAACAGTACAATGCCAAACCTCACAAGTATTATATAAAGACATTTGGTCTTGTGATTCAATCACAGGCTATGTTTATAATTTGTTAATTTACTTTGGAGCAAAAACTGCCTACAATCCTAAGTCAACATCAACTCATGCTGTAAATGTATATTCAACCTTACTGCATGGTGTTGCAAGCTACCATCATCTATTTGCAGATAGATTTTATACATCACTCCCTCTCATACAATTTCTGTTATCCGGGAAATTGAATTATACTGGCACGGTGAATACAAACTGCAAAGGATTACTGCAGCAGCTAAAACAACAACCGACCATCTTTGCAACTTTGAGATGGTTAGTTAATAATGAGCAGAATATAATTTGCATTTCCTGGAGGGATAAAAAATCCAAAAAACTTTGCATCCTACTGACCACAAATGGAAGTTCTACATTTGAGAAACGCTAGGAAGGGAGTCAAAAGGTTCAGAAACCTAGCCCCATTCGCTCATACAATACGAGTAAGAATGGCTGTGATCAATCGCAAAACTTAAGAAGTGGTGGAAAAAGGTTTTTATGTGGATCATGGAAGAGACTCAGGTCAATGCTCACATCTTGTACACGTTATCCTATTATGCTGCCCCCAGGCGAATAAGTTTTGCAAATTTCAAAGACGAGCTCATCCAGCAACTAACTGTGCTCTCAGGTCATGAAGTTCCAACAGACATGATCATTGCTGTGGCTCGCAGACCAGGCAGAAAGCCAGCTTTGTCTGACAGTTTTGTTGGGGCAGACCATTTAGTTGACTATGCTGGTGCAGACAGGCAATGTGTACAGTGCAGCAAGAAAAAGATTCGAAAATGCAGCATATTTTACTGTTTGGATGTGCTGACAAGCCTAATCTGTGCCCCAATGCATGTTTTAGGGCATATCACACCCAGTAAGGTGGTTGTATTCAGGATCAATATCATCATCATTGTCAGATAAATAAAGTCTTAAGTCATCACTGGAATTACCCTTGTGACGAAATGACCTCAGTGTTTTCAAAAGTTAGTACACGTAATAATTTCTTCTGTTTATAGAGAGACCGAGAATTATATTTATTATGCCCTAAGCTGGAATATTACTAAATTGTTAAAAAATGTTTCTGGTCCTTTGCTCAGACAAAGCAGCCAGGCTTTGTTTAATATTATATAACATTCAGATTACCTAATATAGCCAGCTGGTCTACCAAGGAAAGTTCAGACAAAGTGGCTGTAGCGTTTGATTGTAGAACTGAAGTGTCATATAATTATCTCCTGACCAGAGACCCTTTGGGGCAGGTAATTGCTCAGAAACTAATTATCCCTGCTGAGATTATCTTCCTTGAACTGCAAACCAGACCCTATTGTCATAAAGGTTATTATCACAAGCCCTTTCAACAGATTTGATAAGGGGGAATTAACCTGGTCAAGTAGGAAACACGATGGCTTCCCTGACCGTCTTTTTCACACCTGTCAGTGACACGGGCTGGGACTAGATGTTTACCACTTAAGAATGTTTGATCAGAGGGGTATCAGTAAGAATTGACTGACAGACACCTTGATAGCTAATTTGATCTGCAAGGTATTTCTGGGGGCCTGGCTCAGATCTTCTCCGGTAGAAAAGGTTAAATACTAGAAGGGGAAGGAGTTTAATTTTTACAAGACATAGGTACTTATACTGCTAGCATCTTACATTAATCTCATAGTGATGCCAGCTAGCCACAAACTCAGATCAAGATTAGAAAGTAATTCTAGCTCGTTGAGTCCTGTTTGGCAATTGCTGCAATGTTCCCAGGTATGATTGTATATTATTTTCAATATTTTATTCATAGGTTAGGAGCTAGCTCACACTACTATTCCTTTCCTGGTGTATCTAACTTAAAATTCTGCTTGAAATAGTTCTTTGTGAGTATTCAGTTATCTCAGTTAGGGAACTGCTAAACTATTCCTATTTCTTGTATGTTTGTATCACATGTTTTTCAGTGTATGTTTTCATACTTGTAAAATGAAATGTAACAAAATTATATTGTGTCAATTATCAACCCAAAACATATGCCTGGACTGGGGAAAATTTTTGATAGCTTACCATGTGCTCACTGTCACTGAAAAGATAATATTCCAGACAACCTGCACATATAAAATGGTTTGGGTTTTCAAAACATAACCAGCTCCATGTGTTCATGTACAAACAATGTCAGCCAGTTTGGAAGTGAGTGAAGACGGACAGCAGACTTAGGAAGTCAACTATCATAACAGACCATGAGAGGGAAGGCAGGATATGTTAGACATCAATGTGAGACATAAGACCTTCAGACTAGACTGGGGAGAATGTGGAAGATAAGGAGGAGAGAGGTTATATATTTTTATATATTGTATTAGTACATGCATGCTTAGTGTAAGTATAGATACTACACATATGTGTTTGTTTCACAGCTCCTGTCAAATTGAAGACCAGTCTGCTCTGCTAGCAGAACCAGAGGGTCACATGCAGGAACCTACATTGTGGGAGATCGGCTGGAAACAGGCCGAGAAGGAGGTGGAACAAGCTGGGAAGAAGCTGGAAGAGGTAGAAAAGTTTTACAGTGCCTCACGGCTGTCAGAGGTTTTATCTTGCCTCAGTAAGTTATGTCAAAATCTTTTTCGTAAACTTATCACCATCATAACTTCTCTAATCCCAGGTGCTCGGTTTTCTAGCTGAAGCATCTCATCACTATCATACCATCAGCCAGTCACTGTTTGTCTAAATATTACAAACTGGTGAATGTCACTTAAATGATTGTTAGTATATAAAGTTATATGTCAAGTTTTATACTACATCGTTTGTTAAATTCCAAGTGTATTCTGTCTTACCTGTTAGATAAAATTACATTTCATGGGTGCTCTTCAATAATTCTTTACCAGGAGAAGGTTGTCGGGAAGGGGTCACCTGCCCTGTCTAACAATTCATTACTTAAAGTAATCTAGACATCTAAAACCCCTTTACTTCTCCTGTGGGTACCAAGTGCAGCTGTTGTGTATTTACATGACAAACTAAATATGGCTGTTTTCTTGGATATCCAGGACTTTGGACATAATTCAGATAATAGTCTTGTTTCTCTGGTGGAGTTGAAGTGTTAGAGGAAAATTCCTACTCATCACAAAAGCATCTATCAACTTTCAGACCCACAACAGTCCTTATATATCAGTTAAATTTATTTTTTTGGCTGTTCTTAAATTTGATGTGTCAGACAAAAATGATCATAAAATCCAAAGTATTTGGAATAATTGTTTCAAATAAAGACTAGCTGATGCTTAATTGAATAGAGAAGGCATGTGAATTCTTAGAAATTGATGGCTATGTTGCTGAACAAGTTAAACAAAAAAAGTAAGAACAACATTGCATGTCTAAAATATTTTTGTGTGTCTAACATCCTCTAAATTAGTGTCACTGTTGTATGTTATTGTTGTAATACTGATCCATAAATAGTTTACATGCATTCTGCATTCATTTTTCTTTAATTTGATTTATTATGTGGCACTGTACAGCCAATACTTTTTCAAAAGGACGTATTTGCTTTGTCATATTGCTGTTTCAAAATTCAGTAAAACAGTTTTCCTTTTCATTCGGATATTCTAAAATTTGACATGTCACACAAGAATAGTCATAAAATGCAAAGTATTCAGGATAATTGTCTCCAAAAAAAAAAAAGGCTAGCTGATAGTAATTGAACAGAAAAGGCATATGAATTCTTAAGAATGGGGAGAAGTGTTTTTGATCTAGCAGAAAAAAAAGGTAAACACAACATTTCTCACCCAAAAAAAAAATATCCTGTGCGTCTAACATCATTGAATATGGTGTGATTTTAATGTTACTCTTGCAATACGGATCCTTAGATAGTTTACATGCATTCTACATTCAATTTTCTTCAATTTAATGTATTACATGGTACTATACATCCAGTGCTTTTTCAACAGGACAGTTTTAGCTTTGTCATGTTGCTGTCAAAATATTTCACTGAAAATTAATGTTGTCCAAACCCCAGAAAAAATGTAATCCTGAAAGAGTTAAGATACCACCCGTCTATATTTCCACAGATGACAATAAGGTTTTAGAGAAGTATGTCATCCACTTCTAAATGTACGTGACCAGGTAAAATCATAGTAAAGAGAATATAACTTGTGTACTTGTGTAACTGTTAAGGGTTAGTTTATTATTCTGTAATAGTCTTCTTCATTGTCCTGATTTGAGAAGTGGATGCCTTATTGTCTCAGATTACTACTTACAATATAACATCCCATGTTCACACTCCACACAGGAAAAGTCCCTTAGCAACCATAGATCACAAAGACATTATGAGAGACGTTGTAAGAAAATTCTTAATGACAAAACCTAAGTGCCAAAAAAAATGTTCATTTTTTCCCTCGCATACTGGGATCTTTGCAGGCAACCAAAGGAAGAGAGTACATCACTTAAAAATGGATTTATGTGCAATGTAGACAGTTAATTAAAAAAAAATACTATAGACCAAATAAAAGTAAGTAGCAACAACAACAATTATATTTATATAATATATAATATTATATATATATATATATAAAATACAAATATTTCATATCTTTACCCCCTTACCGAACATTACAGCAAGGAACATTTTTTTCACAGAAAAAAATTCTTTTGGCTCAAAAAGGTGTTAGTCAATGTGCATTGTAGTTTACTACATTGTATAAGATTACCTAGGTGGGGCACTCTGAGCTGTAATTAAAAAGAAAGTAAAATATCTATTAAAACTACACTTACCTGGAAGTCCAGGGAGACCAGCGGCTCCTTTAGGACCTTGAGGACCTGCGGGTCCATCAAATCCAGGAAGGCCATCCATTCCTGGTAGACCAGATACACCTCTCTCTCCTTTACTTCCAGGAAACCCAGGAATTCCATCTGAACCTATTTCTCCGGGCGGACCAGAATCCCCTTTAAAAAGACAAAAATTCCAAGGACCTTTTATTACATTAATCATTGAAACCCAATTTAAAAAGTACAAAAGTCCAAGTTTTCTATACTTCATTCCAACGGTGTCCCTTTACTACATTTATTTTCATTCCCAAAAAACCAAGCAAAATCACCATTGTGTCCAGAACATATTTGAGCTAACATCATATGTTTTATGCTTAGGCTAGTGGAAAATAAGGTTTTACAGAATATGCACTTGGAATTCCAACGTATGTCTGTTCTCTTTGTATTTCCACTGTTCTCTTTGTATTTCCACTGTTCTCTTTGGAAGTCTACTGTGAAATCTACTGGGGCTGAAAAAGTTAATTCTAAGAAGATCTTTATAGACAGATCGTGCATGCCTGGTATCAACATATTTTTCTTGATCTTCCTTTTCCTCTCCAGTCCAATACTGGTCACCTCTTATAAATTCTGGAATGTTCCCTCATGTCTGACAAGAAGCCATGACAGCCATTTATTTGGTATGACTTTAGGAAAACTTGCTCTGTTTCGTTTTTCATAATAGGAAAGTTATCAAAAGAAGAAAAGATTCATTTTCTGGGAATCAAGTTGACATGAAATGGCGCTAGCCACATGATGTTATTATGCTGTAACCAAAAATATGGGAAAATCTAACACTTCAACACTACAACTAATAAATGTCTGTGTGTGAGCCTATGTGTGTACATGCGTGCATGCATGTGAGTGTGTCTATGTGTGTAGACACACATTAAATGTCATTGATTTACAGATACTAGGGGTTATGTTGAAGCATCATTCTACAATGGCTGGAGTATCATTCAACAATTACTGAAGTATAATCTTATAACATGGCTGAATACTCCTACAAGTACTGGACTTCATCTAATAACAGCTCATGGGGAATTACCTCAGAGTGATAACAAAGTAGTATTCTAGAATTAATAACAGAGAATCATCCAAGATATCATCCAAAAACTGCTATACTGCCATCCAACAATCACTGACTTCTTCTTCTGTGTTCACTATTATAGGGGCCTTGGCACATTCTGTTGTGGATTACAGCTAGGCTTCAATATCTGTGCCTTTCAGCCTAGCACATATAATTTCAGCAAACACCCAATTAATCACTTGTAACAACATGCTAGTTAAAATGGCAGTGGGTGTATTCCCCCTCCCCCTTCCCCTGATATGGGGCTCTAGAACCCATAGAGGAAACCACTCATGCAGAATCAGCTCAAAGTAAAAACAATTGATAAAATTCATATGTACGACACTCACACAACTAACAGTAATACAAAAATAACACTCCCCAACCTATGTGTGAAATCCTGATCTCAGCTTTCCGTGTGTTTTTGTGTGTGGAGGGGAGGGGGGTAAGGGGAGGCGAATAAACTTAATGCCCCCTTAAAAGCATATTGAACAAGGTGATTAATTAAAGATGTTTCCTTCAAAGCAAGAATAACTCAAGTTCTGGAAAAGATCAAAGTCCAGAAGTGGACGAACAGCCAGAACGTCTGTCAGCTGCTGAACGTTAAAAAGGAAAGATAGAAAGTAATAAAAAAGTAATTATCAATAACTAAGAATCATCTCACAGCCGATCACTAAGAATCAACCTTAAATAAGAACAAATCTCAGCATACATCCCTAGAAGAAAATCTTACCAGGCATGCCAGGTAAACCAGGGAGACCTTTCTCGCCACGAGGTCCTGGTTCTCCTACTGGGCCAGGTTCTCCAGGGAAACCATCAAGTCCTGGAATGCCAGGTAAGCCAGCTTCTCCAGCAAAACCTTTATCACCCGGGGGACCTGGAACTCCAGGCAGACCTATGTGGTCACAGAAACAAAATATGCCATCTTAGCAAAACAATATTTATCTAAACCAAAGTTAAATCGTAAGTACAAAGTTATACAGTAGGAGAAATCAGTCATTAATATGAATTAAATAGTCTAGTGTGCAAGATTAAAAATAATATACAGATTTATCAATCAATAAGTCTAGAACTGACATCACTGTACCTGGTACATTCCCACATGTGCCTTATTCTCTTCCTTAGTAGCCAAGAGAGTTCTTATACTGCTGCTACTTGTGGCAAATGTATGTAAACATACATTCCCCCCCCCCCCCCCCCCCCCAATATCTTTCTTCTAAGCATTTAGTTTTATCCAGATCTTAGCTGGGAATGCTACTCCAGTCAACAAATGTCTGAAGAATTTGATGTACTAGCTAACAGTATAGATGTTGCAACTGGGCTGTAAACTGGCTAAATGGAAGTTCACAATGAAAACAATTGGATGAATGAATCAAATAGTACAGAACTGATGTGATGCAATGCCTGCTGTTAGCACTGGAGACAGAACGAGTAGTTCATTTTGATGACCAGTGTGCCACTACATGGACTATAAGAAGATATGAGGATGAAATGTTGGTTAGAACACATTTGAAAAACCTGATAACAATATCACTAGGACGTCATTGCACTAGGACCAACAGGAGCTAATAAATAAAAATAAAAACACACATAAAAGATAATTAAACTGAATAAGATGGACAGGACCTGGACTGAGCTGAATGTGGTGGCTAACAGTGGGAACACTTACCATGAGCTGCTTGAGAGCCTATGCTCTACTAGGGAATAATGGGCAAATGAAGAAGAAGAATTCACTTATTTATAACAAGACCAGTTATTTTCTCTTTTTACTATTATTTAAAAAAGGAGAATGAAGATAAGTATAAAAATATAAAACTTAGATGAAGGAGGTGCTAAAAACACTTTCAATGTAGCATTAAATCAAGCAATGAAAAAAAATAACGTAACAAAATTACAGAATTAATATGTGGATTGAACTCACAGAACAAAAATATAATGACAAAAGAGTAGACATAAGCACAAGAGGCAATAGTAAAAGTCTACCAAGACTTGCTGTTAGAAGCTAAAATTTCATCACATAACATCAAGTCAGGGATGGTCCCTGGACAAGACTTCATTACAATAAAGGAAACTGTGGTTTTGAGATATTTTCAGACATAAATAATAGATGGAAAAAACATTATAAATGACATCTAGTGTAGAGATCACAGTCTTGCTTAATTCCATTACAGATTTTTAAAGATGACACAGCCAAAGTGAAGGTCATAAGAAAATACTTTGTATGAGTTCAAATATAGCAAAGCTGTTAGAGAGAATCCTTACGCCCACCCCCTTCCCACCCCCCCCCCCCCCCCTCCCCCCCAAAAAATTACACAAACAAATTAATAAACAAAATTATAATGGAGGAGAATGGCACAAATACACATTATTATAATCATGTAATGTCAAAAAAGTGTCGAATGTCATGGTTCACCATATCACAGAATCACAACTATTACCATGTTTTTGTTTTATCCTGGTTATACCATGTGGTCATATCATCGAGGTATTTATCTCTTTGTCTTCCCTATCCTTTTTTTTCCCAATCAGTTTACCCAGCTGTCACCAATTATTAAAGTTGATTTCCCCTCATATATTTGTCACATACTTTCTTTTTCTTCTAACCCCTGTCATTTGACATTGATATTCATGACAGAAATTTAAGTATCTGGGCACATGGATAACATCAGATGGAAGATGCATAATTGAGATAAGAAACAGAATAGGACAGGCAAAAACTGCATTTTATAAAATGAAGAACATCTTGTGGAATATTTCCTTGTCATTGAGAGTTAGAAAAAGAATTATGGCTTGCTACATATATCCAGTTTCAACATATGGCTGTGAATCCTGGACAATCAGTAAGCAGGCCAAACAATTTCTAGAGGCCTCAGAGATGTGGTTTTACAGAAGAATGCTTAGAATACCTTGGACAGCCAAAAAGAGCAACAAAGAGGTTTTGAAAGAGGCGGGAGCCCGAAGACAACTTATCACAGACATCAGAAGGGGACGGTTATCATTTTTCGGCCATGTTATGAGAACAGGGAAAATAGAACATGTTGTGACCACTGGAAAGATCTGTGGAAGGAGGGATAGAGGAAAACAAGGAGAGAAGATGCTTGACAGTCTTGTTGTATGGCATGGAGGTGTGTCGGCACACGAACTGATACATGCTGCAGGAGATCACAGATTATGGAGAGGCATGATCGCCCACGCCAGTCGGCAAGGCACCTGATGATGATGATGATTCATGACCATCCACAGCCTTCCACCCCAGAAATTGTGATGTACTAAATTAATAACAGATCCTTTTCAGTGTATATTAGGCAGAATTATTACATATTATGTGGAAACAATATGAATTATATGGTTATAAATACTTGGCAATTAATCAAGATACACAGATTGCCTTCAAGCCACAGAAATGTAACTTCCTAGATTGATGAAAATGACAGTCAAAATGAGTTGTATGAGTTGTCTATATGTTTTAAAAAAGTATAAAACACAACAAATACAACCTTTAATAAACAGTAGAAATGTCTCGTAAACACATAATAAGATAACATAAACTAGAAGATTTAACAGCTAGAAAGATTAATTTGAAAAAAAAAAAAAAAGAAGAAGAAGAATCTTGGCAGCCTTTCATAAGTTAGAAAAATATAAACACAAGAAGTGTTAAATTTTTTGGAGGTTGTAAGATATAAAGAAACATAACTGACCCCATAACTTTTCCAGTAGACAATAGTTGATGATGGTAACATTCAGTACCTCAAGGAGGCAGACTGGAAAATAGGATTAAACTTTCCTGGCTAAAATCTTACCATCAGGGCCTCTCAGACCAGGCCGACCACTTAGACCTGGAATTCCTGGCAGTCCACGCTCACCTTTAGGACCCAGAATGTTTGGACCCGGTGGACCATAATCACCAGGGCGACCTATATAGTAAAAATAAAATTATTTAAGTTAGTACATATTAAAACTGTCCTCATTCATCCTTAGTCCCCTAGATTCAAACAGTGGCCTCACATCACACATACACTTGGAAATACTGAATCCCAAACACAAATCTCTTATCACACAGATATTTGGAAATTCTGACCTGTTAATACTGTTAAGATTGAAGCAAAATATGTTTGGGATTTCAAGAGTGAAAAGAAATAATTGCTAAATAAAATAAAATTGTAAGTGAATTATAAAGTGATGAAGATTATAAAGTGAAGATAACAATGATACTGAAATATGTTTGGGATAGCAAGAGTGAAAAGGAATAACTGCTAAATTAAATCAAATTGTAAGTGAATTATAAAGTGATGAAGATTATCAAGTGAAGAAAATAAAGATACTGAAAATGCTTACCATCATCACCAGGTAATCCAGGAAGACCAGCGTCACCTTTAGGCCCAATTATACCTGGTTCACCAGAAAAGCCATCTAAGCCAGCATTGCCTTTAGGTCCAGGAGGCCCTGACAGTGTCAAATATAAATAAATATTAATGTAAGTTTAGTTTAAATGTCTCTGGTTTGTGTTACATTCCTTACCAGTATTGCTATAATATGTACCTATCGTTTTATAGTTTAAGTCTGTGGGTTCAAATACTGTAGTAATTTCAGCCACGAAACTATATAGGTTACGGGTCTAGCCTTGCACTAGAAATATATCATCAATAAATGCAGTGCTAAATTTTAACTTAGAAGCTTAACAGTTTTATTTATTATTGGCACAAGAGAGTTCTACTAGCCTTAGTTACAGCTTGTGCCGGTCATGCTGGGTTCATTCACTTCACAGTTTCATACAACAGCAGGTTAGGTTCAGTAGAAAAATAGTATACAGGCATGCATACACATATTCTAGGAGTCAATAGCTAGAAAGGGAAGGAGTCAGGTGATAGCAGCAATGAATCTCAATAGTTAAGAATTCTGGAAAAAAAAAGAAGAAGATATATTTCACTTAGCCTATTCGGCTGAGACAGAAATGAACAGGCAGGCAAACTGGCAGGTTTTACACAACTCAGTGATGAGCTGAATGAACAAACAAACAAACTTTATTTTCAAAGGGTTACAAAGTGGGCACACAGGCCTGTCTTACATTCGGCCCTTCCAAGCACTCATCTTTCAGACCACAACTGCATGTTATCGATAATGCATGTTATGTTTAAATAAAAATATACATAATAAAATAAAGCATACACCCATCATACATACACAATAATAGACACTAAAAAATATACACGTACACACAATTTTACATGCTCATACTTACACAGACACACACTCATACATGTACATAACACACACATGAGCACACATACCCGCCTACTCACACACACACATACATGTGCCCTGCCAAGTGGCATAGGCGCTCAAGCATCTTCACAGATCACAATCCCTTGTTGCCTGAAACAGCTTTCTTGATGAAATTCTTCCATGCCATTGTTTCAGCCCATCCAGCATCATCTCTCTTGGTCTGCCTCTGCCCCTCTTTTCCCTGATCTTTCCAGCTGTCACAATGTTTTCCAGTCCCTCTATTCTCATTAGAGACCCAAAAAAGGTGTCTCCTTTTTATTGTTGCATATAGAGATCTACTTTTATTATCTTCTTTCAAACAATCGTTATTAGTTACTCTGGCTGTTCAAGGTATTCATAACATTCATCCCAGAAACCACATTTCTGTTGCTTCCAAATTCTTCTTAATTTGTTTACAGACGTTCCAAGATATGCTTCCATAAAGTAGAGCAGGTTCTATGTAATAATTTAGCACTCTCTTGCTGACATTAAATGACAGTGACTTACTGCATAAGATAGTTTTCATTTTCTGAAATGCTGCCTTCGCTTGACCTATTTTGCTTTTAATCTCTGTCATACATTTTCCATCTGATGATATGACTGTTCCTAGATATTTAAATTTATTGACTTGGTCAAGTCTTTCTCCTTCAACTGAGATATCTCAATGTTATCTTCTTCTTTGATATAACCGTTGCTTCCGTTTTCTTAATATTCAGGAAAAGTCATTTCTTAGCACTCTCTATTCCCACAATATCCAGCAGTTGTAAATCAACTGCATTTTCAGTTTTCAAAACTGTATCGTCTGCATAATGCAAATTGTTTATACTGTTTCCTTCAACTCATATTCCTGTTTTATCTTTAAATTTTCTCAAAATTACTTCACTATATAGAAAGAAAAGGTCTGGAGATAAGACATATCCCTGTCTTACTCCTTGTTTTATCTGTTCAAAAGTACCCAATCTGTTTCTCACTTTAATTGCTGCTACTTGGTTCCATTACACATACATACACACGCATATACATACATATGCATGATGCATGAGAAGCTAGATGTTGTAAGGGCCCTTTGGGGGCAAGTGAACAGTGTGGAAGCACAGACAGATCACCATGGTCTGAAGAGAATGGTGCTTCGAGGAGTGAACAAGGGGATCTGGTCGATGATCAATGCTCAAGGGAAAGATGAGACAGGTATACAGTCAGACTGTAATTGGCACCATCGGAATAGAGCTCCGCGCTTGCTGCTGAAGATGGGGACAGAGCACTTATGGAAATGTTCTGAGTGCTGTGATGTCAATTCTTAATTAAATATTAAACATTTAGCTAAGACACTGCAGAAAATTTCAGCTTCTCACATCCTTCAGTCTGATTGCTTGTTTACAGAACAGACACAGGGTATACTGCAAGAAAATGTCCCTCATTTACATGACATACCGCGTGGGCTTGTCTGTGACACTCAGCTCAAGATAAATAGACTACTTCTGGAAGATTTAAATATTACCTCTACTGCCATCCAAACCAGGCAAGCCAGGTTCTCCCCGTAGACCTTTAGGACCAGGAAGTCCTGGTAAACCTTCAGGCCCTGGGAATCCTGTCACAAAATAAAAGTACAAGTATCACTATCAAGATATTCTGAAATACTATCACAAACAGGCATTATAATGTATCAGAATTTAATGTAGAATATTTGATTAACAACAGATGTTTGTGTTGTCTCCATAATTAATACAGGTGGCAGGGTATCTGCCTGCAGTAGTAGAAGTCTGTAGTTTCACCACTAGTTAAAAATCTATTTTTATTTCATTACCAAAGAGAATGTGATTTTGTGGACACATGTGCATGTGTATGTATGTGTCCAAATATGTGAGCATTTGCACATATGTTTAGGTGTGAGTGCTTACAAGTGTTCATATACAGCATTCAACTGAAATAAACTCTTTCATTCCTAGCTGATGTAGTGTGTTTGGCTCTTCCCATCATGCCAGGTAAACATTGTCTCTCAGATATCTGTGTGAAATATTGCATGTCTCCTTCAGGGCTTTGAACGAGGCCACACAAGCTAGATGTACCACAATCATCATCTATACAAATTCATCATACCTCCAAGTCATCCATTGCATAATAAACACTGGACATATGGTACTAAAGATCAACCTTCCATCACATATGCCCGATTTTTGTTTAGAAATAATTTTTTCACTTGAACACGCAAGCACACACACAGCCTTTCCTGCCATTCTTGTATATTTTCATTTGTTTCTTTAATTTCTTCTTGTTTCTCTCCATTTAGATAAATAAGTTGATAATTACTGTACCAGATATATATTTTTAGGCCAAACAGCCTTTTCTGGGTGATATTAGCATTCCAATGAAACTGTGAGAGTTCCTCATCAGACTAAACTGACCTAGCAACCCAGATCAGTAAAGTCAAATCCCTGTCTTAGAGTGAAACCCATGACATTGGGGCTGGTAGACAAACAATCCTTTACTAAGATGGCAATGTGACACTTCAGCTTTCATGAATGAAATCAAGCCATATATATAATGTACATGTGCAACAATCCTATCATGGATGTGAGGCTAAGAATTATGTCCCTTTATAAAATACTTGTGTTAACTCCTGAAATAGGCTGGAGTGCCAGGAAATGAAAGAGTGGGTTATTTTGCTATAAAAGCAATAGCTAGAGGAATACTTATACAGGACAAGGGAGACATTCTGAAGAGCATTTATGAATATACATCAATACAAGATACTAGGTTAGATGAAATAACATCTACAAATGTGAAGATCTGGAATTAAGTGTGTTTCTGGCAAGGAGGAGCTTATAAGAAGAAAATATGACAGTTACAATTAGAGGAATGGTCAGCATCATCATTTACCATTGGAGACAGACTATATATAGGTATGCTCCTTGTGCAGTGATGCTGATTCTGAAATTAGTAGATTTAAAAAATCTGCGTTGATAATCATTACCTTTAAGTCCTGTTAAACCTCTGCTTCCTTTAGCACCTGGTAATCCAGGCATGCCATCAAAACCTCGGTCACCCTTCTCTCCCTTGACACCAGAAGTGGCATTTCCTGCAAACAATAATGGTGAAAAAAGGTCAAAGGCCAGTTAAAGGCACTGTACAATCCTAAATTGTGCCTTATTATTATTATAATACATTACTTGTCCATAGAAGGTAGTTGCGTATCCTTTACAGGATGTTGCAGAACAATCCCCAACAGCCCCTGGCTTTTGTGTGGTTTTTCTAGGCAAATTTACGTCCCGAAGTTTGCCATTGCTTTCTGGACGGAGTTTGCCATTGCTTTCTGGACGGTTGGTTTTCTTGAAACCACTGTCGAAACCAATGCAAGGCGCATGGCCTACAGCTGGGATCGAACCCGGCATCCCGGCATTATGAAGCGTTTGCATTTACTTAGCCACAGAGCCGATACTTGTCCATACTTGTCAATACTATAATTCTTACACATGCCTTATTATTTTTTTTAAAATACAGCTCTGATTTAAAGAAATTCGCCGACATGATAGAAATACAAAGTTATATAGAAAACATCAATAAAAAAGTGAAGAACTACAACAAAACTCTACAGTAATGTGTTTAAAAAAAACAGTCAGGAATAACAGTATAAATGCTGAAGTAATCTCATGGAGCATGGTTAAAATAGGTGAATAAATTTAGTGGCAAAGATGAAGAGGATGCCAAAGAAACAACTGAGAAACTACAACTGAGGCATATAAGGATACTGGGTCTCAGTCCTAACTCTTTCAATCCCTAGCAAAGCCAGATGTGTGAATGACTCTACCCCTTTGAACAGTAAAGCAGAAACTGTTTTCATTGTAATTTCTAAAAGTTCATTAAGTTTGAAATGGTAGTCACATATGGGGAAGTGCTACTCTTTCACATATTTTAAGCTAAGACATTAGTCTTAGTCAAGGTTTCAATTTCACTGCAACTGAGTTTCCCCATTCTTGCTGTGTTCCTGTGCCAGTGAAAATCAAATGAAATGTCCATCACTGTCCATTTGAAAAACTGATGAACAATGAAAAGTCATGACACAGAAGGTGGGATGACAAGTTTCCTTCCTATTTGCCTTTCCTTTCCTACAATAACCAGAAAATACCCACAAATCATATGATATCTAAGGTTATGAGCCATACCTGTAGGGGAAAAACTGACCACTTCTGAGGTTCAAGCCTAGATCTCACTGTATGAGTCATGGTTCTATTTTAGGAGAAAATGTATAGACCCACTGCCCCCACATAACAAGTATTTCATAAAAGGTGACTAATTGGGAGTGTTTCCACTGAAGTCAGAGAGCATCTGCCTGAGAGGTGAACGACCAACAGTCTGCACACAAATAAGCCAGATCTGTAAAAATTCCTGGACCAAGGTCCAAAAATGGACTAAAAAACCAGGACATTCCCCTGGAGTTTACAGCCAGTGAATGCTACTAATAATAATAAGAAGAAGCTGGACTACTGTATAAAGTATGCATTAACTCTTTGAGTCCCAAAGGGTTTAGCATAACAGGTCCGATGGGTAGTAAAGAGAGACATACAATCGGCATATCACATGTTAATTGGGCTTCTAGGAAAAAATAAGAAGAAGAAGAAGAAGAAGAAGAAGAAGAAGAAGAAAAAGAAGAAGAAGAAGAAGAAGAACAAGAGGAAGAATGAAAAAGAGAAGAAGAAAAAGAAGAAGAAGAACGTATGATGCGTTCTTTGGAACTCAAAGAGTTAATAGCTGTTTTCAACACTTTACCTACCTGGTGCTCCTTTGTCTCCAGGTGTCCCAGGTAATCCAGGATATCCATTGACGCCAACATCCCCACGATCACCTTTGTCTCCTGGTATACTGTAGCCAGTATCACCTTTGTCACCGGGGCGACCAGGTTCTCCAGGGATGCCTGGACGACCATCAATGCCAGTCACTCCTCTCAGTCCCTATATTTCGAAAAAGGTATCACTTTATATATTTAAAAATGAAACTGCTGTAAAGTAGAAGTTGCAAGCTATGTAGTCAAGGATGCAAGGGGAACGACCATATTATCATCTCAGGAGTAAGTTAAAGGGAATGACTTCTCCAGGAGCTTTATTTTGGCCTTCAGAACAGTGGTCTCCAACCGGAGGGGGGGGGATGAAGGGCAGGGGGTGCAAGGAGGTTTCAAGGGGGGGGGGAAGAGGGGGGGGGGGCATCAAGAAATGTTGAAAACAAGTGCATTTGTATTTTGTAATAATTCTTTATACTTACAGTTTGTTTTAGTTTCTAAAAAAATATTTTAAAAATTATTTATTAAACAAAACAAAAAGAACATCTTTGTTTTCATGAGCAGTTTGAACACCTGAGGTTCAACTCTTCAGGTCATCACTTTTTTTTTACCCTGTCTAGTTTGGCATGTTGGGTTTTCGATGGTACCTTTCTGTCTTTCCAAACAATAGTTTTAAATTGTTCTTTGAGGATGAATGGGATCCACAGCCCATGGCAATGGCGAGTGTGACTAGCAAGACCTGCCCAGGTTAAGAAAAGTCTTCCACAATCAGAGCATGGGATTTCAGGACCATTGTTGGCATCATTTATGTTTAGTATATTTCTTCTCAGACACTAAGGACTCATCCTTTCTGCAATCATTTCTTTTTTTCAATCCCATTCCCTTCCTGATGAGCGCCCCCCATGCAACACAGGTCATGGGATTTTGTTCCGAGTCCTCCTCAATACCTGTATCATTCATGTCTCACTTGCACACATCTTTATATTGTAGTAGAGGTCAGCCTCAATATCTTCTATCCGTCTTGATTCACCATGGAGGATGTCCTTAGGAACATGACAAATACTTAAAATCTGCACAACCAATGGATTGGTGTACTCCAATAATGAGGCCACAATTGCTGCATTTAAAAGACAACAACAACAATCCCTAAACAGAGAGATTAAATTATTAATCTGCACTAAAATCAACAATACACAAATAATAATGACAAAGACAATAAATAGGGCACTAGAACAGAAAATAACTACATGTTAAATGTGCTGTCTCCACAAGGTCACTAACTACACTATATGAAACAGGGTTACGAATACCAGCATTAGAAAAAAAAAAGTTGGAATAAGACCATGTCTAAACTATATTGACAGACAAAAAAAGAAACGGTTCGGCCATCAAGTTAGAATACAGCCAGACTAGACTGCATATGAGACTTTTTACAGTAGAACATCTGGGAGAAAGGTGAGAGGAAGACCAAGACAGAGATGGATAAATGGTGTAGATGAAACCTGCAAAAAAATGAACAAATCCATCACCCAAGCCATCTGAGAAGCGCAAGACAAATACAGAAAACCATGGGTTACAACCTGGTAACAGTGAGACAACAAAGAAAGAAGAAGAAGAAGAAGAAGAAGAATGACAAAATAAAGCTAATACTGATGATGTTACCTGTTCTCCTTTAGATCCTGGAAGTCCAGGTGCACCAGTAGGACCTTGAGGTCCAGGTAATCCAGTTCTGCCTGGTTCACCAGTTAATCCAGGAAGGCCAACGCCACCTTTAAAACCTGAGAAAGACAGTGAATAATCAATGAAAACACCACAGATTCTACAGTTCAATACAATCAGTTCTGTTTACTTGTCTTGTCTTGTCCACAATTGCCTCACAGCGTAGTGGGGAGTCGCAGTTTTCTATCCTGGGCCAGGTGTTCTACACAAGAATTATGGAGGGGAGGAGCTACCATTGAAAATACCACCATTACTTCCTGCACTGACCACTTTTGCAGTGTAGGCAGTGGTGATGGTGGTGGTGGTGGTGTGTTGTTGGTGGTGGTAGTGGTGTTGGTGGTGGTGGTAGTAGTGGTGGTGATGGTGGTGGTGGGTCACTGAGCCTGAGGATTCAGAGCCACATAGCTAATGCTGTCATCATGGACTGTGCCCCGACAGAAAATTATCTGCAACCTTCCTGAGGATTTAACTTTAGTCCCCGACAGAAAATTATCTACAACCCTCCTGAGGATTTAACTTTTGTCCCCGACAGAAAATTATCTACAACCTTCCTGAGGATTTAACTTTTGTCCCCGACAGAAAATTATCTACAGCCTTCCTGAGGATTTAACTTTTGTCCCCGATAGAAAACTATCTGCAACCTTCCTGAGGATTTAACTAGGGTATCCCGCATGGGAACCCAGCATTCTGAACTGTTCAGCCAGCCACTCCTAGCAGAAACAATATAACAAAAGTTACATGCATATCCTTTTCAGGATGCCACAAATCAACTCTAGCATTTATTAGCTGTTTCTAGTTTTTGTTGCTGTCTGTGGTTAGAGGTTGTGAATGCAGTTTTATAATTCTAACAAAAATAGTTTGATTCAGTTGCAGGTGTTTTGGCAGCGGAACAGTAAGTCTTGATTCCAACCCCTTAGACTTGTTTGCTTGCTTATTGTACCCAACCAAGGCACCAAACAAGCGATAAACATCCGGTGACACAAAGTGCCACAATGTGGATGAGGAACACCCATGGAGAGGTCCCAGAAATCCCTTTCAGCTGTTATGGCCACAATTGTGGTCCAGCTATATTCAGGGCTCCCGGCAAAAGCCTGGGTAGGGCTTCAAATAACAAAAACTTGCATCCCACAGTAATAGTAGTAGATATTTACCCCACTAGGACATAACACAAGCGATAAACACCCGATGACACAAAGTGTCACCATGTGGATGAGGATCACCTTCGGAGAGGTCCCAGAAACCGTGTTCAGCCATTAGACCATATTTATGGTCAGGCTATATTGCAGCCCTTAGCAAGAGCCAGTGTGGGGGCTTCAAAATAGAGAAAAATTGCATCTCAAAAGGAGATGACTGGATAGGATGAGAATAACCCCTTAGGCCTCTTTCTGGAGACTATAAATGAAGAATTTCTGTGGCAAATACAATTTTAATGTGAAGCAACATGCATAAGGCTGTGTAAATTTGGAGCTAATCCTCTCACCCAATAAGTCCTTGAGATAAAACACCCAACAACCTGAGAATTCCTGAAACAAATCCTTATGAATCCCAGTTCACTAACACATTTTTAAAAACAATTCATTTCTATTAATTTTATACATATACATACATACGCACACACACACACATATATATATGTAAAGAAAAGTAAACAATATTTGTTTTAACAGAGTGGAGAAACAAATTTCTACAGTTCCTTCAGCCTAAATATAAATAATTCATATAGTGACTCATACCATGACCATGTGCTCTGATTACTTGTGGCTAAAGGAGATTAAGAAGTCAGTCAGTATGAACATTGAACATTTTATTTTGATACCCTGTTGCTTCCTTGCCTCTCAGGCAGATGTACTCTGACTTCAAGGAAAACGCCTAATTTGTCACCTGCTACAAAATTCTTGTTAGGGTAACAACAGTGGGTCTGGTCTATTGCCCCCCCCCCCCACCCCCCACCCCTCCCCTAGTATTGGGTCCAAATCTGCCTTATAGCAGAATTTTTTTCAAAAGTGACTGTAGCTTCCAGGTCAACCCAGCCTAAAATGGGTTTCAGATAAGTCCCTGGATGTAAAAGCAGCTGCCATGATTTCAACCACATCCCCCTTCAAATGAAAGTTGGTCTGTATGCCCTATGCCTGATGTGCTAAAGATACAAAAAGGTCTCTTACTTACTGACTGACTATACTTTCAATCTGAACTATAAATTTTATACCCATGTTCCAAATAGATCTGTTTCTATCTATCTATTGTCTTCTTTTACCGGGTTGTAGCCCATTGTCGTGGTTTAAAATGTTTGTTTTGAGCCTCTCGCGTGATTTGAGTGACAGTTTTCTGGATCTTCTGGCCATATTCAGCTACTCCATCTATCCATTTTTTCCTGGGTCTTCCTCTGGCCTTTCTTCCAGATGTTCTACTGTAAAAGGCCTTATAGGCAATCTGATCCGGTTGCATTCTTACTAAATGGCCAAACCAATTTATTCTCTGTCTTTCAATATGTTTCATGCATGCTCTTGTTCCAACTTTGTCTCTAATGCTGTCGTTTGTGACTCTGTCTCTTCGTGTATTGTTGGTGACTCTTCGGAGACATCGCATTTCACACGTAGTTATTTTTTGCATATGTGATTTGTTCATTGTCCACGTTTGGCACTGATAACATAACGTAGGGATGAAAATGCTGTTGATCATCCGTTGTTTGGCTGGTAACGAGATCTTTGGATGACGAAGAAGTGGGGCCAGTTGGTAGTTGACTGCATTGGCTTTTTGAACTCTAGCCTGTATCTCTTTATCGAGTCTTCCATCTTCTGTAAATATGCATCCTAAGTACTTGAATTCTTGAACTTGTTCTAATTGTATGTCATTGATCTTTATGTTTACATTACTGCGTTTCTTTCCTATGGTCATTGTTTCAGTTTTTGAGGTGTTTATTTTCATATCAAATTTTTTACAGTTAGTGAGCAAGGAATCAACATGTTGTTGTAGTTTTTGTTCTTCTTCTTGTAACAGACATTGGTCATCTGCAAAGTAGTTCATTTATAATATCTGTGTTTTGGTTTGACTCCTGTGCAATTTTATCCATATATGTGATGAAGAGTAGGGGTGATAGGACACATCCTTGTCGTACTCCTGATGTAATGGGGAACCAGTCTGTCATACCTTCCGTTGTTCTTACAGAGCTTGGCTATTTTGATAGAGAGCCATTATGTTTCCCAATAATTGACCTGGTACACCATATTCTTCAAGAATGTTCCATAGTTTATTTCTGTTAACCCTGTCAAAAGCCTTCTCTTGATCAATGAATAAAAGATTCTGGTGTTTATTATATTCGATTGTCTGTTCACAAATTTGCCGAAGAGTAAATATTGCATCAGTGCAGCTCTTTCCTTTTCTAAATCCAAACTGATTGTTACTTAATTGAGGTTCTAATATTACCCTCACTCTTCGTTCTAAAATTTTTGCAAACATCTTTCCTACATGGCTTTGTAAAGAGATACCTCTGTATTTTTCACAATCTCGTTTATCACCTTTCTTCTTCCATATGGGAACTATAATTGCTCTCTGTCAGTCAACGGGAACTTTCATTTCCTCCCAGGCCATATTGAATATTCTTGTCAACTGCTGTTGACGCGTGCGAAATGCTTGCTTGCTACACCGCACACTTGCCAAGTATCCAGGTATGCTTAATAGTGTTACAGATCAAAGTCACCACTTCCGCCCAACAGCAATAAAGGACGCTGGATACATGTTGAACATCAAACAGAATTAATGTATTAATAGATCTGTTTACTTTTTTCAAATCCAAAATTGTATAACTTCAGATGCAATAGATTTGTCAACTTTTTGTCAGATCCATAATTGTATTACCTCAAAGTTCAACTCTACTGGAACAGACAAGATTAATTCTTTCAGCACCATACAACACACTGTGTTCTCTTTAGTTAGTCCACAAATAGTGCACATTAATGACTTATCTTTATCACAGATGGCCATTACATTAACTTATTAACATGAATTGTTAGTTTTACTCCTTTTCCCCACATAAAAAATATTGTAATGCCTTTGAACTTAAAGACTCACTATTTAAAAACTACACCTGAGGATATTATAAGTATTGTAATTATAGGATTCATTAAAAAGTTACAAAGTGATACCTGACTGGGACTGCAAGAGTTAAAAGTAAATGAATAATGTGATATGGGGATGAGGAATTAACAAGGAACATGGGAAAGTCAAGTACAAATAACACTTTTCAAACGCTGGCATGGGGGAAAGACAAAGACATAGAGGGGGTTAAAAAATATAATGACAGTGAGTCTTTACCAGTAGGTCCATTAATAATGCGAGGAATTGCTGGTTCTCCTTTCCTTCCATCTCTTCCTGGTTGTCCATCAAGTCCTGGAACACCCTGAAATATAAACACACACACAAAAGTTAGCTGCATACCTTTCAGAGGACTGCAAATCAGCTTCAACAATCACTGGCTGTTTTGGGTGGGGAAGCCTTATTTACCAACCTAGAACTGTAGTATGTAGTATTAAAATGGCACCATTGCATGAACTTTTCTTCTGAGCCCAGTTCTTGAAGCTCTAGCTCAATAATGAGAGGTCATTTTCTTTTGCCTTTTAGTTTGAACAATATATTTCAGCATTTAGTTAAACCAGCTTTAACTTACCAACAGAGAAGCCTCTGGTGTAGAAGTTAAAATACTTAGCACTGATTGGGGAGCCAAGGTTTGGATCCTCAATAAAGTGATGGGATTTTTCTGTCAGAGCTAAAATAATTCCAAACCCATACACTGTGAATGAACTAGCCATATACTCCTAGATCCTCAGTCTAAAATGCCTGATGTGCCATAACAACCTTAAAAAGGTAGTACAAGGGCAGTAAAATGGACTGATTTTTTTTAAAAACATTTATCAATTCATTTATAAAAACTTGACAAATTCATCAGAAATTTGTTTAAACCCAAAAATGGGCACATATATATTAATAAAAGGTAGTAATTTGTACATATCTTTGTGTATACATTTCTTCCCTATTTGTGTGTGTGTGTGTGTGTGTGTGTGCATGCGTGAGTGCGTGCGTGCGTGTGTGTGTGTGTGCATGTGTGGGAGGGAGGAAAAATAACAGATCCATTGCCCATTAACAGGCATCATAAAATGTCTGTTGAAATCTGATGTTTTGGACCAGCCAGCGCAGATATCATAAAATGTCTGTTGAAATCTGATGTTTTGGACCAGCCAGCGCAGATATCATAAAATGTCTGTTGAAATCTGATGTTTTGGACCAGCCAGCCCAGATATCATAAAATGTCTGTTGAAATCTGATGTTTTGGACCAGCCAGCGCAGATATCATAAAATGAAAAAGTTAGTTGTTATCTTTCATAGGGCATTGCAGAATCAACCCCAATTTTTTTTTTTTTTTTTGCTGTTTGTGATTTTACAATGCAATCTGGCATTGCTTTTCTGAAATTTCAGCTGTTGATACCATTGTCAAAACCAGTGCCAAACAGTCAGCTGCTCAATCACCTGCAGTTGGGGTCGAACATAGTATCATAGCCTAGCTGCAATACAACTGGTAATATAACACATCAACTGCTCTTTTTAATAGTGAATGCAGAAAAAGCAGTCAAAAGTAGAAGTCTGTTTATTTATTTTTATTTTTTTTTAATACTGAAACAAGGAAACTTACAGGTAAACCAGGTAAACCAGGAAGACCTTGTTGTCCATCATCTCCAGGCTCTCCCTTAGATCCAGGTATACCTGGCAGTCCATCATCCCCAGGCAATCCTGGTTCGCCATCTCGTCCTAGAATACCTTTCGCTCCTTTGCTACCTGGTAAGCACTGTTCGCAAGGTTGCCCTGGACGACCTTTTGTGTGAATCATAAGAAAATTTAAAACACAAAACTAAAGTCTGACAAATATCAGCAATCAATATCTGTTTAAATCTCAAGCATCGAAAGGGCTTATAGACTGAGATAGTTACAGCAACTCATGAGAATGGCAGGTAATAGAGAGATGAAATATATGTACACAAAAGAGATTATAGGAAGTAACAACAAGGCAAACCAAGAAGACAGCAGAAAGATAATGTCCAGGCAAAATTATAAGCACCAACTGGGAAAAAAAGGCCAATCATAGGGATGAATAGAGGCAGGTGATACCTGCAGAAATAAATCTATAGGGCTCAGAATGCTGAAGAAGAAGAGGTAGAAAAAACTTGACATCTATTCTGCAGTTTACAGTTCATAACTGTTAACAACAACAAAATGTCAAACTTAGTTTAGTGCTAAATAGGAGAATAGTAGTAGATTTTTACCCCACCAGGACATCACACAAGCAATAAACACCCAATGACACAAAGTGCCACCATATGGATGAGGATCACCGTGAAGAGGTCCCAGAAACCACATTCAGCCATTAGGTCATATTTATGGTCGGGCCATATTGCGGCCCCTGGCAAGAGCCAGAGTAGGGCTTCTAATAATGAAAAATTGCATCTCACAAGGAGATGACCGGATTAATAGGGGAATAGTTTTGCAGAAGTGGCAAACACACAAAAAAACACAGGAGAATGAGCGCAGATATGATAAATACAAACAAAACACAAAAACAGGAGAATAGCATTATAGAATGAGAGACAGAAAAACAAATGAATGGCACTGTAGATTTGTGAAACACAGGAAAATAGGCAAATGGCTTGAAAGAAATGAGATAAAGAAAAACAGGAGGATAACATTGTAGACCTGGGATACAAAAAAACACACATTAAAATAGTACTGTAAAAATGGGAAACAGAAAAGTGATAGAATGACACTGTACAAAAGGGAAACAAACACCCATGAAAACAAAAACAGAGAATGGTATTATGCAAATCATCATCATCATCATCCTGTAACACTACTTGTTGCTGGGTCACCAGTTTCTGTTGACTGATCAGCTCTCTCCATTTTTGGCGGTCAGTTGCGATGGACTTCATGGTTGCATGCCTGAGGTCTGTCCAGTCAGTCAGGTTCTGTAACCAGGTCTTTCTTGATTTGCATCTTCTTCTCTTTTCCTCTACTGAGCCCTGTAGTATTATTTTCAGAGGTTATTAGATCTTATTATATGTCCATACCATTGAATTTTTCGCCTTTTCACTGTAGTTAAAAGATGTTCATAGATGCCACTGTGCTGTATAGTTTTATGACGAACCTCTTCGTTTGTAATGTGGTCTCTGTATGATATGCCAAGAATTTTTCTGAAACATCACATTTCTAATGCTTGTATTTTTTTTTCAAGTTCAGCTGTTAAGGTCCATGTTTCACAGCCATATGCAAATGTAGTAATAGCTAGTGCTATGAGCAAACAAATCATAGTTTTGCATGAAATGTTTTTGGATCTCCACAATGTTTGCTGCTTGGCAAGGACTGATGTTGTCTGGCCAATACTAGTCATGATTTCTGGTCTTGACCCTAAGTCACTAAAAATGGATCCCAAATTTTGAAATTAGTCACTTGTTCTAATTTGTGGCTTTAAACATAAATTGGGAAATTCTGCAAAAGTCACTACTTTTGTTTTTTCTACATTTATTTCAATGCCATACTTGGTTGATGTTTCATCTAGTAGATTTACAAGCTCCACTAGCTCCTGTTCTTCTCCAGCCAACCCATCGATGTCATCTGCAAACCTTAAGTTTGTTACAGTTCGACCTCCTAAACTAAATATTCCATGATGTTGTTCTAGGGCATCAGTCATAACTGTTTCTAAAAAGATGTTAAACAGTGTTGGAGAGAGGAGACAGCCTTGTCAGACTCCTACTGGTGTTCGGAACTGACTTCTTATTTGTCCGTTCAGCACAGAGCTGTTCTAGACTACGTATGAGGGTTTTACCCATATTGTACATTTTCCTAGTGTACCATAGTGCTGCATGCCATACTCTATCAAAGGCTTTTTTGAAATCAAAGAACACATGTTAGAGATGTTTTTGGTGCTGTTGGTATTGCGCAGATAATATGTGTAGATTAAATACCTGTTCAACAGTGCTTCTTCCAGCACAGAAACCTGCATGTTCCTCTGCTGTAATCTTTTCAGTATGTGGCTTTAATCTGATTATGAGTATCTTGAGCATGACTTTACTGGGATGACTGAAGAGTCTTATAGTCCTTTAATTTTGACATTGTTGTAAATTCCCAAATTGGGGTAAAAAATAGGATACAGAAAGTACAGAAAAATAGTGCTGTAAAATGTGAAACAGAAAAGTGATAGAATGACACTGAACAAAAGGGAAAGAAACAAACAGCCAAGAAAACAAAAATGAAAAAAAAAGAATAGTATTATACAAATGGGGAATAGAGAAACAAGATCGTGGTCCAAATTAAAAACAATATTTCCTGGTAATCCAAAACTGCAAGTTATAAATTCATGATTCTAGAGATTCTGCAGATACCACAGGCAACACAAACAGTTACATAGAAGATAAGTCAGTGTGCACCCATGGAAGAGGGACCAAACACCTCTCTACCACCATTAGTTGTCATTTTGGCTTGGGTCTGTCAAATAATGTGAAGCTATGTTTTCATACTGAATATACATGATCACAATTGTGTTTAACTACAACATCTTAGCACAGGTAGTGACATAAAGTGACATAAAAAAATAAAAAACAAGAAAGAAAGAAAGAAAGAAAGAAAGAAAGAAAGAAAGAAAGAAAGAAAGAAAGAAAGAAAGAAAGAAAGAAAGAAAGAAAAAGAAAGAAAGAAAGAAAGAATACAGGCATTACAAACACATATGCAAACATGAACACTCCTTTTTTTTCTTACCTTTTGGTCCAGGTGTTCCAGGACGTCCATCTCGCCCAGGCAGCCCAGCAGGCCCGGGACCACCATTTAAACCTTTATCACCAACCGGACCTGGAAATCCCTCTTCTGAATCACCAGGGAGACCAGGTAGACCCATCAGACCAGGCTGGCCTTTCACACCAGGAATACCATCTAACCCATTCAAGCCAGGAGGGCCTTGAGGTCCTAGAATCGTCAGCCCAGGCTCACCCTTAAGGCCAGGTTCTCCTTTAGGACCAAGTCTTCCCGGTGATCCATCCCGACCATCTGTTCCAGGAATTCCTGGAAACAGTAACACCCATTATGGTAAAAGTTCTTATTGTAAGATGATCCTGTGAGAAATTTCCAGGCATTAGAAAAATAAAAGATTACCAAATATAAAATACTAAACAGCCCTTAGTCATTTTCCCAAAAACATTACACATGGTCTTTCAAAATGTAAGTCATGTTAAGGACCTTATCTATGCAAGAGGTGCATGGGGCACATAGGGCTAGACTCACATTTAAATAGACCAATCAGCACTTAGTGTGTGATTCGGCACCTGTCATAAGGTGAAATAAATTAACTTCTGAATTGTGAAATTTTCACCGAAAAAAGAGAAAAAATATAAACTAAATGAATTATCCTTGAATGTAAAACTGTTATGTTTCTTATCAATCAATGGCTGTGATGTGGATATTTACATCAATAAAATGTAGAAATGTAGCGACTTCAAGAGAATTTCGATTAACAGTTGCAGTGGAAACAGGTTTAACCATTTGTAGTGTTGCCAATATCAGAGATTAAAGATTAGGAGAAAACAAAAGGTGGTTAAATTAGTTAGTTAGTTAGTTAGTTGGGTTATCGTCATTGCACTCCGGACATGTCCATAGGTGCTCAGATCCTCCCCTCAGTATGAACCCCAACGTCCGATGGCTAATAGTACCAGTTCTATGTTGATTAACAAGTCTTCTGACGTGTCCGGTGTGTGTCTCGTTTTTTGCTGTGCCGATCTTAATTCCCAAGTCTGCCATTCTGGCGAGTGATGTGGATTCACTGCCACCAAAGTCCTCTATCCTTCCCATTTCTCTGAGGGCATTGATAATATCAGCATGATCCATAGGCCGACCGTCGGTAGTGATAGCGGATCCAGCCAACCTGTCAGCTCTTTCATTTCCATCGACGCCTGCGTGTCCCGGAACAAAAATAAAGGTGACTCCACGCACAGTGGACTTCTGTAATGATTCAAGCCATTGTCTTCGCACTGAACCTGCCTGAACCCTCCGGATCATACTCATTGAATCACTGAGTATACATATGCGGGTGTATTTTTGTGTTTCAAGCCAGGCAAACGCTTGCGTCACTGCCATCACCTCCATCGTCATGCTGCTGGTTGTCATGGAGAAGGCACCGTTGGCTTCTTTGACTGTTCTGCCTGCTGAGCGTGCTGTAAATGCCCATGCGCTTCTTCTTTGGCGTATAACGGATCCGTCTGTGTAGATTAGTGCATCTGCTTCGTCTGAATTTTCACCGATGAGAGCGTTGACCTCTGCATTAACAGCAACAGGATTCTCTTCTCTACATCGCCTGTTGAGTGTGACAATGCAGGAAAATGTACAAATAAACGCCTGAGGCACAGGTATCCATTCTGCACCAGGTATGATGTCGGTTAGGCTGCATATTTGCCTAATAACATCTTCTGCCCGACCTAGCCACGATTTTCCCCTCTTCAGTCACTAAAAAGCGCTTGATGCAGTGGGTGTTTCTTATCAGCACATATTTTGAGGTATGCCCGAGCCCTCCACATTCTGATCCTTTGGTTCATTGTTGGAAAGTCAAGTAGATACATCATTGCTTCACAGGATGTGTCTCTTGTACATCCCAAAATAATGCGCATGGCTTCATTTTGCACCTTTTCGAGTCTTTCAATCTGGGTAGCACTGACAGTGGTTAAAGGTGGTTAAATGATGCTGTAAACTGATTTCCTGCATGAAAGATGTACAAATGATCATCTGAGAAATTTCTTTCTTTGGATTTACAAGTTTTAATGTGAGATAACACTGACTAATTAAGAATGTCTACTGAATGAAATCATTTTAGCAATGAGTCCCAGTCTCAAGCTATGCAGGTCCCTCTAATTATATACAGAAGATCTCTTTGTAAGTATCTATTTATACATTTCATATTATTTGAAATGTATTTACCATTTGTTACAGTACTATAATTTTTTATTTCTTGTTAGTCATGTGAGAAAAAACTGCCTGGTTCTACCTGATGTAATGAGCCTTGTTTATAACTGTTATCTGGGTTTTTGCATGTCAAGTTTAATGGCTAAGATATATTTTTAAAATATATATTAGATTTCTCAATTAGGCCTGACCCACTAGACTTAATGAAATTTGAAGATAATGCAGAAAGTACCTCACTTCCCAAAACTGAGGGCAGATTAATGTTATGAAATTCAGAAAGGCAATACATTCCGTAGTAAATAACAAGACAATGGGTGATGATAAAATTACAGCAGAAATGCTCAAAGCAGCAGATGAGAGAAAACTATCCAACAAGTGTCAGAACTATTAACAAAATATGGGAAGAGGAAAGTCCCCCCCCCCCCCCCCCCCCAGGCCCCCCCCCCCCCCCCCCCCCCCCCCCCCAGGCAGTCTTAAAGACTGCAATAATTAGAGAGAAATTACCTTATTATCTGTTATGTCAATAACCATTTACAAAGTAATCCTCAATAGGATTCAAGACCTAGTTGATACAATCATGAGAGAAGAACAAGCTGGTTTTCGAACAGTAAGAAGACGTCTGGATCAAATAATTACCTTGAGATTTATTCTAGAAGAACACACTGAGAAGCAACAACCTCTCATGAATTGTATTAATTTCAAGAAGGCTGTTGACAGCTTACATAGAATTTTACTATGGGGAATTCTGGAATGCAACAGCATACCAACTAAAATATTCTGCATTAGAATGTGCAGTGGGCACTGAAAATGGCCTAAGTGGCTGGGATTTGTTTCTGTATTCTATCTCCCTTGTTATTGGAAGCAGCCATTGCTTAGGTAATGAAAAAATCTTGCAAAGGCAATACTCATATTGAAGGCAATACTGGCATTGATTTAGTAGAGAAAAGAGTGAGGAGATCAGAGAAATATCTGGACAAATACCTGTATTGACTGCAATAAGACAAAGAAGGTGGAAATGTATTGTTCACACTCTGAGACAAAATGAGCAAAGTATTATAAAACAAACACTTAAATGGGAAACAAACGGTCTAATAAAAAGAGGACATCTGAGGGGAACATAAGAAGAACATTATTATGAGAGGCAAAAAATGCTGGGATGAACTGCATGTCAGAAATCAAGAAAGTAGCATGCAATAGATGAGAAATCGAATTCGAGCCCTGTGTGACATCTAATAGCACACAAAGGATGATGATGATGATTATGATGATATATATATATATACATAAATACATACACAGATTCAGACAAACCTGTATTGGTGAATCTCCGAAAAGCCTAGTTAATTACATTGCGTCTGTTTGTATCTACACAGTATCTAGGAGGTCTATGATTATATTTAATAAAAACAAAATGAAAAAAGCTCTTTTATCCATGATATCACAATTCTCTCTTAACCTTTAGTCATTGGAGTCATGCTGATTGATAGGCCATATTAATTAGGTTTTTGAGGCCCCAAGTGACTGAGGTCATTTTATTCTGTTCCACTTAAATTTGCTTACTGCTCCTCGATATTTATTTCTTTAAAAAAAACTGGTAATGTACATTTAAAAATATGTGTGCCATTTATTAGTGACCTATGTAAAATTACCATTTATATCAAACAACCTGGAAAGGGGGGGGGGGGGAATAATTTTTGGGTATTGCATTTTTCCCTAAGGGGTTTCCTAGGTGAAAGGTTTAAAGGAGCATTCTGAATACCATAAAAATGCTATGTGTCCCTAGTGCTCTCTATGTCAGAGTATTATATGATATATCGACACCATAAGTTGTAAAAGCACTCTTAATCACATTACAGGACACTCTATCTCACAACAATAGTCACAGATTATAAGTATTATTACCACCAAGTCCTCTGTCTCCTTTCTCTCCCTTGGGTCCATCCCGTCCATCAGGTCCTGAGAGGCCAGGAAGACCGGGGCCACCCCTTGGGCCGATTTCTCCTTTTGGCCCTTTCAAACCAGGTTGTCCTGGCTCCCCATCCAAGCCTGGGGGGCCAGGTTGGCCTGGGTAGCCAGGAGCTCCAGGCTCCCCTCCTTCTCCTTGTCCCTGTCCATGAAATAGTCAAGTCATTCCATTTGATTATTGCATAAGAAAACTAAACTGCTCGCATCTAGAAGTTTTGTGACAGAGAAAGAAGAGGATTGGCTCCCAAATATTCTTCTTCTTATAATTTATGTTGTATGGCAATTGTAGTCATGTCTATCCCCAACCTTCTGTCTCATATACCTTCAATCTTTTCTAACACAGATGATCTTTCATACCATAATGTAAAACTGTCCAGCATCCTCTCTCTGTCTCCCTCTGCCTCTTTTCCCTCCAACTTTCTAACTGTCACAATATTCTCCAGTTTTATCCTCTCCATGGCAAATCCAAAGAATGTACACTGTCTCTTTCTAATATACAAGATATTAATTCATAATCCAGAAAAATATACAGTTTTTATATAATTTAGAACAGTATACAAGACAACAATAAATAATCTAGAATCGTATCAATGTTTCACCTAGAACAAGGACAATATACTAGAATATCAAGGTCTTTACTTCAGGCAGGATGAAAATAGACCAGTTTACAAGGTATCACTTACACCAGGCTGTCCTCTGGGTCCAGCTGGCCCAGTGAGGCCATCAATACCAGGCAGGCCTTGATCTCCCTTCAGGCCAGGTAAACCTGGAGTCCCAGGAACACCATCCATTCCACGATCTCCCTGTGAAGTCAATTTATAGTGAATACATGATTTTGTCTTTAAAAAAATGAAAGATATATTTCCAGTCTGGTAGTCTTAGTTTCAGCTTCATAGCAAACGGGTCACCCCATCTTTGCCCCGCTCCCGTGCCAACAAAAAACACACAGAATGTTTATTACAGTCCCTTGTGGAAAGATTAACAGACTGCTGTCTCAGCATATCTAGCATACACATGCATTAAAGCATATGGTAGTCATCCGAAGTGCTAACACAACCAGTCTGACATTAGAAATGCAGTTCATCATTGATGGTAGCAGAAGTCACCAACAGATCATCAGTTGCCCATGCGATCAATTTTAATCACATACAGGCACCACCAACATTGCGCCGACAGGCATCGCGCCATTTTCTGAATCTACAATTCACACCACAACATTGGTCACAGTAAAAAAAACATTCCAAATGAAATCTTCAGCTCACAGTGTCATGCCATGCATTCAACTCAAAAGCTGGGCGATGAAACTATATCCAGTCTACAAATGGAGCAAAAATGCATTGTCCACCGTCTGGCAGAAGCAAAACATTTGCCTCGGCTCCGAACAGTGCCCCTGCCTATCGTCCATTTTGACCGGAAGTCATTTCCAGTCTATCATGTGAAATCTTGTTCCTTATCCACCCTTGTTTTCTTGTGAAAGTCCTTGTTTGCTAGATGGCATATGATGCCAAGCTCCTATTTTTATATGAACTAGCACATGATGAGGGATTTAGAGAAGTGTTATCCTGGCTGTCCATAACTTTCACAACATTTTCTGGTGCTCATTTTTATGAGACTGGGCCGTCAATGAAGGTATGAATAAAGTAAGTAAAGGCCTTGTTTCAGTGCCTGGCAGTTTGTTAGGTATCATCATCAGGTTCCTTGCCAACTGGCATGGGCGATCATGCCTCTCTACAATCTGCAATCTCCTGCATCATTTATCAGTTCATGTTCTGACACACCTCCATGCCATGCAGCAAGACTGTCAAGAATCTTCTCTCATTGTCTTCTTCTATCCCTCCTTCCACAGATCTTTCCAGTGGTCACCACATGTTCCATTTTCCTTCTTCTCATAACATGGCTGAAAAATGATGACTGTCTCCTTCTGATGTCTGTGATAAGTTGTCTTTGGGCTCCCACCTCTTTCAAAACCTCTTGGTTGCTCTTGTTGGCTGTCCAAGGTATTTTAAGCATTCTTCTGTAAAACCACATCTCTGAGGCCTCAAGAAATTGTTTGGCCTGCCTACCAATTGTCCAGGACTCACAGCCATATGTTAAAACTGGATGTAGGTAGCAAGCAAGAATTTTTTTTCTAACCTTCAATGACAGAGAAAAATTGCATAAGATGTTCTTCATTTTATAAAATGCAGTTTTTGCCTGCACTTTTCTATTTCTTATCTCAGTAATGCATCTTCCATCTGATGTTATCCATGTGCTCAGAAACTTAAAAATCTGTACTTGTCCCAAAACAACACCACTGACTTTTATTTCACATTTAGGAATAATTCTTTTCTTTGACATGGCCATTACTTCTGTCTTTCCATTATTTAAACTAAGGCCCATTCTTCCACTTTCTACCACCACAACGTTGTATAATGATAATTTTATATATTTAAACAACTACTGGTGCTCAGATGATGTGGTGAATATTCTCTTCTTATGCCATCTTCCTTATAAGGGTGGTTGGCATACTGTATTGTGATTTACAGCTAGGCTGTGACATTTGATTTAAGCAAACTTCTAATTAGTCATTTGTTATGACCTGTTTGTAGAAGGGGGGGGGGGGGGGGGGGGGGGGGGGGGGGGGGGGCTGGGTCTATCCTATTTCCCCACACAATAAAGCCCCAGAACCAACACAGGGAGCATGGTGAATTTTTCACCAGTCATCTTTATTCCCACTATATATCTCTGGTTCCCATTTTGAGCTTCACTGAAATGGAAGTCCAGGCCAAAGTTTTCAATTGCCACCTTGTGTGAAAATGAACACAAAACAATCATAGTGGCTGTTGATTAGGTTAACAACTATGTTACTATGGTTTACTAAAGAGGCTGTCGATCTGTCTATATTCTCTTCGTGTCATTGCTGACACATATGACATTTACATGTAGCCTCCACCGCTGCTAGTCTGTGCTTTTCTGCTCAAGGTGTCCCATGTCAGTTTACTCTTCTTCATTCTCTTTCTTCTGTCCTTCCCCAGGTTTCCTTAGTTAATGACAATAAAAGTTACAGAAATGAAAATGTCACCTGAAATGAAGTGAATGGAATGCAACTTTCAAATAAATCTAGAAATAAAAGTATAATACATTGTTAAAAATATACATATTCTCTCTATGTGTAATGTTACCATTTCTTACATTTGCTTCAAATCATTTTTTTTATCCTCATTACAAATATATAGATGTAATATTTACATTTTGTAAACACAATTACAAACCTTGGGTCCTGCAAGGCCAGGTAGTCCAGGAAAACCTTGTTTACCCTGGAGACAGATATAAATCAAATGACTTCTTCAGCGATCAACATATCCTATGCATCTATCCCAACATGCATTATAGAGTTTATATGCATAAGTCTTCCCTGGTGTCTCCAGAGTTTGTTTAGAAGAGTCAGGTTGTTAATGTTGGCCTGATTTTATCTCTGTCAGCTTATATTTAGTCATTACTGTAAAGTGAAGTGGGGGAGGAAGGGGGGGGGTGCACAGTATCCAAAAGTGGAGGAGTCTGTGGTAACCTAAACTACACAATTAATTCAAAACAATCTTTGCCCAAAATAAATTTTTTTTATTGAAAAATAAACAATACACTGCCCAATTTACTGCCTGGCATATTCTGCTGTACCTTGTCCAGTGCATTAACATCAACATAAAAGAAAACACATACAAAACTGAATTCTTTCAACTGAAAGATGTAAATCATGTTGTTTCTTTTGATATATTGTTTTTCTAATAGCCAGGAGATCAGGATGACTATGTGACATCAGATATGGTCACATGGTTTACCATGGCAAGTAAAAACTGACCAGGAATTCCTTCTACTTGCTAGATTGCTAACTGGTAGACATTTTATTAATAAAAATTACCAGTCTGGCTTTAAGCAGACAGGAGGAATTCCTGGTAAATATTAATATAATTTGGCATGGTAAACCATGTGACCATCTTGATATCGAGTGACAATCTTGATCTTCTGGCGTGTAGACAAACAATACAAAATTAGTGTTCATGTTTGAATAATCACCTCCTCCTTCTTATTCTTTCTTCACTTTCTCTTCATTCTCCTCCTCCGTTTTCTTTCTTTTTCAAGTTCCTCCAAGTTCTCTTCATCTAATTTTTCTTAGCTTTGTATCTTCAGCTAAAGGAAACTTATATCTTTCGGCATTTAATTCTGTTAGTCCCAAAGACCTACTTCTTTAAAAATTGACCTGTCTTGACAAACAGAAGTACAAGTAGCACAAGGAAGAGAACTTCCTAAAGGAAAAGGGATTTAGCTGATAAAGTTATTTAAGAAGGATAATAAGTTGGTTAAAATTTAACAATTATGTGGAGCAGAATGAGTTAAGAAAAGAAATAAATAAGCTGAGTAACAACACACATGATGCATTTCAAGGTATCAAAATAGTTAAGGTACACTGTTAAAGAAAATGGCTCACCCTGGGTCCAGCAATTCCAGGCACACCCTTTTCTCCAACCATCCCAGGCACTCCAGGGATTCCCTAGATAATTAAATTTAAATGTATAACTTCAAGTATTTATTTTCTATGTTTATAACAAAAATATGTTAACAATAACTCTACCATCATCTTCATAAAAATTATCATTGCCAGTTGGAATGGGCAATTATATTTCTCCAGATTTTGCCATGTCTCAGGTTGTGAACTCACATTTTTTCACTGTCATGGCAAAGAGCCATGATGAAACATCTTTTGCTGACATTTGATCCAGTTTTTTCCCTTCTCATAATGTGGCCACAAAAATGATCATTGCATGTTTATGATATGTGGAAAAATTGTCTCTATGTGTAAGGCTCTTTAAAAATAGTGAGATTACTAAATGTTACTTACCGGCCGGCCTATGTCTCCTGGGTAACCTTCAGAACCTTTCTCACCTTTATCACCCTGTGAAACAAAATATATTATACTTGTTAAAAATGCAAGTATCAGTATATTTACTTTTTAAATCTTTCGTATATTATATTTAAATGTCTCATATCCCCGTGTGGTTTTAGGGCCCTTCTGATTGGTGGTTGCTGGGTGATGTGAGTGGGAGGGGGGGGGGGGGGGGGGGGAATAGATCCACAGCCATTTGACAAGCAAGGGGGGAAAAGGTGACTAATATAGAGTCTGCTGGTCAGAGGTGGAGGAGTAGTGTCCTTCTGAGGAGTGTTGGTGCTGGGTGATGGGGGGGGGGGAATAGATCCACAGCCATTTAACAAGCAAGGGGGAAAAAGGTGACTAATATAGAGTCTGCTGGTCAGAGGTGGAGGAGTAGTGTCTCCTTCTGAGGAGTGTTGGTGCTGGGTGATGTGTTGGAGGAGTAGGAGAGCCCAGCATGTTGTAATTGTAATGGACTCACAGAGCATGCTCTGAAAACAGAGACTTGTGTTGTTGTCCTGTTGCAGAGTGGTTTGTATCACCTGATACAATTCACATTAGGAGCAAATCAATGATTTTCTGTCTAGGACATTCACGTGGGGGGGGGGGGGGGGGGGAATACGCAAGCTGATAGGCTGGCTGCTGCTTTCTCTCTGGGTAGTGAGCTTAAAGATTAAGCAAACATGCTGAAGCCTCTCTATGATCAAAAAATGTTTAAGATTAACTATGAAACGATGTACAATAAATAACTGTATGCAAAGAGCTGACTGGAAGGGCAGAATGTTAGACAGGCCTAACTGCCCATTCTTAACCCTTTGAAAAAAAAAATTGGTTGATTCTTTATTAGTTCATAAGATATGTCAATGGGAGAAAAGACGACCATAACATGTATAGAGTATT